TCCACCAACTCGCACTGACCACTTAGAAACAAGTATAACCCGTAAAAACAAAGTTTTTCACTATAAATCCTTTATATGCGTGGCGGCTAGAGTCCTCTCGTCCTCTGGCTTGAGATGGCTGCCACCTATGGGTCAGATGATTGCATTGCACCATTAAGCAATTGGTAATTAAATATAATATTTTTGTCCTAAAAAGTGTACAATTTTGGAAAAAAAATTTCACGAACATTAATTGTCACGCACAACGAGTCTGTGTGGAAAATGTCAGCTCGATTGGATCACGAGAAGTGGGTTAAAAAACGACCGAAAGATTTGCATGGTCCTAAGCAAGCAAGTGAACTTAATATAAAAGATTTTTAAATGGCCGGAATTAGATATACTTTTGCGAGATGTACTTACATACTTTTTTGCGTGTGCTTTGTTTACCTTTCCTATGCTTTGTTTGCACTCCAATCGGTTTTTTGTATAGTAACGTTCTGACCCCACCCCAACTGGACATCTGTGACAATGAGCTTTGTAGCTCGTCGGATTTCTGCAGGATAAATAAAGACTCTGATTGGTGTTTTGGGGAAGTATAATAAAACCAACTCCACCGCCGAAAATGTAATGGGAGGTTCTTCATTAAGCAGTAGATTGACAAAGGGCTGAAGTTTGTTCATTCTTAATAACTGGTGTGATGGCAATGTATTATTATGCATATTTCTCAAAATCTTAAATTCATTTTCACAATCATTGTTAAACTACATTGCATTATGGGCTGACTTGCTTTTATATTTAAAACTAGTTTTTGCCTAATCTAAATGGAAACTTGCCTCTCATGTTTTGACGACGTATGCCAGCCGACACATAACCGCAGTGTCGTTTACAAAATCATAACCCAGCAGTGTCGGAATCTGGAAAATGCTTAACAAATCTCATCGATGCTACAAAACGACTGAGTGCAGGAGCATTGCTATAAACACACGACTACAAGCGGAAGTGAATAATTCCTTTGTTTATTGCCGGAAAATAATTGTAATTAGATTGCATTGCACAAAGCGCCCGTGCAGGAAATGCCTTCTGCTTGGAAAACAGTCAAGTGGCGGAAACCAAAGGCCCCCCCCCCGCCCCCCGTTGCTATCGTGATAGGGTGAGCCTGCGGACAAATACTTGGACCCAAAGGGCCATCGCGGTATTTAATATTCACAATCCACTTGGGTTCAGAAAGATCACTTTCAGCTTGGGAGCCCCCACCCCACCACCACAAACAAGCGTCAGAATAGGAATCAGAATATTTATACCGGAAGGAAAAATCCGATGAGCTATGCAGCTCTTTTTCACATATGTTCAGTAGAGGCGGGTAAGAACGTTTCAACAACAAACAATACAAAAACATGATAGCAGTGCAAATACAAGAAAGGTAAACAAATCACCCAAACGCAAAGAAAACTAAACCATCCCCATCCTAGCAGGGAAAGCCCACTGAGGTATTAGCTGATTTTTTAGAAGCGAATGATAGCTCAACAAAGTGTCTTATCATTTGGACATTTATCGCAGCAAAATAATCTAAATAATCTCAATGCATGCATCCAAAATGTAAATGATTCACAACCCTTTTGTTCAATCGACTCATGGATGGTCTCACTCCCACACCATGTCAGTGGTAGAGGTTGTTTGAGCATACTTCACCACGCTGGTCAGTGTGGGTTGGACCGGTTTCAAAATATCACTCACCACTGATGTTAACCCTGACGAGGAATTTAACTCTGGTCGCCAGGTTCATAACGCAGTGCGTTCACCACTCAAACCTAACTCCAGGCAACGGATTGTTTTATCTATTTATTTATTAATTTTATAAGATCAACACACATAATTCCCTTTATTGATCCAAAGAAAGCTTCAACGAGTTATTTAAAAAAGATCCTGCATAGAGGTTGTTTAGCCAATTCCAATAATTAGTGTTTGGCATATGGGAGGAAAGTGGTGAACCCAGAGGAAATGCTTGCATACCAGGAGATAACATCTTAGCACCACATAGATAGACTAAGTGGTCCATTTGCTGTAAAGCCGTAACCTGGCCATCTCGCAGTCAAAGCCTAAAACCCCCAGTATTGCCGGGTAGTCTTCCATAAAAGTGTAATGACAGTATGCCGTCTAGTGGCCATGGTTGTTAACTACGGGTGTGGGTGCAGCATAGGACGATACACACGCGAGCGACCACAATTGGGGCATAACTGGGCCAAGGGTCAAAGAGGGGATCGAAATGGAAGCTCCTGGAACCCGCGGGAGAGTTCGAGAAGAGGGGCTTGGCCAAGGGCGGGGCTTGGTGAATATAAAGGAGAGGCGACCAGGGGTTCGGGGCTGTCGTAGAGGTTCGGGTCCTGGCTGTCATCGCTGCCATCTCTTCATCGCCGTCGTCGTCGTCGCTGCATAGCCAGCCAGCTATATAGTCTTCGCCGCCGTCGTCACTATATAATCCGCCAGCTAAATAGTTGTGCGTCGCTGTATGGCTGGCTGAGCTATAAGTCGGTCAGCGTTAATGTTACTCCGTAACCTTGTCGTTAAAGTATTGCGAAATAAATAATAAACCCTCTACAGTCGTGCCTCTGAAGTCGTCTCATTTCACAAGTTTACTCGTTTGACTGAATCCTGATTGACGTGCGAGATATGATTTTTTTCTTTTAAAAATGCGCGTTGAGCGCTATTCTGTAACAGGTAAATAAATAAACAAATTGACGTGGAAGTGGGTTTGTGTATTGCACTACAGTTTGGTTTTTTCGGTAAAGTCACGTAGGTATAAATAAAATAAAATAAATCACGACGTTTCGGGCGCAACACAAGCGTCCGTCATCAGGTGGTGACAACCACAGCAAGAAACAATTGCTGAAGGGGTTGTCCCACCTGATGACAAAGGAAAATTTAAGCCTCAAAAGTGCAGGCCAGCTCCTACGTGACGAAAACTTCAAATCTATATGGCACTACAGTTGTTTTTGTAAAATTTTGCTAAGCGATCAGATTAAAGTTTACGTCAGCGCTTGAAGCCGCACCTGCGATTATCACGGTTTGGCCACGTGCAAGAAGTTCAACACACGTGTACATGCATGATGCCAACATGCGTTGTGCTGTTTGAGAGGTTCACACGCACCACGTCTCAGGGCTGTCTGGAAATGCAACGCAATAACAATGCAGCCACCATTTCAAAAATAGCTTTTCCATCAAATTCATTTCATTTGCATCTTTAAAACATATGTTCGCCCCCCCCCTCCACTCTCCCAACTCATCTTGTGTGTATTACAAGAAAAGACTGGCCAACCCTGTGTGATATTCCACCAATAGACGATGTGCTTCAGGATGAAAGCGACGTGTAACTTGGGGCAAGCGGTATGTTTGTTGGAACTGTAGCATGCGCTGTAAAACGTGAATAAATAAAAACAAATGTGTTGTATGAAGGTTAATGTGGGGATTTGCTTATTAGCAATTCATCAGTAATATAGTTGCTATTTACTTTAAGAAGGCGTTGCTTCGGTATGAGTAAAAGTGTAAAAAAACATCAATTTCTCGCGACGAGCACCAAGGGCATCTATTTATAGCCGTGGCTCTTAGCTCTCTCCAATCAGGGAAATTGGGTTTTCAGTCGCCGACTTGTCATCAGGCGTACGGCATCAGCGCTTCAAATCAATAAACAAGGGAGTATAAATAAATATATAATCGCGCCCTCCAACAGCCCAACGACGTTCGAGTTGAGACGTTCTCTGGCAACGCGTTGTCAAAGGGTCGCGATTGTTCAATCGCACAACGAGACACCCACGTCAACGCGAGCATTCTGCCTTGCCTTCGAATCACTGCAGTGTTATGATTCCACGAACCACTAAATGTACAGCATTTCTTAGAACTGATTGAGAAGTTGTCATTCGTGATGTTTTCATATGCTGCCCGTCCTTAAAGTTACTGTGCAAGTATACGACAGCGTTAACTTCTATAATGTACAGTCTTTACAAGCCACGGCTGGGTAAAGGTCTCATCACAAATGCATTTATTGCTATGGTTGTTTTAGCATAACTTCATCACACTGATCAGCGCAGGTTCGTTAAGGGGTGCTCATGACAATTCAGAGATATCACTCACCACTGATGTTAGCTGTGGCCAGGAATCAACCTCAGGTCTAGATGGGTTAATAGTGCAGTGCGCTAGCCACGGTGCCATCATATTCGTTTTTCACGTGTGTTTTAAAGAAGCACATTTATTGGTGAACAGTATAACGTATTGTAATTGTCTTATCCAGCAACAGTTTAATCGAATTTGTAACCAAAAAAACCCACTCATTAATTGGCTGAAAACATCTTAATATATACAGGACCACAGAGCTTCGGGGAAATGTAGCTACGACTCACTGCCTCGTGCCTCTCCCACCTCGTGCCTCTGAGTCGTTCTCTATCTCCGATAGTGTTGACATAATAATTAATCAAGAATTACATCACACACACTAAATGTTTCATTTGCATTATTTCATTATGTCAAGAATGATGGTCGATAAGATATCGAACATATATACTACTGCAAACGAATAATACGAATATTTTAAATGAACGTGGAAAACACAATGTTCTATGGTAAACAAAAAATCTGATGTGGTGTTTGGGGGGGGGGGGTTTAAACATTCCAAAGCCAAATCGTTAAGGAGGCCAGGCTGACGACACTATCTATTGATGCAGAGTACAACTATATGAACGCATTCACAAAACTCCTTGAAAACCAAACGAGCAAGTGTGCTCGGAGCGAGCTTGCACGGCTTGCGAGTGCGTGACCGGAGTGCGTGACTAACCAACGCGCTCTCCCAGTGGAATTCCTCTGGGCTGCATTGTCAGCAGACAAACTCGGCCGTGCCGTCAAACAATGGTGCCGCACCAGAGCACGCCGTGTTTGGGGAAAAGGAAGCCAGGCTTCCTTAAACTTTCAGACGGGAAGCCACACGGAGGGTGGAGCGGGAGTTTGACCAGCCAGCCAGTCTGAAAGGGGACAAAAAAATAAAAAAAGGATTGACTGCACCGTCTTCAGTAAGTGACGGCGCGAGAGGCAGCAGAGAGTGAGAGAGAGAAAGACGCGAGTTTTGGCCGCTGAAGCTCAATCATGTCGAACATGGACTACGGTTTGGTGACAGCCGTCTTCTGCTTGTGTTTGGGTAAGTTGCTGCATATTTTTTTTTCTTACATGCTTAATGAGTAAGTGTTATATTAATGCCGGCGAAGCTAGAATTCTCACCGTTAAGAAGAAAAGAATCCATTAAAAGTATAAACAATCCTCACTCTCACAGCGTTGCCTCGGCTCAGTGTGTGACACCATTTTAGGACATTGGTGCTGACATCAAAGTTCGTTGGGTTTTTTCAAATGTTGCTGTGCATGTGATGTGCGTCACATTTGGCATTTAGATCTTTGTGTTTGTTTGTACGCAACGTTAATAATCTAAAAGTACACGAAATGACGTTTAACATGCTGCTATAAATCTGGAACTTAATATCACTAAATTAAAAAAAACCCAGATAATCTTTGACAGTAGAGTATTTTTTTAATGCCAATGCTTTGTTAATGTCATCGTCATCGGCCGCCGTCGATCCACTGCTAGATCAAGCCAATCACCATCCCTCACATTTTTCTCAGAAGCATTCCATCATTTGGCTGCTGTTCCATCACCAGGCTTGTCCACCGAGCATCATCCCAACCCCTCCTCAAACTCTCACACCTGCTCTCGTAACCGTCACCGTTACTACACCACCACTATTAATAACCATGCACTCTTTATCTCAACCACTATCATTTCATGTACAATTTTATATTTGCTGTAAAGCACCTTGGAATAAGGCGCTACAAATTTAAATATAAGATAAGATCCCTTTATACTGGTCAACAGCAATGTATCCTACCCAAGCCCTAATTTTGCTCAAAAGTCAATATGATCCCTAAAATTTGCATATGCTCTCTCATCCATGAGTTTCTCTTTCTCTCTCCAATATATATCCAAGCTTGCACTTCTCAACACATTATAGCGAACGTTTCCGCGTTGTTCCATTTTCCGTGTTGCACTCTCATTTATCAATGCACCATTGTACTTGTGTTTACTCCGTTAAATCGTGCATTTGATGGCTTGTTTCACCACTCCCAGGCTCGTGCAATGCTCTGGCGGTGCATGTAATAGCGCAACCACAAGCGAGTGTCCACATGGAAGGCGAGACGGTCTGGATTGTTTGTTCAGTGAAACCAAGCACGCCAGTAACGCCAGACCTTCGTGCTCCGAGCGACAGAAATCATCCAGACCTTAGCCGGGCGGTGAATTACTCTACCGCGCCATCTCACAAGGCTCAAAGCCAGTCGAAGCCGAGCAGCAAAACTAAGAACGAGACCCCACCCAATGTCCAAGCGAAAGGCATCGACGGCACTGCAAATCCCACTCCGGTTGAAAGTCGAAGGCCGCCACCTTCTGAACAAAGAGACTTGGAGATTTTGATCGGCGAGTCTCCACCAACGGGACTCCAAGGAGATGCCGCAAAAAGCCTCGCAAGAGCATCGCAGCTTAAACCAATGCTTGGCAGAGCCAGGACAAGGCGAGCTAAGACACCGAACGCTAAGATACCTCGGTTGATCTCTAAAACTCTCGACAATTCGACGGAGGATGACCAGAATTTGGATAAAACCAAACTCGCGGAACACGGCAAGGAACGCAAACAAGGGAAGCCCGCGAACAAAGCTGTGGACGTTTCAAACGCAACGCTGCTGCATTCTGCTTCACGCACTACTTCGGTGGTTGGGGTTCGCAAGAAGATGCCGGAAAATCGGACCAAGTCACTTACACTGACTTACAGATCAAAGCAATCGAACCAGACATCCAGCCAGGCTGCTAAGAAGGTTGAACAAGGGGCAAGACCAGGATCACCTAAACTGCCCGCGAAGAACCCCAGATTGACGAAGTTTGAAAAAACACCAAGACTGAGCCAACCAAAGCAAACTGCTCTGATTGCAAATCAACATCACAATCAAACAAAGCCAAACAGTGAAAAACCAAAACACAAGGGGCCAGTTAAAACAGCAGAGCATAGCTCGGAGACACAAACCCAGCGAATCGGCCAACATCAAACAAACGAAAAGGCTTCCCTGCCCTCTAAGTCAACACAATCTCCAGCTGTGAAGGTCCAAAACCGGAACACAACATCGCAGCATGACCCAGACCAACAAGCGGCATCGTCTCGTCTTACCAAAGACCACACTAAACCAGTGAGAAGAATATCAAGCGCTGAAAAGTCCACAGAAAGCGTTGCCACTGACACAATTCACCAGAACAATTCGAGGTTAGGCACGAATCTTGGCCTCTCTCGAGCAACGCAGAAAGGAACGAGGACAAATAAGCCACAAGAACGTGGAAACAAACCGGGTCGTAAAATCACTGCTCAAGCTCATGCCACCTTGAAAACACCTTTACAAAATCCACCGCTGGAGGTCACCTTGGGCGAAACGGATGTCAAAGACGAAACGGAAAATGAGCCAACTAAAAAAATGCACGTCCTTACTGGAACCAGTGACAACATTTTGGAGCCGGTGCAGCCTACTCAGGTGAGCTCACGCCAGAGAACGACGATTGGAAATGTCTTGACGATGGTTAAAGCAGCCGATTCAAATCTGGGGCGATTAAATCGCACAGACAACACAAATAAGACTGGACAATTAAAACCAAAACCTCCTGCACATGCACATCCAGACAAGAAGCAGCCCACGCGACAAGTCCCTGAGAGAAAAGGCTCCGACCACAAGAAACCACTCATTAAAACTCCAGGCCATTTAACACCCCAAAAAACAACTGAAACCCATAATAAACTCATGGTCGTTCCCACTCAACCCACCTTTAGAACAACAACAACAACAACAACAAAAACCAAACCACCACCACCACCGCCAGAACACGCACGCCCAACTCGTGGAATCTCAACAAGGCTTGAAGTATCCAAGCAAGTGAACTCAGCCACAGCTCGGCCCGTCGATCACTCCCATGAGCTGGTCGTACAGTGGCTGCTGGCAGGCGTCGATGGGTCAGAGGTGGAGATTGCACGTCGAGACCGGCGAGGAAAACTCAAAGTCGCCGAGGAGTTTCGAGAGAGGCAGAGAACTGGTGGCCTGGACTTGAGTTGGGACCCATCGCTCCTCGCGTTGTCGCTGAGCCTCTCCCCGGCAGTGCGAGCTGACGTGGGGACATATCGATGCGTGGTCACGAGCGGCTGGGAAGACGAGGTTCTCAATGCCTCGGCAGAGGTGAAACTCAGAGGTGAACGCGTTTGATGGTGCACCAGTGAGCGCATTCTTAAGGCCGTTTTGTGCGAGGGGGCAAATGTCGTCACTGGCACAGATGTCGCCTGAAATGCGTGTTTTGTTGTGGGGAACTTTGGCAACATGGTACCGCAATGCCACAAAGAATAGATTTGTGTCTAACCAATGGAAACGGAGGTTGTGCTTCATGAAAAATGATCGGTTTGCAAAGCACACAACTTTTGAGTCATCGTGTGATCTTTGCTAATCGTTTTGGACGTTGCTGTCCAAATGTATTGCGAGGGGGGGGGGGTTACAATCAGATTTGTCCAGATTTTGAAACGCTCATTTTAAACGAGAGAGTGGTGCAGTACCCATTTGCCAGTGATGAATGCTGGCAACGATTTTCCTGAAATTGCCCAAGTGTATCTTGTCCCTTAGGATACCAACCGTTGTCAATCGATATTACTGTATCTAATTGGTATATTTTAAGATTTTTTTGTACCACTTCTGATGAGCAGTCGTCCATGTAAAAGCCCGTAGTATAATTATAATGTATAAACGGAGCCATGAGGACTAACGCTCGATCTACCTTGCAGCTTGAGAGACTTCAACACAAAACGTATTTGTACAATTTAATTCGCGTACAATATTGCGAATCGGACGTGCAATTGCTACTGCAGCTTGCATGAATTTAAGATGTATTTGCATGTCTTGGGGGGTTTTGGGCCAATAGCCTCAATTGTGTCATAGCAAGGATCTGGTCATCCTTACGCACAGCGATGAAATGCTGTCCATTCAAAGTGTTGTTGAGCACGAGGCGGATGAGTGACTCACAAGCGAAATACCCGCTTGCTCTAGAGCTGCCAAAAGGAATGCTCTCACATTACTTTTACAATCAATGGGGTGATTCACAGCTTTTTTGTAAAGCATATATCCTGTGGAAATGATACACTGTACAATGAAAACTAGATTGTGGGGGGGGGGGGGGGGGGGCAGTAGTGCAGCGTTCTTCATTGCAAGGACCGTGAGCAGGCGGTGTGGCGGCCCTCACACCGATGATGTCCTGTCGGCGAAAGTGTCCCAACCTCTGAAAATTAGCGAAGGACGCTGCCGCAGTGCGACGGTTCACGCGTGCCGGACAATGAACCGCGTGCCGCCCGAGTTCGAAGGCCAGCCAGGGTCCACATCAGCTGCGGGTGATATCTTAACCGGTCCTAGACCCCCCCCCCTCTTCACCAACCCGCACCGATCATGGTGGTGAAGTGTGGTCAAACAACTCCCATGACCTACACGGTGTGGGGAGGCCTTCTTCCAGAAGGGGAATGGCAAAGAGACTTTATTTTTAAAATAAATATCGTATGGAATACAGGTATGGCAAAGGCAGTATATATATTTACGTAAATAATTTGCTGCATAATTTCTTTATTACATAAAACTGACAATATGAATCGGATTATGAAACAATACTTCCATGTACATTACAGGTTTTTCTTTCTCATTTCAACGTGGAATGTTTGACTTTGATTGTTGGCCCATAACTCTCTGCCTGTAGTAGGCATTGCATGCTACATCTATTAATTATAATACATTCTTGTGTTCACAATACGTGCAATCAACTGCACATGTGAGAATCAATTATTTACAATGAATTAAAATGATATACAAACAAAATGCTAATGTTAAACTTTGGCCAGAGTGGAATAAACCACAAACGAGACTGACAGAAAGGGAAACAATTAAAACAAGATGATAAGATAAAGACAAAATCATCGACTATTAAATCGTGATAAACCATTGAATCGGGAGCATTGCATCATATGATTCTGAGCTTATACTACAACATGATATAAAATAACTAGAACAGAATCTGTACGGTTGAGAGAGTATGCGCAGAGCTTAATTTCAGCAGAGTCTGTCTGGGTCAGCTGTGACTTCTCGGCTACTAGTTACGTACCTTCTCCACTCTCGAAATTATTCCTTTAAAAATGACTTCCTGATAAATGTGCATGATAAAGCCAACATACTGATTGCATTCTGTGTTCAATCCACTTTACTGACAGTCCTGAGACCAGACTCCAACATCTATCCTCACCCGGAGACTCCGTCAACCAAAGGACCCAACTCCATTGAGGAAATGGTCTTCAATGAAGGGGTGCCAATGTCTATCTCGCAAGGTGTGCCCGACATCTGCTACTTCCAGACGCCTCACATCTCAATTGTAATCACCCATGGGAAAACTGTTTCCAGGAGCGAAACTTTGTCTGTTTTTTTGATTTGTTGTCTGGCCTTTTTATGAAAAGAAAAATGACACACAAAAAGTTATCTAATGCATTTTTGGGTAGCACCACGTGTTGTTCGGCACGATGTCTGACTGTGATATCCACTGCTGTGGGCTGCTTTCTAACGTGAACTGGTTGAATAACTCTGCAAAACATCCAAATTGATTCTTGATTTTAAACTTTCGTGACTGCAGGAATCCATACTCTTTGGTTCTTTCGGTAAAGTCACGTAGGTAGAAAAAATAATAGATCACAACTTGATACTTTATTGCAGGACATGACACCAATAGCACGACCTGAAGAAAAAAAAGATAAAACGTCTACTTTTCAGCATGCCGTCTCTTTTTCCTGTGCAGAGCTCTATATTCTGACGGTGGCAGTCAGCTGTCTGGGACTCATTAGCCTTCTGCTCTTTCTGTCCATCATCCTGCACCGACACAGGACCAGGAAGCACCGCTCCACGTCTGCAGGTCCAGGTCGCATTGACATTAAAAATACGATGCGTTAATTTCCTTTTTAGCAGCTATGCTGATTCACCCTATTTTTGTATCGTAAGTACTGTTAAATTGTACAAGGGTATAATGGATCTGTCACTGAACTGGTAATTTATTGCTTTGTGTTTCCAGCTGTCTCCAAAATTGCTATTTGTGAGTGTTTCTCAGAATTTGCAACCTTTTTAAATCTCGTAATTATCTTTCCACAAATTGCCCAATAGACAGCAGTTTTATTCATTTGTAATCCAAACTATACTGTTTTTCTGAGAATTGCTTCTTCAGATTTTAATTTCTTATTAACCCTGCATATCTAAAGAATACTATTCCACATCATAGTATTGTATTATTGTCTAAAACATTATGAGTGTACATGACAATAGTTTCAAATATTTAAGGATTATTTTGCATGATTTATTGCAGCATCCAGAAGCTTTCAAGACTGCAAATGCAGGTATGACTCAATCCAGCGCATGTCAAGGTGCCATTATCACAAACATTATTCAAATTTGCACGCTGGTTTATGTTCTTCTAATCGAGTTATTCCCATTGATTTGTGTTTCAGTCTTGACAGGAGCCACTCAAAAGTGAACGGCTGCACAGCGAGTGACCATCAAGCCTGCACAAACAGTGCCAAGGTTATCAAAACCCTGCAAGACAAATTTGCAGAAAACAGAGGTATACAATTACTATACACATTTCAGGTGGCTTGCTGACTCAGGGGTTAGAGCATTGTGCCATCACCTTGAAGATTCTTGGTTCAAATTCTTGGAGTCACCGGTGTAAAAAACTAGGTTCTTAGATGGCCATCACCAATGATTTAACAACTAAAAAACTCCACCACAATAAATGTGTTCTAGATTTGAAGCTTTCGTGACTGCAAGGATTCATACTTAGGTTTTTTTGGTAAAGTCGTGTAAGTAAAAAATAATAATAAAATAAAAATAAATGAAAAAAATAAATCACGTTTCGGGGGCAACACAAGTTTCTGTCTTCAGGTGGGACCGCCACAGCTAAATGTACCGTATCAAGTAAAGATAAATCCAAGAGACAAGATCTTAAATACTGGTTAAGGGGAGGGGGGAGGAGCTTATCTAAATGTGGCAGTACAATAAATGTGGGGTTCCATTACATTTTTGGCTTAAATATAAAAAATAAGATATCCATTTTATTGCTATGCTAAAAATATCAATTTCACTGGTATAAACACGACTCAATAGCAGTACATGTGGGAAAGTATGCCCCCTAGTATGTGGATAAAATGTTCACTGCAAGGGAACTCATAAGCAGTTCTGTGATAATGGGCCATTCACAGGGGGTGATGCACTGATCTACGCACGATTTGAATTGATACTTTGTCTCATGACATGGTGCCATGAGCACAATTGGAAGGAAAAAGACTAAAAGTATAAATGAGAAAAATATGACGCAATATCCGTCACTGCAAAATATGCAGCTTTAATTGTACTTAACACGATGTTCAACTTCAAAATGTAGTCGGCCGATTTGATTTTTAAATCCACTCAATATTATGGAACAATACAGTACGTACAGATCACCCACGTGAAAGCATGGCGCATATTTGTGCTTTGTGTGTCTGTGATTTCACAGCGTCAGTGGCCAGAAGCAGTGTGTGTACACTGCCGGAACCCTCCACCTCCCACTCTGCCGACTTGCCTCCAGAGCCACGGCTCATATCGGTGAGGAAACCTCACCACCGCTTTACCTGCAAACGATTGCATGTTCCTGAATCCACTGCAGATATTAAAAGTGTGTTGGAATAGTGTATAATACAGTATAGTGTCTATGCTCTTAGGTTTTTTTCGGTAGTCACATAGGTAAAAAATAATAATGAAAATAACTAAATTAAATCTTTATTATTTTTTTTACCTACGTGACTTTACCGAAAAAACCTACGAATATGAATTCTTGCAGTCACGAAAGCTTGAAATCTAGAAGTATAGTGTCTCCCCCATGAGTCACACGGCATGGGGAGTCATTCAGCGGTGGATTGACAAAGTGCCGATATTATCCCCATTGCATGACACGCTGTCAATAATAAACATTTACTCTGATGCATAAATATAATCTGCATAGAGTACAATGGATTGCATATAATAAAAGTATATGTTCTTTTTCCCTAGGCGGAGGAACTGGTGCCGTGCGATGTGACATATGCAGCCTTGGACCTGACCAGACCAGTGGCCACGAAGCCCCAGCCATTACCGCGCACCATCTACGCACAGATCAGCTTCTCCCAGACCAAGAACGGCTGATGCTCAAGTCTGGCACCAGCACCACCCGCTGATGTTCTAGGCAGTATTTTTGGTCTGAAGACCCGAGCCTATTCTTATCATAGACCAGGGGTCAGCAAAGAAATTAACAAGATACATTATTTCAAATTCAGTAAAACAAACCTCAATGTTTCAAGAGCCACAATGCATGTGGTGAATGAGACAGTGGCCCTTAATAATGTCACGAATCAGTCCTTGAAGAGCTGCATGCGGCTCCGGAGCTATAGGTTGCCGGACCCATCAAATACCAATGCATACACCACTTCAAGCCCTCTCCATTGGGGCCCAGATACGCTCTGTAATCCATTGACAGAACAGCCCATGTTTGTAGTAATGTATTCTAGACCAAGCTCCAAATAAAAGCCGGTGCACAGAATAAACGTTTCAGGACAGAAGTGCTCTTCTCTGCACCCACTGGACCAGTTGAAAGCAAATTTTTTTTAAACAAAAATCAATGGTTTCTCTGAAGGAGACCCTAGAATAATAGCAGCAGGCCCGTCTTAACGAGTCCGCTGTTGTTTAAGGGTATTCAGTAAGATCAATGCAAGTGGCCACTGACGCACTTGACCGAGCAGGCCCCAAACTGGGTGACAAAAGAATACAGACTGCCCGAGTGGCTCTTGTATTGATTCCTTATTTAAACAATTCTTCAATAAAAAAATATAACCTTAAAATGGCTCATTCGGAGCTGTTGCTTAAATCCAGCAGTATTTTAAATGGTACCGTAACTTGCAAAATTGTAAAGTATTTGCCTGTTTTTATGGTTATTTTTACTTGTGTACATACTGTATTGATATTTCAGCATAAACTTTAAAGAAAAATAGAGACCAGGTCTGGGCCAAATCCAAGACCAGTTCCAAACTTTGTGTACATTATAGATAATCCCAGGAAGCGGTCATCACATTTTACCTTTAACGCCATGTCACTTGTACTCCATTAAATACAGGAACGAAACACTTAGTGTAGCTTTACAATGAGCTCAAACGTTACACAGTAAACTAGTAGTTTGAGTGACACAATTAAGACTTGAGGCCATTGCCCGTGCATGAAAATTTCAGCCCAAATTATTGTCCAAAAGTATTAATACATTTTCATTGGCTTGGGAATTTCATTAAAGTACAATAAAAGCAAAAAGACAAGCTTTGAGAGGCCCATGTTAACATAGTCCATTCCAATATTAACCACATAATCCACATTTTATAACTGTAGCACATGTCAAAAACGTGTTCAAGATGTATCCACAAATGATGTACGTATGCTTATGTGTTAAAATGGCTGTGAAAATAAAATGTTGCAGAGAGCACAACTTTGTAGTTCACAAGTTTATTCAGCTTGTAAACACGACAGGTCTACAACAGTAATACAAAAGGATGGACAAAAATGTAAGGTAGTATTTGGGAATTACAAGCTTACTTTTCAGAGTTTATTAATTTGTGTATATTAACAACGCTTTATGTCGACAATTTAAAGGTATAACCTTCAGACTAACAAGCTTTCTAGAATTACCAAAAACTACCTTCACAATTGAGCATAATAAATCCACAATGAAGTTTCATCTTACTAAAAAAGTGTATATGGTTTTGATACCAGGCATATCGACATTCCCCAGTGTAGACATGGCCTTTTTCTTATTTTATCAGCAAGGGCTGGACTATTAAACGGTGACATTTTGCAGCATGCAACAAAGCATGATACATTCCTGCTTTGACAATAGATTGCATTGTCATTGTATTTTTAAACAACGTAACCCATGGGACAGTGTAAAGGGGGTGCAGAGACAATTGTGCGTGTCCTTGCTTGTGTGGGCTTTTCAAAGAAAACACAATTGTGCACACGGATACAATAATTGCTGGGTTAAATAACTTCATATTATCTATGCCTTCAATTAAATGCATCTCCCTCTCGTCCCCATGGCCCACTCAACTATAAGCGGCTATAGTAGCCAATGCATTAATGCTACATACAGATAACTTATGCAGCCTCTTCATCCTCAATCTTGGGTGCCAGATAGTACTTGATGTGGCCCATGTCTGCGATGCCATATTCCACAACTGCAAAAAAGTTAATGGGAAAGGTACACTTTATATACATTGCAGACTTTATAAACAATTCTGTAACAGTTATATTTAACAGGCATAACATTACCCATTTTAGTGCCTTCTCAATTGATATGAAATGAATGTGAATTCATGTTTTGATACCACACTTCACATAGAGAAAATCTTTTTGTAAATACACATTCAACGATGACAAATTGACAGCATTATAAGCAGAGTTTAATGAATGGTCTTTGGTAATTCAAGTCCAGGTGGAAAGAAGTATCGTGCAGAGTAGATGACTTGGTAATGCACAAGACCTCATTTACTTACCGAGCGGGACATCGGCAGACATCCGGAGTGTAACGGTGGGTGACAGTGGGGTGGCCTTGGTGAAGAAGTTCAGGTAGCGAAGGGCGAACGTCAGCTGCACGGCTTCACTCATTTCTATCGTTACCTGGTAGTGGAAAAAAAAAAAACTTTCATTTTACTGTAACACTTGTATATTTAATACAGCGAGGTAAATATATAAAAAAGCTAAAATATCAAACACGTTGAGACATCTCCTTTACCAGTGGCAAAATATAGTAGTAGGTTTTTACCCTTTCAACTGGTACAAAAACTGATACCTTTATACAGGGGATCATGTTGGCAATGACCACAACACAAGCAGTCAAAATGCAAACAAAAAGAAACAACTCTGATAATGATATGCACTGTCCTTGAAGTTGATTGGTCCACACCCGAGACAGCTTTTTCTTAGAGCCTAGTTTCCATGTATAAAGGTATCAGTTTTTGTACCAGTTGAAAGGGTAAAAACCTATTACTATATCAAACACGTGTCAAGAGAACCAGGATTTGTTTTGACGAATGTGTAGGTAGACAGGCCACAAACACTTACAGCCTCCTCTTCCTTTTCAGCACCGCTGGTCTGTGAAAGTTTGATGTTGCCAGTGCCCAACTCGCCGCTGGCTGAAAACTTCACACCGTCTTTGGTGCAGCAGATGACAACGGAGTCACCAATCTGGCTCAGGTCTCGGCATATCCGGGAAAATTCCCCAGATGGCATCTTCACAACGGCGCTGTAATCCTGTTCCTGTTGAACACCAGACGTGTGGACAGACACATTTGAAAAAATATTCAAGTGAATAAAAAAAACAGAATTGTACTGTTATTAAGAATACATAGACTACTGTCACCAAGAAAAAAACATTTTTCTACATTTCAATGACACCATGAAATCAACTTACGGGAATTCCCAGTTGCTCTACATCGAGGTCCATCAACTTCATCTCATAATCAGACACCTTCTCATGATCTGGAATAAAAGAAAAAGAGGAAATTAAAAATCTATTATAACCCCCAAAAGAGAAAGCATCAATCCAAATAAATATCGCAATGTGACATCACAATACAACCACGGGGAAAAAACGCAAACCCCAAATGCAAACTCGAAAGGTGTCAGGGTCAGGATCAACTCCACGACCTCCTGTATACCAGGCGAGGTAGTTAACATGTCGTGCCACCGTAGCGCCCAATTTAATAATTTATTAAATCCATACTCGTGATATATTACTCGTGTGCCCATCACTCGGTGTGTTAAGTCAATGCCGGCTGACTCGAGGTGTTCTAGCAATGCGAATCTACTCGAAATGCCACGCCTATATACGTCCACTAGGGGTGGGCATGACGTTTGTCCAATGGTGGCTGTCCTATCGATGCGTGTCCACTAGGGTATCCTATTAAAGTAATTCTACAAGAGACGTTTTTTTTGTCTGTCCACTAGAGGCGTCCTGTCAACGCAAGAGCCGTCGTCTAGACGGTGCCCAACCAGATGATGAGGTGTTTGTCAATGTATGCCAATTAGAAGTGTCCTATCGATGGGAGTCTGCTAGGGGTGTTCTGTCAAATGTATACACTTGGGTTTCATGCTGCACGTATGTATGTTGAACTTAAATTTGATTTAATTTCGATTTAAAGCTTTCGTGACTGCAGGGATTCATCTTCTTGGTTCTTTCGGTAAAGTCACGTAGAAGGGAAATAATACAAATAAAACACATTAAAATAAAATTCTCACGACGTTACGTTGAACATGTTTCGAACCGTGCTCATCAACACGTGTCATGTCAATGTGCAACTCACTTTGGGCCTCGAACACCAGGGTGAGAATGTCCGCATTGTCCTCGGCCCTCAGGGTGATCATGTCGTCGTTGCCGGCACACTTGAGGATTTTGGACATGCTGCAGGAGGAGGGGTGACGACAAGAGGTTAGGAAGGGCAAGACACACACGCTCACAATCCCAGGAACCCGACACAAATAAAGCACTCGAATATAAAATTTGGTATATCGTCAATGGATGAGTGGTCCACACTCGTTTTGGTGGCAACCACACTCATCGGGTGATAACCACTCACTAAACTAATAGAGTTGTTGTACAACTAACTCAAAAACGTGCCGTTGCGTTTGCTTATAACCAAATACGGAATACGCAGTAAGCTTTTATGAAGCCTCTGCTGTAAGGTGAACAAAGACAAAAGCTAGAGAGAAGCCAGCGAAGTGCTCGTGACACAATAAGCGCGGGCCACGGACCTACAATTTCGCGCCAAAGCGGCTGTCACTCGCACCGCGGTTATTTATTTATTTGCTCACAGTTATTACAACACAGCAACAACAATAACAAAATACGTCAAAGGTAACATCAAACTACCCTTTTATGTAACTTTGAACGGTTAATAGACGAAGAAAATGTGAGCAGCCCTTAAACACAGCAGGTGGTCGGACGTGACAGTACACGTGGTTACCACGTACAAATATATTATTCACTCACAATAATAAACTCTTTACGTTAACTCGCAATGGCTCTTACAAATACTATTGCTCTTGTGAAGTACAAACTCTTGCGCCCCCAAGACTATACAGTATTTTACTTTACAAAGCCGTTGTACTTACGTATGTAATCATACACATACTGACTTATAAAATGCACACGCAAAGTACTGTTATGTGCGGTCATGGAGCATAGCTGTGATGGAAGACTATTTTAACTTAACCTCGGCAAACTGTTTAAAGATTTTAGAGCTCGTAGCAACATGATTCACGCCAAGTCCATGACGTATTCGTCTGATCCTACTGGTGATGTTGGTGCTGGGGTTTGTGAAGTTGGTGCTGGTATTGACGAAGGTCTACGAAGTGATGGTCTTAGCTAAGTTTGGCATGGGTTGTGCTATTGTGATGCTACTGCTGGACAGTTCCGACAGTGACACCTCGAGGTGATAAGTGTCACAGCTGCCGATTCACAACACACTTAACTACAGTTCGCAAGCAGCGTCTACAGATTAACATCGCTATTGCCTGTGAAAATAAATTGTAATTAACAGTGGAACTATTACTGTTGATGCCAATGGTGGGAGTTGTTGGTATTAGTTAATGCGATGGGCCGCGGCTGTTGCCGTCTCCCGCGTTAGCCTCTCGCACCTGGTGAGGTTGATGCCCATGGCGAGGTTACGGTCGCATCTGTAGGTGTCGAAGCCGTCGCTTCGCATGGTGAGCTGCACCAGGGACACGTGCGACGAGTCCATGGACTGCAGGCTGACGCCGGTCGAGCTGATGTCCCAGCACGCCTCCGTGATCAGATCCTTGAGCGCCTCTAGAACCTTCTTCAGGATGTTGCCCTGCAGGATGCGTGCCTCGAACATTTTGGCGAGTGCGTTTGTCGTGTGTCCGGGAGAGCCGATACGCTAAGTTAAAGACGGTGAATCGTCGTGAGGAGCGAGATGAAGAGAGCGCGGTGACGTTCAGCTGCGACGGCGGCGGCGGCTGGAGGATGGAGGATCCCGAAATGGCGGGAAATAAAAACGCGCGAAATCTGGAGGGTGACGTCACTTCCTGGAAGGCGTCACCGACGGAACCGGGGGTTTAAATGTTAATATTTTATACGACTTAAAAAAAATTATATCCTCCTCGAATAAAATACCATTGCTCATACAGCGTCCTTTATTTGGGGCGGGGGGGGAGGGGTTTGTTTAATAAACAAAATTCTTGAGAAAAAAACATATGACGATGACGATGCCTTTGTGTGAGTGGATCGGTGTGGTGGGGTAGGGGGTGGGGGGCAGGGGATAGGGGGTGGGGGCAGGGGATAGGGGGTGGGGGCTACCGCGTCATCGTCACTGCCCCCCCCGCTTGCTCACAGCAAACCAGCGGTGGCCACCCTCAGCCGAGACGACATTTAACCTCGGTTGCTTCATCCACAATAGCCGTGCCGAGCACATCACAGCCTTCAGCAGCGAATAACAACAACAACGACAGCAGACGGACAGGTCAAGTCACCCATCGTCATCAGCTGCCCTCATCCCGCCCCGTGAGCGGCGGTCGAGGCAGCAGCAGCAACAACAACAACAGCAGCACCGCGTGTGCGTCTCACTCTTTTTTTTATATCTCCGACATCGTCTTCGTCGCTCGGGACTCATGAGCACCGAGCTAAGGCAGCGGATCCCGGCCGAGGTGGAGGGCTCGGCACCGGCGGTGAGAGACTACCCCCCCCACCCCCCCGTGTGTCATTGAAGCCCCACGCTTTGTGGCCCGGGCAGAGGGAGAGGGCCCAGGTTGGGTTTTATTTTATCTATTTTATCGTTCGAAATTGATGTACGCTTTGTATCGTGTCAAAATGTGGGGAGGCAGTCATGGGAGGTGGGTGGGTGTCCGTGTGATTATGGAGCTATGGGTGTCTGTGAATTGCAGAACTGTCGATGTGAGTCCCAGTGTGAGTGGCATACAAAATGTGGATTTATAGACTTGACTGCTTGCGAAGCTGTGTAGACATTTTATAGATCGTCACAGTTATATTTGTTTGTTGGTAGGGCTCTTGTTAGTCTCTCTTGATCTCTGAATATGGCTCTGTGCGTGTCGTGTGTGTATGTGTATGGGCCCCTTCAGTGTTAAGACTCGCGTAACATTGCAAGGTGAATTCTGTCTACAAGTTGAGACGCCACAATGAGATCATCTCGAGTGAACATGATATAAATATTTTATTTTTGCATGGCAAGGCAAGGCCCAGAGAGATGTCGACGGCTTGTTTAGGCTTTCATCCAGCAATGCAAAGAGCATGTACACCGTGAGAGTTAACAGACCGCCGTTATGAGTTGACATTGTTGTTTGTGACCGTAAATTCGTCCTGTGATATTTGCAGAGGAGCTAATGCTTCGAGGTAAATGTGTTGTTCTTCGTTTGTCGTGGGGCTCCGAGTTGGAATAACATAGTGTTTGCCTTACGGAAAATTCCGACCCCATTGCATTTTTTTTCCAGTGTCTCCCACCCTACATGGTGGTGGGCCTTCTGTGGCGAAATATTTGACCCCACGGTACTTTTTCCTACACCCACCCCCCTCTCATCATTTTGCTTTACGCTCCAATAGGCCACGCAATCGTGGAGTGTGCAGTTTCTCTCAACAAGTTTTGTGTTCGCTGTAGCCCTAGGGTGATGCATGCTGAAGTTTGTGAAGGAATGGAATGGTGTGCGTGTGTCAGTTGTCCATGGATGATGGTGCACCAGGCCGAAACTCGCGTCTTCTCGTCATTCCGCAGTTGACCGTGCGATGTCGAACATCAAAAACCTTATGGGGCAAATAATGAATTATTAGTCGTTCTGTCAAACACATGGATGCTCTTGTTTTTAGTAAAATAGTTGACTCAATAAATGAGCCACTATTTTTGAAGTAACATCCCCCCTCACCGTGGCTTCATACATAAGCAAGATTTAACTCTTGAGTTGTGTGCATTTTATGTAACTCGGCATTGCATTGATTGGCTTTACCCTCTCCGTTTTACTTAACCACCCGTTTTATGAATGTATTTGGTTGAATTTTGGCTTATTTGGCTACAAGTTCAGAGGGTTTGTTTCAAGAGTTGGACAACGATTGTGCAATGGAATATGTGACCAACACAAACCTCAAAGGTGATGCAGTGAGTGAAATTAAACAGCACTGCATGTGTGCATGTTTTAATACAATTCAGTCACTTGATTATTTGAAGGTGCTTAATTTATTATTGCCAATGTAGCTTCAATACATTGGACCAAAGGTTATGTGGAGGAATAATTGTCGTATCTACGTAAATCGGATAAATGAATCCTTATGTGACGAGATGCGGAATTCCCACATGCGTTATTTTATTTGTGGTTGCCTAACTTTTAAGAAATGTACGTCAATGAATGCACTGTTCCAAACACAAATTGCAAAATGCCTAATGGGAGAGTTCACTGAAACCTTATAATAACCCAGATTTCTGATTTACCCAATCTTTACATTTTAACTGCTTTCACTAATGTTAATATCTAATCTCCATTATTTACAGTAACTTAAAAACGAGTTGTTATTTTTAATCAATCCTGCATATTAATCCCAAGCGCAAACCAACACCATCAAATTACCATAAGCACAGATATACCAGCAATGCCAATACTTAGACTCCTTATAATTCCATGAATTACAAAAAAAAAACTCATGTTTGTGATTCGTTTCCACACGAGAACATTTTCTGTATATTGTGGCGAATGTTGTGCACGGGTTATATGAACCAATTTCAAACAGTCTATGAATTAAAATCTTTCTTTCTCGATTCAATGTATGCATCCTGAGAATAAGAATACATTGTAAATCAGTTAATCGATGCATCGTTACATGTCTACAGAGATTACTACATTTTTCCCAGTGCTAATAAATTGTTGTGCCACATTTGTTGCCAGTTAAGGTCATCAGAGGGCATGTGTGTCTACACCTTGTCCAAGAGTCCATAGTCTCTACACAGTACACTATTAGTATGCTTATTCTGACTTACCGTCTCTCCCCACCCTCCAGGAACTTGCCAGAACTTTGCTTTAATTTGCTTATGAACGGCACTGCTACACCTGCCCATGCATATGTCACACTGGCTTTTGAGTTTTGAATGTATCCGTGTTACGAAAGACTGCATCCATTTTTGTTCACTGATTGTGCAAAGCAGCTGTGGCCGAGTGATGTATGTACTGTATGTATGTAGAACTTTTTTCGCACCGTACGTAGCCAACCGTGCTAATCAGAGGTGCTATGAAGAAGTGTACATATGACCGTATCTCCTGAGGCTGAGGTTTATTGGACTAAAGCCTAATCCAGTCGTGCATTCAATTTTAAAGCACATCTTTGCGTGGTACTCGCTTCTTCGCATTAAATACATTGTCAAGCGAACTGCCTGTTTCGACAAGTTAAGGGTCCCCCCTTGACGTCGTGCACAATGACGGGCTGACCTCTGTCACTGTGCTCTTATTTTTGTCCATTTAAGGCAGTTGTGTGTGGCAAAATCAAAAGCCTCACTTCAGAGGCATACCGATATGAAATTGTAAAATATGATATTGCAGCTTAGCAGGTAGAAACTTCAAATATGAGAATCGCAAACCGTACAATTGATGACCAATTAGCCAATGAAAACCGACAAGTACTCCGCTACGCAATGCAGAGATTGTGAAGGACACGAGGGCTGAATGATATTGGAGGCTGCCAGGAAAGGGTTCATTTTTTGTATTTTGTAAAGGGGTCAGAGCTGCAGAGCAGGTTTAATGTTGCCATGGTGACCATGGTTAAGAAGCTAACCGAGTCCCCATATTGCAGTGTTATGCAAACACCAACATGGGCAAAGGTGACAGGATGCAGGCCAACTATAGGGCATTGCGTTTCCGTGCACAAATCTGATTAAATTCGCCGATAATTCACTTTGTGCAAATGTGTTCCATTTGCAGTTAATGTTATTTCATCCCCGTGTCACGCACGCATGTTTAGCTGCGTTTGGTACTGGATGCTTTAAATATTTCCCATGAAATATTGCACCATGTAAAATGGCTTCGGTCAAACATAATACGGGTACAAAATACAAGTGCATTGTTGCCACTGCAGCGATAAAAACATTTTTTGTGGTTTACTTCCTCGACAAGGTTTGGTTTTCTAGTGTTTTTTTTGTTAACTCGAATACATTATTTCGTATATGATTTTCTCTCGTGGCACACCGTTTTGGGGCCAGAAACTCATAAGGAAGCTTTTCGATGCATAATGACTCGTGGACGTCGGTAAACATTAGCGGCAGACCAAGGCCGAGCACACCAAGCTACTCATTGGTTTAACTTTCCTTTGCTCAACCTTATCGGAGTTTCTCAATCAGGGCTGCCAGACTGTAATGCATTGATAGCACCAAACAGTTGCTGCTCAGAGCAGATGTAGAATTTAGATGTAGTTTTGTTTCATGAGTGTTTGGACAAAATGGTTGTGGTGATTTCATGCAATCATTCAATCTTTAACATTATGGTGAGTGCAATGGCCTCCCGTGACAGTATTTGTTGCTATGTTATGGGCCAGAGTTTCTTCATGGACCATTCAATCAATAAGTACTCTATATGTGTCAAACTTTGGATGCATTAGCATCACGAAAATATCTTAAGTTTGAAAATGCGTAGATAAAACTCACATTTAAAACAGAGTAAGCTTTTATATTGTTTAAATACAAAATACATTTTACGTATGTTTGTCACTCCATTAATGGAACAAGGCTTTCACATTGTGCCTGTCATGGGGATTGACCATACATTGCCTCTCTGGTCAGTGAGCTGGTGAAGATGGGAGCCAGAACTGGTTCATATGTCACTCGCCAATGATGTTAGCTGTGGTTGGCAATAAATGAAATGCACAAGACTTAGAGCATTGGAAAACGTGGTTCTTATTATATACGTACATAACATGTAGAACTTAAATTGACTACAGTATTGTGATCTGTTACAGCCATCTGACTCCTTGGCACGGCCGTCAAACCTCTGACACAATGTATTTAGTCTCTGCTGCAATTATAGCATCACCATTTGTCTGCATTCATGTTTCCATCGCAGCCATTTATGCATAATTATACATGGTTGGGTGATAATGATATCACAAAGCAAAAATAATAACAATAATAATTTTTACATTACTCCAAAGCCATGTTTAGCAGATTTCTTAGCACATTCACATCATTTGACCCAACTCGGGGATAATTTTTGTAATCTCTGGAGTAATTCATACATTTTTATTTGCAGTCCCTTCAAAATTGGACATCAGAAAAGCATATCCATACTACTGTGGGTGTAATACTATGATCATTTACAGTGGACCTTAAAGATTAAAAAATGTCCACATTTCTCAATTGGGATTATATATAGCAATCATTGCCCCATACTGGCATTAATTAATGCCCCAGGTCACGCAATGGTCACGCAATGGTCACGCAATGGTCACAGCAATGGCCTACTCTTGTGAATGACGACATGGAAGCCTTACCGACCACTGTGAAGCAGACGTGTATTTTAAAGGTTAAAACACCTGTAGCATTAATCAGGGTGTCTGCAGCAAACGACAAACATGCTAATGCTAGGCCATAGGCTTGAGAACCGATATTAAATGCTGAACCGATGCATATTTATACACCTACTTTTCGAGCACATTTCTGATCACGGCGCATGCCCTGTATCCAGGAAGAAGACACGAAGAAGCATGTATTGACTGATGAAGGGGAGGAAGATGATGGCCAGGATGACAACGAAGATTGGGGCGAGAGAAAAGGGGAGGACAGTGACCGAAAGGACGATGGGGAGGAAGGGGAAGACGGGGGAGAGCGGGATGAGGAAGAGGAGAGGGCCGAGAAGAAGGTGGACGACAGATCCAAGTCCGGCCAGGAAACGGCCATGGGGCAGCCCGGTACGGACAACACGCCTGAGGTGCTCAACAAAGCGCTATCAGGGATGTCGTCTCGGTAAGGTGCACACACTCGCTGGCATTGTCGCTTTGCTGGCACACAACCACACCGATGTTTGAACATGATGAAGATTTACTTAAGCAGTAACCTTTTTGTTACCGAAAATTTAATGGGGCTTATAATGGCCAGAGTGAAAGTGTAGTCCACGTGATAAAGGACTGGTGGCTGAAGGTGAAGCAATTAACCAAATGATTATTTTGATATGATTCGTGATTTCTGGTCTACTTTTGTCAGAGGAACATGGAATGCATCCCACAATGATTTCCGTTGTTAATTTAAATATTCCATTGTTTTACATTTGAAAGAAAAACAAGTAGACAGATTGTACTTTGAGCGATTATATTTTATGCATGTGTATAGTATATCCAGCTGAATATGCACAATGCATGGGCTTCATTTTTCAGAACCATGTGTAATTTGAAGATATTTTGCTGTCACAGCACTGCCCATGAAACTACGGATATGGTGCCAGCAAGCCATCAGCTTGTTTGTGCTTGTGTCCTCAGATGGAGAAACTGGTGGGTTCGTGGGATTCTGTCCCTTGCCATGATTGGATTCTTTTTCATCATCATCTACTTGGGACCACTCGTCCTCATGCTCATTGTAAGCAAGGCACTGCACGAAAGATACATTGCTCCCAGTGCTGCCATCGAAATCACTTTCACTTTGGGATTCTCCGGACGTTATGCGGTGGCGCATGATTTTGTGACTGCGAAGGTGTTTGTGCAGGACAAACGTGATGAAATACAATAAAGTAGGGGTGAGGTCTGCCTAGTGTGGTTAAGTAAGCCTTTTCATGTTTTGCCAGATAATGGTCAATGTAGACGTTTTATTTAGCCATTTATTTTGCAGTTATGTGTATATGTGAAATAAGACCCTTGATGGGTCCTGTCCAGTACACTATGACCTCTAAGCATTGACTGGAAATGTTTTGAGACAGTCTGAATGGCTCAAATATATTTTTTTATGATTGCACAAAGTCCTAGGTGATGGCTGTTATATTGTTGGAGCTGTACCAGGAAAATACAGAAAATCAAGTGTAGCACCTCGCACACATAACCACAGTTATGAACCATTGAAAGTTTGTCAACAATACATTTTCATGCAGGATGTATGGCCCCAGTTTGTCTGACTTTTAGAGGAGTTAATCTTTATTCATTATGCAGTGCAATGACTTTCAAATGCCAGTCCTTACCAATCTTTTCCACTGATATGCAGATGAAGCCATTACATGTTGCACACACATCTGGTGCTTGATAGTTGGAAGGGTGCATCGTGACGGTCACAGAGAAGGGTGTTAGAGAAACACGGACTGTAGCAAAAATTTAATTGGGTTGTATGAATACCAGATTTTTATTTTTCTGACATGAAAACTCAAAGTGGTTTTGTGTTGTTTCCCTTGAAATTCAGGTTCTTGGTGTTCAGATCAAGTGTTTTCATGAGATCATCACCATCGGCTACAACGTGTATCACTCCTATGAGTTGCCCTGGTTCAGAACGCTGAGCTGGTAAGCCGCTTGTGGCTCTAAGTCGCCATTACACAGATCGTATGAGGTCCTTAATAGTAGCACAATCAAGGCACTCAGACGAATGAAGTGAAACAAATGAGAATGTGGACTTTGTGAAAATGACTTGGATTATGGGATTTATCAACAAGTTTTTAGATTTTTATGGTATTGGTTCAGAACCTGAAATGCATGTACTTTGTAGCTTGTGAAACTTAAGGGAAGTGGTTACCAATTATTTTAATGATTTCCTAAAATAGTTTCGATAAACGGACTAAAACGACAGTGAAAAAATGAAAAAAAATCCACATTTTGTACAGAGGACACCAACACATTCTGAATATCAGATGTGGCCAGTTTTGTTTCCATGAAAACATCAACTTGTGATTATTACACTTGTGTATTCAGTAAAGCCTCACTGAATCTCACTACTCTTTCAGAATGGTCCTGCAACATTTTCCACACGAAGGAAATTATTTCTTTGTGTTTCATTAATTAAGATGACTCTTAACATGACTTGTGAATTTTACAATATATACAATATTAGTAAAATACAAACTCAAGAAATTTGGGACAAAGACGTGAAAAAAATGTTTAAGCTTAGAACATGTTGATACTTTGAAAGTATATGATGTAGGAAAAAACTTGCATGATAAAGTTTACAGGTATGTATTAGTTGAGCTAATTGGGTGTGTCTTCATGGTGGCGGTGTTTAATTCCAGGTACTTCCTGCTTTGTGTGAATTACTTTTTCTACGGAGAAACTGTGGCCGATTACTTCTTCTCCCTGGTTCAACGCGAGGAGCCCTTGAGACTCTTGTTTCGCTACCACCGCTTCATTTCCTTCACATTGTACTTGACTGGTGTGTGCCACCCACCCACATCACCACCCACCCACACTTAGCCACTTATCCACCAACCCACTTATACACCCACCCACTGATCCAGGGATCATTGTGGAACTGTTGACCGGTCGTTTAAAATATAAGCTAATATTAAGTTATTTGGGGGTCACGCTTTTAAATGGCAAAACAATACTGACGAGAAAGGTGGCTGTGATACTAGTCTGTAATTGTAGTTGCTGTTTGTGTTTTGTAATCAACTTTTTCAATGTCCCACAGGATTTTGCATGTTTGTGTTGAGTCTGGTGAAGAAGCAATATCGTCTTCAATTTTACATGGTAATTTTGGCACTCCACCAGAATCCTGTAAATTTATACACATATGACAGCAGTTAATTTTAAATATTTTATAACCGAAGAAATGTCGATTTCGAGTAGCAAGTGGTTGAAGATGCTTCATCATCTTATGTGTAATCATTGTATTATTGCTATGCTGTGAAAATTCTATTTGGAGTCAAATGAAATGTAAAATAAGGGATTCATTATAAACACTCCTCAAAGTATTATTATCCATGATTAGTCACAGTTCTGAGTCAATACTTAGTTATTTCCATCTTATATGACAGGTTAGGCCCTTAGGGAGGTACTGTATCTCAGGACCAGGGATTTTAGTGTCGGTACTGTGATTGAAGTGGTTAAAAAAAAATCTTAATTCACGTTTTTTAATGCTTGCTACAGTTTCCTACAATAAACATACTGCCCAAATTTACAGGTCGTGCGCATCCTTAATTCCAGAGCCTATAGTTGGAATGTAACGGGGTTGGCTATTCACTTTTAATAAACATGAGAGAGATATGAAAAGGGGCAGGGGGGGGGGGTAATATAAGTGTTAATCAGGGAAAGGTCAAGTTTTAATTTTACCTTTTGTAGCTGTAAAACACATCTAATGACATTAATTGCAGTTAGAATGGGCCATTTCATGACATTTTACTTTAAAAAAATCTTCGAAGGTCTATTAATTTGTTGTTTGAAAGCTTGTTGGACCAACCAGAACTTGCATTCTATAAGTCGCAGCATAACCCTTTTCAAGCAGGGCTTAATTTAAACCTTACTCTTTTGTGGGGATTGCTGAGGTAGCTCTGATAGCTGCTTCTGTTGGCTAATCTGTATAGATCCAAGAGGAAACTCCATCTTATGATATTATACTTTGGATAAAGCTGTGAGAAAGTGACCAAAGTAGTAACCCCAATCTCTTCTGTGCTTTCCTACTGCAGTTCGGATGGACCCATGTGACCTTGCTGATTGTAGTGACACAGTCTCACCTTGTGATCCAGAACCTCTTTGAGGGCACGATCTGGTAAGACTTTAGTTCAACTGGTGTAGCCTAACCTGCACTTTTGAGGCTTAATGAATATTAAGAACTGTGTTTGCCTGTTTACCACCCATGCGAGACTGAACTATTGCCTTTGATGAAATAGAAATGGCTCTTTTATTGTTTCTCTGTAAAAATATAAATCACGGATGAATTATGTACCTGTGTATACACGTAACTATATCGATAATTGGTTCTTTACCCTTCTATCTGGCAACAAAACTGACACCTTTTTTGATCACTTTCATTTCCTCCGTAAACAATGTAATTAGTAAACACAAACAATTGTGGTGGATGGAATGCATGTTTTGTCCACAGTGTATGGTAATCTATACATGGGTGATAATAAAAGTAACATGTTTTCTAATCTACGCTTTATAATGAATGTATATGCTGCCCTTTGTCAGTTCAACACTGGATGAGGATCCTCCCCAAACCATCTTGGTCGCGAGGGTTTTTAAAATTATATTTCACGATGCTTGTCAGCGGTTTGGTGAAGGGGTAGTTTTCCAGGACCTGTCAACATGTTATTCACTTTATTCACTAATGATGTTAGCCGTGGCTGGGAATCAAAATAATTGCAACGCATCATTTCCAAATGGGTTAAAACTTCTTGTTTGAATCGTATTTATTATTGATGGTGCTCAATGTCCCATGGTTTTGTTTAAAGCAGTTTGCTTTGGATAAGTGTCACATATATCAATGCAAATCTACTTTGCCGATATCATTTACTGCATGTTTATTTTACCAAAATCTATGCATGTTTGTGTGCTCTGCCATTTTTTTTTCATTGGACATTTTTAACTGCTTAGCCTATGATCAGATCACCTGGAATTCACCCGATCCCATCAGGTCTCGGGAGCTAAGTGGGGTTGTGCCTTTATAGTGCTAAGATTGTCAACCATCGTGGACACACGGATTGTCAAATGCTGCGGTGTTACACGATGGGTAGCAGAGGGCAGCACAGCAACTCCATTGTTATACCATTCATGTGGCGTTTGCACATTTATGCACGTACACTAACACGCACTGATGAGTACGAGAAAATAACCGCACCATCCGCATGGTGTGGGTTGACAAAGGGGCTGCACATGTGTTAATGTGTATTATAAACTGCATCTGCGTTGCTGCCCATAAATTGCTCAACTATCCTCGCTGCTGCAACAATCGCCTGGCGCTGCCTCAGCAGTGCTTAGCAGCGACTGAGATACGTTTCTCCCTGCAGGTTCATTGTTCCCATCTCCATGGTGATTTGTAATGACATCATGGCTTACATGTTTGGGTTCTTTTTCGGACGAACCCCGCTCATCAAGGTATGACAAACATGTCATGGGAACAACAGCTTTCATACAAACCTTAGTGTCATTAGTCGCTCCATGTAGCGCGGTGCTTATGGCTCGTTGTGCCAGACAAGATATGTAAGCGATTGTACATCCTAGCAGGTAATCCAATATGCTTGCAAACCTTTATGTTTTGCCCGACAACTGCGCTATCATTGCCAAAATAAAAAAGGTTTGCTATGACAATAACATTAATTTTGAGGCTGTTGGATATAAAAATAGTGCAAATTAAACCTTTGCCTTGTGTATAAAAAGATTATCTTAGGTGCATATGCCCACATTTAGAAACGTGCGCTTTGAGTATTTGGCTGCTATCAATTTACACATGATAAGCCACTTCCTTGGGCTATCATTTGTGGCCAGGTCGCTTTCGAAAAAGAGCAATATAGCTCAGTGGACCTTACCTGGTAGAATAAAAATTGTTTAGCTTTTACATATATTTTTCCCAGACATTTATTTTTAAACACATAGCTACTACAGTAATTGTCAGTTAATGAATTCTTCTGAAACTTATTGATCTGCCGCATTTCCATTGTTTGTCCCAAACAGCTGTCTCCCAAGAAAACCTGGGAGGGATTTATCGGAGGCTTCTTTGCCACGGTCGTGTTCGGCCTCATCGTGAGTTTCCTTTGTCCTACAGAGAACCTCGAGAAGCAGCGGTGCAGTCGTACATTTGCACATACATCCCGGCGCTCGCCTTGCGGTTACATCTTGCACTGCACGCCCTTGTCGGCTGGCGTGTCATCACGACACGGCGCATAACGACGCACCCACAATGACATTCACTTTCTCCCGCGTGGCCTGATTAATGAATGCGTCATGTCAGTTTACCCTTTCAGTGCGTACTCAAGGTGGTCTTGCGAACGTCATATTACTCCAATATTTGTATTTCTTTACCGCTCTTAGCCGTTTGTAAGACTAATGTGTATACATTGCCAGGTTTTTTTTTCCACTACTCATGGATGTCATGCGTAGGTGATATTTGCAGAATTTTTGTTACTTCAGCCCTGCTTTTTAGAGGCAACAGTCATGTCAAAATGCATCCGTTGTACTAAATTTAGTTTAAAAAGCCACTGATAAATGTCCTGCCTGCTGCTTGGATTTGTTTCAATGTTTGCTCCGTTGAATGAATGCTATAGTCCTCGTCGAGACGTTGAAAGTTATGGTTGTTGTGTTCAGAGTTCAAGGTTTGGTTTTTATCTTCACTCTAGCCACAGGTTGCATAATTGCACCATGGTAAACAGGAATTCTTATTTATTTATTTTTGCCATAGACAGTGAGCTAATAAAATTTATTTAAACGGTTGTGTCCGTATCTTTAATATGACAAACACTCGCATCAACAGCAAGGGAGAAGAACAATCGGATGTTTTTTTTAATAGTGCGGCCTTCCTAGGATTTATAAAGTGAAATAAAATCTGTTGTCTATATAGCAGTAAAACTGTTTTGGGTCCCAACAGGCATGCCTTAGAGCAGTGTCAGAAATAAAATAAAATTCCAGGTTTAAAAAAACTATACGATCTTGTAATGAAATATATGTACTTTAAACACAGTCATGCTTTTGATCATGTTGGTAATACCATAAATTGGATTTCTACTATAATAGGCTTGTACAAATTTTGCCCCTTGCATTTTGATGAATTGTCACGTGTCAGGGTCACAATTCTACTGAAGGATCGATCATGTTAACTTTGCGGTAAATGTAGCAGCGATACACTCCAGGGGTAATGTGAACCAATTATTACACGACCCATACATTCCAAAAAAATGTTGCTTTCGATGCACATTTGATTAGGAGCCTGAAGTTGCATACAATAATCTCAATTCTTAATGGTCACATTAGTCCCATTGAATGTGTGCAGCAATTAAATTATGACGTTGCACATGTGCATATGATGTACGATAGTCATACTCGGGCTAATGAAGTAAAACAAATTATAGTAACGAGGTAGTAAAATGATAAACGATTGAGAAAAAAAGAGTATTGTAATAAAATTGAGACTGATTTACAATGCATCAAATTTCCAAGTAGTTTTGCAGGATGGGGGGTAGAGTAGTGAATTGTTACGCCCATAATCTTGAGCATTAGCATCACTTTTAATCTGCAGCATTACACGTTCCAACATTTGTATGGCATACACCCGCTCGCATAGACACGCACACCTCCCTCTCTATGCTGAGCACTACTTGATGCTGTTGTTTCCTCATCTTCCTCCTCCTCACTTGCCTTCACACAGCTGTCTTACCTGATGGCTGGCATCCCATACTTTGTATGCCCCGTGGCGTACAACAGCGAGACCAGCCGATTCACCGTGGACTGCCATCCCTCAGAGCTGTTTCACTTGCACGAGTACTCCGTACCCGCTGTGGTGCAGTCCGTCATTGGCTGGGTGAGTTTCTAGCACATGACACTTAGTTTTGCTGAGTTGTCTCTTTTTCCATGTACATGTTAAAATGTCATTGCAGTTAAACTTGTATTTCCTGCTAGGTTTTAGATTACACAACAGCAGGGTTTCTCAGATTGTGGGATTCCAGTTTGTTTTAAGTGAAACAAAATTATCTTGTCATCTGTGGTTATAATTTTAGTCGTATTCAGCTTGTAGTGCATACATTGGCTATATTTTGAGAAACTAGCATTGTTCATCTGTGAGTCGTACAATCACAGCATTTTGAGTAGTTTTTGTTGTACAGAGTTGTGTAAGAGTTTATTCTGACCATACGGTTCCAGGGTCCTATTGTATTGATGGCCTTTTATCAAGATAAACAACAACAAAATTGTCACTACATTCATGAGGTTTCAGACAATTCTAAACACTTCTCATTCTTCATTTTTTAAGTTTAAAGTTAGAAATTGTTTTGTAAAATGAAGAAAATTTGGAAAACACGAGGGACAAATTTCGATTTAAAGCTTTCGTGACTGCAGGGATTCATCTTCTTGGTTCTTTCGGTAAAGTCACGTAGAAGGGAAGTAATAAAATAATAAAAATAAAAATAAAACATAATAAAACAATTATGTTTTATTTTTATTATTTTATTACTTCCCTTCTACGTGACTTTACCGAAAGAACCAAGAAGACGAGGGACAAAGTTAGTATTTAATAATAATAATTAAAATGTATAATACGCATTTCATCCTAGGATCCCAAAGCACAATGTGTGAAAGGCAGGTAACAAAAACAGAACCAGGGCAACCGACTAAAGAGGGAAGGCCACTTTATAGAGATGGGTTGTCAAAGCAGACTTAAATATCTACTGACTCTGATTTCCTGATTTCAAGTGGCAAGGCGTTCCATAGCTTGGGTGCCACGCTACCAAAAGCCCGATGACCAAAACAGCACAACCTCGACCTGGGAGTGCTGAGTATCTTACAATCCACTCGGAATTTGACCAGTAGCCAATGAAGAGATAAAGGGGGACCGGTCCAATGTGCTCACGGAATGGTGGACATGGTGTCGGCACTCCCAGCTGCATTCTGAACAAGCTGGAGTCTCCCCCAGTGCTCGGAATCCCAAACAGCGAGGCGTTGCAGTAGTCGAGTCGGAATAACACAAAAGCATGGACCAGTCTCTCTTATTTCCCTTCTACGTGACTTTACCGAAAGAACCAAGAAGATGAATCCCTGCAGTCACGAAAGCTTTAAATCGAAATTCAGTCTCTCCAAGTCGGCAGGTGACAGGAAGCGATGCATTCTGGCAATATTTCTTAGGTGGAAATTTTTTTATTTTAGCCACGTTAGATATGTGCCTCAAAGGATAATGACTGGTTAAACTGAACACCGAGGTTTCTAACCTCCCGTGTGGGACTGACATTGTGACCATCAACTAACGAGACGAACCAATTTTAGAAAGATGCAGAGGGGAGCCGATGAATATGGCTTTGGTCTTGTCAGCATTTAGAAGTATGAAGTTTCGGTGCAACCATGATTTCACGACTGTCAGTGATGCAGATGCTGTTGAATAGTCTGGTCCTAACCGGTAGGATCAAGATGTTGGAGTATAATACCCAATGGTGCCATGTAGATGCTAAAAAGTGATGGGCCAAGCACAGATCACTGCGGAACACTCCGGAGAACCGGTCTAATTGGTGACTTAAAGCCAACCTTTGTGACGAAGTACCTACAATCCTTTAAGTAAAAGTGGAACCCACAAAGCAATGCCAGAGAATCCCCATTGAAACTTCTAGTCGCTTGAGGAGGACTTAAAACTGTGGATTTTCACAGATAATTTCCAGTAAATCATGAACGAGCAGCCAAACTACAGTGTAGCCACCAGGGTTTCTCCTAATTTAGAAAGTGTTCCTCATCTTAGAATTGATTATAGCAGCACCACGGACGAGCTGTGAGTAATGCTTTGGTGGGAATAGCCAAGAGGCAATCAAAGACTCCTCCTTTAACCAGAGCTGGTGAGCATAGCATTAATGGCTTGAGAGTGTATGTGCTGTTATAGACAGACGGCTGATAGTTCAAGGACGCCTCTGAACAGGTTGCACTGCATTTTCTGTACTTGCATTCCACCATGCAGTGAGCAATATCCACACATTCTTTGGGTCTTTCGGTAAAGTCACGCAGATAGGTTCAATAGTTAAGTGGAAACCCTCCCCATAGAGGCAGTTTAATCTTGACTTCAAGCTTCCGTGACTGCAGGAATTAATATTCTTTGGGTCTTTCTGTGAAGTCACGTCAATAGATTGGCCCAACGGAAGCTTTAAGTCCAGATTTAACCGCCTCTACGGGGAGGGCTTTCACTTTACTATTGAACTTATCTACGTGACTTTACCGAAAGACCCAAAGAATATGAATTCCTGCAGTCACGAAAGTTTTAAGTCAAGAAATAGCCACACATGCTCTGTGGTGCTGACAGCATTGATGAGGGTTGCGTAATTTGCTATTTCTTGCTAGTCATGTAACCTCACTAAATAGGTGGACTTGTCGCGGTAACCAGAGCTTGCACAACAGCAATGTGGCTCTGCTTTGAGTAGTGGCCTCAACACAAAGACAGACATATCCTGTGTGTGTGTATGTATGTGTCTTTGTGTAGGGATTGCAGTGGCACAGTGGTTAGTCTTCGCCAAAATGTGCCACGGCTAACACCATTTTCAAATATTATATCAGAACTTGTCATGGGCCTTTCTTTTATTGACTCTGCCTTGAATGAGTACCTGGGGCAGTGTGTATATATTTTTCATTGGAGAAACTAAAGCAGCCAGGCATGCTGCTGGCCACACCCCACCCCGTGTTGTGCTTGCCTTGGTAGGTGCTCTCTCACAGCCCTTGTCCCAGGAGTCTGCAAGGCTAAATGGGGAACGTTTGTGTGTGTGTGTGCAGAAAACAGTTCGGCTGTACCCGTTCCAGATCCACAGCATTGCTCTGTCAACCTTCGCTTCGCTCATGGGACCATTTGGAGGGTTCTTTGCAAGTGGATTCAAGCGTGCCTTTAAAATTAAGGTGTGGATACTTTAGCATTGTCTCAATTATGCATTAAGTGCTCTCCTTGCCTCATTGATTGGTATGAATTTGCTTAATGTGCTCACACACTAACATTGGTATATTGCATTTCTCATCATTATCGCTAATATACATGGACAGCCCTTTTTCAGTCCACTGCTGGTTGAGGTCATGTCCATGCCGTGCGGGTGGTGGAGGTTATATGACCACATTTCACCATGCTAGTTTGTGTGGGTTGGAGAAGCTTGAGAGCGTAGAGATGGGTGCCACTGGAGCGAGATGTTAACTCCTTTGCCTGGTATGCAGGAGGAAGTGGGTTCGATCCCTACACTGACACCTGTATATTTGGAGTTTGCATGTTCTCCCCGTGGTTGCGTGGATTTTTATAAGGCAACACTTGGTTGAGCGATCATTTGTGGCCAGGTCTCTTCTGAAAAAGAGCTTATATAGTTCAGTGGGCCTTACCTGGTGAAATTAAAAAAAGTTTAATTATAATAGTTTTTTATAGTTTAAGAACAGTAAAACAATTTGTTTTGTTCCACTGCTCTCTGCTGTCCTGCATGTAGCCCGGCAGTCAGGTAAATCTGGCATGTACTGCACGTACGTTCAACAAAACTTTAATTTATTTGATAGTTAAGCATAATTGTGTGCAGAGTTAAAAAATTGTGCTCAACTCAAAGCTACTGAAAACATATTTTCGAATTGGCTCGTGTGCAGGAGGTAGATTCTTGTATCATGAAACCTTGAGGAATGGGAGCAAACTGGGGAGAGCTTCATCCAGCAGTGGACGGATCATGGCTGATGATGAACCCAGACAGTAAATTACTCTCATGTGTGTTTGCACCCTTGCAATGCACATTAATGTTGTTGTGCCATGCTTCACCACTTCTGTCACAGGATTTTGCCGACACCATTCCTGGCCACGGAGGGATCATGGATCGATTCGACTGTCAATATCTCATGGCCACGTTTGTGCACGTGTACATGGCCAGCTTCATAAAGTAAGGAATTTAAACGCAGTTTTTTTTCAATTTCACGCAAATACACCCTAATACTTATTGTAATGAGCTGCAGGCTTTTACTGAAGGGATTTCTGTTAAAAGCTTGAACATAAGAGATTATGTAATCTCTGAGTCAGTATTTTATCTCGAGTCCTTGCAAGCCCACCTTCAGCCCAGTGGTCCGCTTGATATACACAATCCGTTTATTTGCACAATGTGGTAATGTGATTCCTCGGTTTTCCGTGGGGTGTATAAAGAAGATAAAAGTGCGGGCGGTAATTCACACTCCTGCCAGTCGACTACACAAATATACAAATATGGTTTTGTCGTAGGATGGTACAGGAAATGCATTGAAGGCTGCAGTGTAAACACATGCTTATGTTACGTTTTAAAAAATCTCTTCAATTAAAATGTGTTTTGCGTTTTGAGTGAAATTTGACAACTGTATTATAACACTACCCTGTGACCACGTCTGACTCTTGTTGTCTGTCTTCTTATTGAGTTTTCTATCTTGAGGCAGCTTCTTAGTTCAAGTTACCTCCAATGTGTTGAATTCTGCACTCTCCTCTTCATTTTTGCATATAGCCCCCCTATCTTTCTTTTCTTGGTCTTGCCCCCCCCCCCCCCCCCCATCTTCCATTTTGAGTTTCAATCAGCGAGTCTTTTCTCTCTGACAATTTGCCCGATCCAGATCTTTTGTCATCTCTAAATTGTTCCAATTCGACTTTGCCTGAGCCTGCTCCTCTTTCTGTCCAGTTGATTTCTCCAATTTAACCGAAATCTCATAACTTCCCAGCTTTGTAACTTCTTCCTTTCTCAGCATTCGTATCGCTGCCGAATATAACACACCAGGCTTTAGACTAGCGTCTTCACTCTCTTCCAGTTACCTACGCGGCCATTTTATCGGCAGCTGAAAGCGTTTTTTTCAAGGGAAATTGTAACTTTGATCTCCTTTAAGCATCATCTGTTTTCAGGAAAAAATATGGCTCACATACCTAAACTATCTCCTCTGTTTTAGTTGCTTATATCCATGGTGATATTTAACCTGCATCCATCAATTGTGTCTTTGACAGAGGGCCAAATCCAGCCAAACTTCTGCAGCAGCTGCTGGTGCTTAGGCCAGACCAGCAGATTCAGATTTTTAAAGCGCTCCGTGACAGTCTGATGGGAAAGGGACTCATCCAGAAGGAAGACGACTTCGTGGGCATTATCCAACCCAAGCTCTCCTAGGTGGCCTACCTACGCACCAGGATCCGTACGCACACGCTCATATTTAAAGGGACATCGCAGGCCGCCTGTATTTATTAAGATCAAAAGTCATGCTCGGGAATCACTTCATCGTTTTCTTGGCAATGCGACATAGCGTGATGTATTTGCTCTGTACTTTTAAGTTGTTCTCGCGTTGCGAAATTTAAGTGGGGATTTCCCTTCGCTGTCAGATTCGCAGGCCTCCACAGTGACCACAGTAACTTAACCTACCAGCTTGTTCAAGCAGCGTTTTATAGCTTGGGGATGTGATGATTGGTCAGCCGATGCCAGTAGTGCAATTGCAAAGTGCAGCATTTATCTTGCATTATCATTCTGTGCTTCTCTGGTTTTGGCCAATTCCGATGGAGCAATGGTTATATTGGAGCCTATTTGCAGCAGTATCCTTCACTCAAGCTCATAAACATTTATTGAAAACAACTCTCTTTTGCTGTTTTTACACGAAGGCTTTGCGCATTGAACTATGCTGCAGCAAATTTCAATTTAAAGCTTTCGTGACTGCAGGGATTCATATTCTTGGTTCTTTCGGTGAAGTCACGTAGAAAGAAGCAAGAATATGCTGTAGCATTTACAAGGAATTAATTTGTTGCCTACGTGATAACATTCCCTTACTCTCGGAAGTATAAAGTTAAAATGTTTCCCGTAATATGCAACACAGAATTATTTTGTCATTGACATGCGCACAGTTTTTTCAACTGGAAAAAAGGCAAAAAGCATTTTGGAAAGCAAGGGGGGGGGGGGGGGGTTCAGGCTTGCGTACAAAGATGCATCTTGGTTACTGGTCACAGGTAGTCGATGATGCCTGATTAATATAAAGTATCAATATTTAACACGCTGTCCAATTTTACGAGCAAACCTCTCCCCCCCCCCCCCCCGTATAAGAACGATAATACAGCACTTATGATTATTTTGAACTCAATATGTGCAAAATGTCTGGGAAGTGCAATTGTTTATCTTTGCTGCCCCCCCCCCCTCCCCATAGCGGCTTGTTCCCTGTGTGATAACGCAATGTAACTCGAGCATCAATCTGCCAGTTGGGGATAGGTGATTGCTACGTTTGTAATTCCAGTCGAGGTAATTACGTTATGTTTTGAATTTTACAAAATGTAGACTGACGGTTGGTGCTCAATGTAGCCCCTTCTTTTGATACATTACCACGCGTGAACGTCCGAATAATGTAATGCGCCCTGATTGAGAATGGCGCAGTCTTATGCGAAATAATAATTCGAAAATTTAATATCTCGCGGAAATAAAAAAACAATCGATGCCAGAGCCGAATTGCAAAATGCTCCATGTAGCGTGCATTCGAAGGCTTATGCGTGCGTAATTTAAGCATGTGCAGTTGATTTGGACCGTACTGAAGCAGTCTCTAATGAGGTATAATTAGACTTACAGTATATCTGTGTAGCATTGTGATGATAATCATTGACACTTCTAATTAGTGATCAGGGCTTTGCAATTTGAGTAGAGTATATTGCCCGTAGATTTAAAGCTCTTCCCCCCCCCCTCACTGCAAACCTTTCGTATCCTGCTGTGTACACGGTAACAATTTACCCCCAATAAGCATATTATCCTAGAAGTAGCCTGTGATTGTAACGTGTACACTCACATGCACGGTACAGCAAGATATCAAACATATGGCTTGCACTTCTCAAATGAAGTGTTTACAGTAACTTCTCATTCTATTAAACGAATTCTCTGTAAGGCCGACGTCTTTACAAAAATAAGAAAATATTATGTTCTCTGAGAAAGCATTGTGTGGTCATGTGGTGGTGAGAGATGACGTTTGTCATCGGAGTGGTGAAATGAAACGGGGTTTTGTATAGCTGCCTCTCTTCAAAATTCTTCCAACTTAAAACACGTTCACGTCACGTGACACCGAGTTTGAAAAGGCAGCTTTTACGCCTGGGAACAGGGTCTCTTGTAAGTAAAGCTCCAGCCCCCTCTGACCCTTGCGCTTACAAACTGAATGTGTCTGGATTCAAGTACTCGTCAGTGTAAGGAACTGCAAGTGTAGATTGCTTCGTCGTGGAGGGGTGTCCTGAGACATGGAAGCTCTCCAGCCAAGTTAACTAGATGGTCCGTGTTCCCGCGTGCCACTAATTAGCTCCATTTCACACGATAATTGGTGGATGGTTGGCAGTGTTATCCTGATTGTCTCCTGCATATTCACAACTGAAAACCAGTTTGCCTAGTTCGTTATATTGGTGCATGGCATGCCGGTGTTTACTGTGTTGAGTGTTCAGAAGTTAAAGCCGTGGGGCCAACCAACATTAATGCTCACACGTATAACTGCTAAATCTGATGTAGTGGGTTTTTTTCTTACTTTATACAGATTGTTATTTTTTATTGAGGGGTATGCACAATGTGAATAACATGGCACTGTTTTATAGATTTTTCTTAAATTTATTGTAATCTTATTACTTTAATCATTGTTTTACTGTATTGTCTGATATAGTTTTATATATATAATTTCACTGTGCAATGAATGTATCCTTGGTTTAGGGTGCAAGATGTTACCAAAACGGGATATAACATGGCCACACATAACATTTGGTAGAGGCGTTTACCTTTCAACTTTAAAGTGTGCATTTGCAACCAAATCATTACAAATTATCTTCACAAAACAATGTTATTTGAGGCATATGTAAGTGTTGTTCCATTCTTTGGACGTTACAGACTCGAATATATTTTCAGATAAAAGTTTGGTGGTGATGCTACACATTGAATACATTTTCAGTTGATGTCTCAAACGTTGCTCTTTGATTTTGTATAAACCTTGCTACTTGCTTCATTTGCTTATTTTCCCCATTTACCGTGTTCTGTTTAGCTCTTTGCCAGATTTTATATTTCCTTCTGCAGTAAAGCCGTGTGAAGAGGTATATAGCGAGTAAATGGCTGTGACTCGGTTGTGAATGTAACTGCTGAAAAAAACTATTTGAAATGCTAAATGCCGCAGCTGTTTTAATCCTCATTTTCCAATTTTTTTATTTCTAATTTTGACTGCAAAGGTATATTTGATGCCAGCTGAACAAAATTAAACACCATCCACTATAGTGTTGAACCAAAAAAAATAATTTTCCTAGCATTTAAATGATGCTCCTAAATTAAGCTAAGGTAAATTAATATTTTACACCAGTTTATTTATGTTGTAAATGAAAATAAAAAAATATATATATTAAATATATAGGTCTTATCTTACTCCTTAGCTTGAAAGTACTTTGTGTGTATATATACGCTGTGTCTTATATGTTGGAAGGCAATTCAGGTGTTAAAAGTGAGTTGTATCTGATTTAAAATGTTTTCCATCAGCAGTTACTCATTGCGAATAAATCACTCCACAGCTTGTGCTCTTGAGGTTTCACCACATTAGAGCCCGTTTTCTCAGCCGAAAAATATCACAGTGAGTTCTCACAATTGATATTACACTTGTCAAAAGGGTTTTCACGTAACTGAACACCCACTAGACTTCTTGGATGTCTTGCAACAACTTATTTTCGCTTCGTGTGCTTTTCAATTTAATGTTTGACTGAAACCGGCCTCTTCATCTGTCCTACCATCGTGAGCCTGATGTGAAACCCAAGCTGAGATATACCATAGGTAGCACTAGGAAGACCTCTTCACCACAAAGTACTGTAAATCTGATGGTGAAGGTGTTTATTGTTCTTGTCAGTTATTACGGGTAAGTATTTCCATCGCATTTTAAGGGAATTGTCAAGTTTTGGACTCAAGAAAAAATTGACTTAAGAACGGTGGACTTAGGTCCATACATTTAAAATTTTATTTCGGCTAAAAGCGTTTGCGTGCAGTTTTGTTGATATTCCTGCTTAACTGTATACACGACATGAGGTATATAAAATAGTAACATTGCAAATTACAGTAGACTGCTATATTTTGTGATTGGGCCTCTTATTAGGTATGTTCATGTTAGAGTTCTGTTTCTCTTGATGCTTTGTCACTGCTATAGAGTTCAGAGACGTTCACACGACGCATATAATACCTGATGAATGAGGCCACTGTGGAAACCACGTGGAATGTGGGTTGGTACACAAGACCAAAAAAACCCAGGTCTGTGCCATTCAATATTCCATATCTGGTTTTCACAGCAGCCTGTAAATGAGAATATTTAGATAAACCCCTTTCCTAGCTGATCCATGAGAACATAGTTCATGTAATGCATTAGTGATTGTTTTCTAAACAGACTGGTTAAAGAGTGTTCCTGGTTAATGCCGTTGTGTGGGTCCCTCGACTAAACAGATGTAATCCAGTACAGTATTCATCATAACATCTGGGTTAAATACAGCACATGTTGGAATATAACATTACTTTGTGTATAGTAATATATCATTGTGTGTGGGTGTTACAAAGGTGCAAGATGTGAATGTACCAATAAAGATTACTAGAATAATTAATTGCTGATGTGTTTTTTTTAAGCGCAACACTTCTTCACGCTTGACCTTGCTGGATGGAAAAGCAACATAAATAATAACTTTGCGTAAATCGTCACAACACGCGTCACCAACGGGAGTGGACAATAGGGAATATTTAAAAACACGTTTATTTTTTATATTGCTTTACCTGTCTAACCTGTACAAGTTTTGCTATGAAACACATAGCAGTGCTGCAAGTTTACGCGCGTCCACCCTTTTTGCTCAACCTTGACAATCGGCGGTGAATTGTTCTAGTTCCGCAAATGCCAGTTTTTTTTTTTGCTGCTGCTGCAAACATAAAAGTCACCACAACCCAAGCCTTCTGTCACCCAACGGCTGTTAAAGCACCCACCGCGCTCCTGCATTTAATTCATCGGCAAATGTTTAATTACAAACAGGGTTATATGCCTGCTGAAAATGAAGGCTTACATTCAGGCGAGGGTTTTTTTTTGGGGGGAGCTTCACACGCACATCTGTAACCACTGGCATAACAGGCGGATCGGCAAACAATCTGGAACCACGCAACACATTGACAACCATCACTACTCGCGTACATGTTGGACGAGACGATCGTAATTACTTTTCGGGTTCGTGTTTCATAGCGGCCAGAAGTGTGCGCATATACATTATATGGTAATCACAACGATAGCGGTGTTAAATGTCATACGAGGATATTTTACAGGTAAAACTTTCACAACCCCCAATGTCTGTGCCATTCCACAATTATCTCTGTTTTTTTTCCCCGCTCCCAGAGAGCACACGGCCTAATCTTCATAGCTGGTACTACAAATGGCTGTGAATGATTAACTATTCGTTTTTAATTAATGTAATTGTTGGGCAATTAAAGTTCACTTGAACTTGAAGTCTCAATTCAAAGTCCGAATATTTTGATATCGGTTAATCAGGCCTTGACCCACAAACTCCACGTTGCCAAAAATAATGGTAAGTGTACTTCAGACAGGGAAGAAAACCCAACCACACATGCAATTAACAGGATGCCCATATGCAACAACAAACCTTAGGCACTTAACAGTAATACAAGATATGTTAAAGCATTGCTTTAAAAAAAATAGACAACATTTAAGTTTTGCAGTGCAATCTTACGTAAAAGTAATTTAAATTTAACTCTCAAGGTCCATGAAATAAAATTCCACAAAGGCAGGTGCTGGCTTTTAATTCATGTCAAAGCACCATGTCTTACGCCACAACAGGGCTGTGAGATTCGTGGCAAGGAAAGCTGGGTTAAGAAACAGTTTGTACGGTACGGTAATTTACAAAACCATAATCAAAACACTGCTATGTCTTTTGCCTAGCGAGGAAATACTGAAAGACATCGGCCAAAAACAATGGAATAAACCCAACAATACAGAAGAAAAAAATGTTGGGTAAAAATATCAGTGGTTTCTCATTTTGGAAAACTTATCCGACACTCCATACACCGTATGGAGAGATATAATATGTAATATTAAAAATAAGTTATTGCACACTAAATTGTTCATGCTCCAGCTAACCAGCAACTTTGATTTGATTTACAACAATGAATGGGAGGTTGAATTTGAGCCGAGGTTGTGTAGGAAACACGCAGAGCGATGTCGTCTCGTTTTAAATTTGCCCGACAGCTTTAAGAATTAATTTTGCCAGAGAAACGACGACTCGGCTCAACACAATCGCAGCTGGGGGGGGGGTGATATGCACGCATGTGTATAGCGAATTGCGGTACAATAACTACAGCAAAAAAATAAATTTATAAACATGAAGTACAAAAAAAGCACAATATAACTTAAAACATAAAATGTTATGTTAAAAAAGTATTTATAAAAAATAAAGTACGGTATAGGAAATGTGTGCATAATGAGGGGGGGTTTTTTCCCCACTTGATATTTTTTGCATGATTGAGCGATGGAACAAATTAAATGGTCCCTTAAAACCGAACTGGAATGGATATGAATGCAAGTTTAAAAATGCGTAGACAGAGCCGTGTAAATTGATGACTATGGTTAAACGCAAACTATAGCCACATTTTAAAAAGGTAATTTAGACTTGAACCGATAAGTGAAAAAAACCGACTAGTCTGTTGAACACGTAGGCTTTCGCGACCGAATAATCCATGAGGTGTCTGGGTTAGATCACGGAGATCTAAATGTGTCATTAAACCCACCATCGACATTGTGGGTTTATTCTCCAACACACCGGTGTGCTGAACTCAACTGATGGTCATGCTTTGTTTACATGACAAACCTTACTAATTGGCTGTGTCAGGTGGTGGCGGGGTTAACAACACATTTATATCTACGCGATCTAACCCAAAAAAACCTATATTATGAATGATTGCTAGTCTGCCCACTTCACATTATGCTTGGAAATCAAGCAATGGTAGAGGAAATTAATACATCTGCCACTGAAGCAATCAGCCACTCAATTCCATAGATCTGACATAGGAGTGTTGATGGTTATGAAGGTGACTTTGCCATGAAACTGTAAAAAAAATGCTTCAAGGAAATTGCACCAATGAAGTGTACATGTCAAATTCAAACTACACTGTTGATTGAGGCTATATTACTTTGGGATATTTTAAAAACACATTCTATAACACGACTATATGAAAATCTTTCCATGCTGTTATAAATGGATAATTTAGTATCACATTCAAGGTCAAATTGCTCCAAAATAACAAAACCGTTTGATACATGATTATATTAATACCACAACATAAGGATGTATTTCTCAATCATGGAAATATTGTTTTATGGACCATCCATTTCATATGAATGATCCAGTTTGAATGTGGCTGCTTCCTTCTACCTCACCGCCACGTGGCCCAATACTTTGGGCTCCACATCTCTGAACAGCTCCTCCCTCCCCCCCACATCACGCGATTTGTATCTGCGTAAAATCACGTAATCTATGAACCATGGAGCTGTGGCAAGTGAAACATCAACCTTGAACCTTTCAGTAAGAAAGAAAAGGGCCATAAACTTCTAAACCAACTTTGAAACCGAAGCGTCCATTTACTCGGTGCCTTCTTAAGAGTAGGAATGTAGCCAAATTAAAGTCACATCAATTTTGTAGACCAAATACAGCATATTACGAATTGATTTCATGTTACACGGGTATAACGGTGGTCTCATAAATCCCACGCATTCACGAAACAATTCGTTTTTAGGAACAGAACTTTGTTTACATTTTGTTCAAGAATGTATACACTTTTTTGTTCAGTGTGCAATTGTAATAACGCTAATTTGGAAATTGCAGTCTTCACTGGTTCACAAGGCGACCATCTGCAACAAAAGCAGCATTGGCTGACATCTGTATTAGGGTAAATATAACCGCTAACACAGGCTCACAGAGCACTGGCTTAAAATGATCGCACATGTGGTGACTTTTCTTAGCCACAGCTTAATAAGATCACAAGCATCGCATTGGTCCGAAGCACAGCCGTGACGATGCCCCTGCTCACAATCAACCGGCCTCCTTCGGAGAATTCACCACAGTGCGGCAAAGCTTGTTGTCGTAGGTTAACCGGCCTCAGATCGTCACACCTACGGTATGCGGATACTTGTGCTTCACTGTGCATGGCACAGACGGGATGGGCATTGAGCTCGAGTGAAACGGAGAGAGACGACAGCTCGCCAACGAGGAAGCCGGTGAGAAGCAAGTTGCTCTGGCACGAGATCGGGGGCGCAGCTTCACAAGCACGGTACTCGCGGAACCACGGAAGGTCGGCCAAGAACGCGGGACTCTGACACAACAGTGGCGATATCTACAATACCGACAATGAGCATCGATAAAGCCATTTCAAAGTAGCAACGTTAACTTCTGAAAGGTGCCCTTGTTTTGCAACCGGATAGTTGCGATTACTCCCGCGCACTGGAATGCAAAGGAATCGCTGTCTTTCCCTTCAAAGTGATGGATATATGTAAATGATCAGTGAACCGCAAGACTGCGCGTAGCTTCGATGACAAGTCCATCATAGGAACACAGTGAACCAACGTACTCGCTCAAACACAGCACAGCGAAACAGGGCACGTGATAAAGTGGAGAAGTGCATCGTTATATTATTATGTTTTTCTTTCAAATTAGTCTTTAGTATACAAAAAACTGGCAAAACATGTTTACGTGTAATTACAAAGACCTGTTATAGTTTCTGTGATATCTACAAGGTGGCTAAGTAGGTGACATAACAGTTGGATTGCGGCCGCAAAACTGATCATTTACGATACAAAGTTCATCTTCGTTCCCCGCATCGCATCCCCACGCACCAGTCCACAACTTCGTACATTTTTGGTCGTCATCAGGAACATTCTGGCGGTGGCTTTTTCCACGCTTTCCCCAAAAAGAACATCCAAAAAAATGGAAGCTGTGTGTGAATGATGAAAAGAAAGAGAAGGATGCGATGTCGATCACCCTCAAGTGCCATTTGGAGAAATCAATCGGAAGCCGCTAAACTTTTCTCCCACCACACCACGTTCCCTCTGGGGGGAGGGGGAACTTCCGTCATTTTCCATCCTAGCCATGGCCTGACAGCTCCCTGGTTGAGCAGCTGTAAACACGGCCTCGCGAGTCTCCCACCAGGATGCGACTGTGGTCCCTGTGCAAACAACGAGAAGGAATGTTTCACTATGAGACATCTCCTTTACCAGTGGCAAAATATAGTAATAGGTTTTTGCCCTTTCAACTGGTACAAAAACTGACACCTTTATACAAGGGATCATGTTTGCAATAACCACAACACAAGCAGTCAAAATGCAAACAAAAAGAAACAACTCTGATAATGATATGCACTGTCATCTGGTCCAACACCAATGGAGACTAGGCTCTAAGAAAAGCTGTCTCGGGTGTGGACCAATCAACTTCAAGGACAGTGCATATCATTATCGGAGTTGTTTCTTTTTGTTTGCATTTTGACTGCTTGTGTTGTGGTTATTGCAAACATGATCCCTTGTATAAAGGTGTCAGTTTTTGTACCAGTTGAAAGGGTAAAAACCTATTACTATTACTAAGGAATGTTTCATTGAAGGATGTGACGGCATCACGCAAATTGGCATCATGTGTCAAAAGACAAAGTATCCATTTGGAACGCTCTTAGAAGAGTGCACCGCCCCACGTGTTAGATAATGGCTGGCAGTAACAGATATTATGATGACCACTTATGCGGCTGCTGCACTTTGCACACGCGCCTTGCCGCAGGGAAATGTTTTTGAACTGTCCCGTTAATCAAGTAATTGGTGACCAGCAACTCATTTAAGAACCTGGTATAATCATGGGTTGCTGAAACCCGGATTCGAACCCAGGATCTTTGCCGCGACGTCCCGGTGTTTTAACCCCTGCGTCACACGGCCATCTCTAAACGTTATATATGTTTAAAACTTTATTGTCGAAATATGGCAATGAACGATTATTGCTCTAATTCTAGATTTGAAGCTTTCGTGACTGCAAGGATTCATATTCTTGGGTTTTTTCGGTAAAGTCACGTAGGTAAAAAATGAAAATAAAATAAAGATTATTGCTCTACATGATTTGAGACAATTGCAGACAGATTGATAGGTTTTAATTCAGTTTATAACACAAAGACTGACTCGCGACACGGGTGATGTAAGGGAATGGAGCGCCATGGTGGCGAGATGTTAACTATCTTGCCTGGTATACAGGAGATCTTGGGTTTGATCCCGACCCTGATGCCTGTATATTTGGAGTTTGCATGTTATCCCCGTGGTTACGTGGATTTTTCTCCGGGTCCTCCAGCTTTTCCCTCCAAATTTAGAATCAACATCACGCATTTAGAGTATTTGGCTGCTATACATTTCCACACGATAAGCCACTTTGTTGAGCCATCATTTGTGGCCAGGCCGCTTCTTAAAAAGAGCTGTGTATCACTCTCCAGGCCTTACCTGGTGAAATAAAAATAGTCGTATTTTATTTTATACCTACGTGACTTTACCGAAAGAACCAAAGAGTATGGATCCCTGCAGTCACGAAAGCTTCAAATCAAGAGTAGTAGTAGTGTCGCTGTTATTTGAGAGCCGAGGTGTAAGGTGAAACCAGGGGCAACGCGTATGCACGTGCTCAGTGCATGGCCACAGGACACGGGAGCAGGCAACAGTAAATCATGCGTGCACATGCACGGCAGCAGAGGGCGTGTGGACCAACATTGATTTTTTTCCGCATCAATATTTGCGACTTAGCAATGCGACACCAGCCCGTTTTTCTTTTTCAAAACAGTAAATCTGCTTACACGGAATTCTCGTATGAAACAAGACGACATACTTTTCTTATATAACTGATTGTATTAAGTCAAGATTAGCGGTTCGTGGTAGGAATTCGATTTAGGGGTCACAGTTTAGGGGTTAAGGATTAGGAGTTAGAATAGGGGTTAGGGTTGGGGTTAGGGATAGAGGTTAGGATGATGGTTAGGCATCATGCATGCGGTTAAGGGTAGAGGTCAGGGGTTTAGAATTAGTAAACCAAAGCACGTATTTTTCAGTGTGGGGCAAGTGCAATGGAGGGTTTACCTGGACACACACAGTGCCGTGATCTCGGCTCCTTCGCGGCCGCCTATGAAGTTTCCAGCGCCTCCAGGCATACTCAGCTTCCCACAGAGCACCAACTTCCTCTCCCAGCGCCAGCCTACGCGCACGCACGCACGCACAAACACGTACGTGGTATGCGCAGAGAAACATGGTTACACACGTCGCCTGGAGCAAGGTCAAACGAAAATGAGACCTCGTTGCGAATACGTGGAAATAGAGCCGTGAACGTATAAAGAATTTACTGACAAAAATAACAACACTGCTTTTAATGTTATCATGAATAAAGATATTGTATTTTATTATATATATACAGACACAGTCCTGTTGAAGATAAATATTCCCGAACAAGGAAATAGTCAAATATCCAAATGTAGGACCCCTCCTGCTGAAATATATTGAGAAATTCTGTTCGTCTAACCTAGGCAAAGATATTACTACTAATAAATAAAACCACCCACAAAATAGTCTTGAGACTGAGCGAGCCTTCCTGGATACATACATTAAATTCTTCTTCTTATTATTATAGACCAACACAACAAACAACATGTTCACATTTCGATGCCTTTCCGTTAAAGATATCCAGGTAACTGTGTACATCTCGGTTACTCTACCCGGCTTCAGTTGTCTGGGACTGGAGGTGTCCTGTGCGTCGTGGTGATGGTGGTGGCTGCCGCTGCCACCGTTGCTTTGGCCGTGGCTCAAGAGCCGCTCCTTCGCCTGTTCCGACGACTCGGAGTCAGAGTAGCTGACGATGACGAAGCCATCTCCGTCATCCGAGCTCAGACGATTGTTTGCCATCCTTGGCAGCGGATCCGATTCGGAACACACCTGGGGCCTGGTAAAATAATTCTATTTTCAATCGGTTGTCAAACGTTTGTGCGAACACAAATCGCGGACGGGGTAGACAGAGTTGCCTGGGGACAGTTTTTTTTTTTTTCCCGGTTGAGCTTCCCGTGGTGTGGAAGGCCAGAGTGGATTCTTGGCTGTGTCAAACACAGAATGACGGATGACCAATCCCCAAGGCATGCGCACGTGGTGAGAACTGGATCCGTTAAACTGAACGAAAACAGGACAGGCTCAATGCAAATATTTACGATGCTGGAAGGTGCAGACGCAAGGTTGTTACAATGATGGACCCATCCAGCTGTCGATATTTCAACCCTCACACGAATAACATTATATTCAACATCAATTAGATTTAATTTGTATTTTTCATAATTTAATTCCAATTGTACTATCGTTGTCACGTCTTGAGATATATTTTCCATTTGGAACTCGCGCACAGCAGTGTATGAATCTGTGTGCCAGAGAACAACCCAAAGGCGGCGATAATGCAGAATTAATATTCCTTCAAGTTACCTTTTTATCCATGCACTATGGGGTGCCATTTGCACACACCCTGCTACGAATAACTGTTTGTTACTTTGTAGTTGAATCATTATTTAAAGTTCTCATAGCTGGAGTGTCTTGCCAACGTTAGGTGACGAAACAAATTGACTGGAATAGCTTATTTTCTTTCTCGGAGAGTAATCGGCAATTGGGCCGAGACGTTCAACTGACTGAACTTGAAAACCCAGCTCAATGATGGACGGCTGCCTGGGATAAAACCCAGGATCTCGATAGTGCCGGCTCAATGGTGACCACTGAGAGACACCCAGCCACGTCCGCAGCAGTTGTTAAACTAGAAAATGGACTTTGACACAAATTACGTTTTAACCATTAAACATCAAGCTATTGTACCTGGTCGGTCCATTCGGGGTCATGCGCTTAGGGTCATTCTGATCTGTGCAGAGGTTGGCATGGGGTTCGTCCAATTCCGAGTCGCTGCTCTCTTCCTCCTCCTCGTCCTCGCCCTCTTCTTGATGGGACACATTTTGCGAGCACACGAAACGTCAAACGGATCAAAACGCCGCGGGAGACTTTGGGAAAGGGGGACCCCCCCCACCCCTCCTTCTCTCGGGACACCCCAACAAACAATGCAAAGAGTAAAAGTTCGGGAAATTTCATGGAAAGAGAACTTAGAAACCCTTGGTTCCGATTCCATGAAAATCCAAACCCTTTTTTTTTGATTCAGCTCGATTACGTAACAAAAGCTTATTGTACACCATTGGCAGCACCAAGTGGGTAGCTTCTCTGAAAAACCTATCGGCGATGGCTGTCAGTGCCACCAGGCCGGACAAAAGGGCAGACAGATCTAGTTACGTAAACAAGGATTTGTGTAGGCCTTTCACCACCCACATTCTACACCGATATGTATATGACAGAGGACATACCCTGGGGTTGTGGCCAAGGCCACACTACGAAGCATACCTACGCAGTGTGTGATGCTCATACCAGCATTGATTTCTGGCACGACAGGCAGCTTGCCCTCTGAGTTGTGAGCGATGTGCTGTGTGACAGGCGTCTCGGGCACCTGCTGAAACTCCAGGCGCCACATCTGTTAATGACGCATGGGGGGGGGGGGGGGGGGGGGCACAGTCACACCCACGCACATCACATTCAACTTCAACACCATCATCATCGGCATCACAGTCATCAAACCCCACATCATCGAGTAGAAACAAACACAGCGAAACGCCCCTTGCCCGAGCCTGTAACATCTGACGCGCTCCTATCAACTGCTTTCCCAAATCGCTGCGCCAAAAACTGCTGTGGATAAGAGGAGTGAGTTACAAGTGGCAGCAAATGCATCCAATTATCAGAGCCGTTGCACAGTTATCACATGGAAGCGGTCTCCCAGAAGTGCTGAATTGATTCTATTATACGATTGTTTGTTCGGCTAGTCATCTGAAGTGGACAAATTCACCCCATTAACCGAGCTTTCATGCAGATAAGAGTGATTCTGACGATTACATTTTATCCACGTGGTAGAATGTATGTGGTTAAACATGACCAGGATCCAACTCCCCCCCCCTTCCCCATAGTAAGAGGAGTATCTCTGTCATAAGCAACAAATAATTCTATTCATTGAAATTTTACCAGATAAAGCCAACTGAGCTATATAGCTATTTTTCAGAAGCGACCTAGCCTCAAACGATAGCTCAACAAAGTGGCTTATCGCGTGGAAAAGTATAGCGTCAACGCGTGTTGATTCTAAACGCAGAGGGAAAAATCGGAGGACCCGGAGAAAAATCCACACGACCACAGGAACAGAAACAGTGCAAACTCCAAATATACAGCAGACTTTATCGATTTAAAGCTTTCGTGACTGCAGGGATTCATCTTCTTGGTTCTTTCGGTAAAGTCACGTAAAAGGGAAATAATAAAATAATAAAAATAAAACATAATAAGGTAATTCTCACGACGTTTCGGCCACAACGCAAGCAGCCGTCCTCAGGTGAAGAACAGGTCTGTCGCGTCAGACGCTGTCTTCCCGACAGACCTGTTCTTCACCTGAGGACGGCTGCTTGCGTTGTGGCCGAAACGTCGTGAGAATAATTTTATTATGTTTTATTTGTATTATTTCCCTTCTACGTGACTTTACCGAAAGAACCAAGAAGATGTACAGCAGGCGTCAGGGTCAGGATCGCGCCCACGACCTCCTGCGTACCTGGCGAGGTAGCCGACATCTCGCCAACCACCGCAAACACAACAGAGAGCGACCGTGCGAGAACTTGGGGGGGGGGGGGCGGTGTCTCACTCGGATGGCGCCGTCCGAGTGCCCGGTGACGATGACGTTGCGGCGGTCCCACTCGTCCACCTCGGAGACGGCGCAGCACAGCACGTGCTGGCCTGGACCCGACGCCGAGCTGGCGCTGGCGAGCGGCTCCCCGTTCACGCTCCACACGAACAGGCTCGTGCCCGAGCACGACACGATGTCACCCTGCGCAATCGTCATGATAAGACTGGTCAACAAACAAAAAAATACATTTTTTTTGTCTGGCCTGGACTTTTGCAGCTGTTCTAGACTAATTTCAGGGTGCTGATTCCAAATGTGATCTCAGATTTGCTCTAACCACGGACAAGCGGGAAGGTAGCCACACAGCGAGCCGGCCCCAACAATCGCCCAAGTTCTGCGGTTCTCTATATTTTAAGATTTTATCAACCAATTCATGACTGTTCACATGTGGTAGAAAACCGGACCACTCTGAGAAAACCCACGCGTGCATTGGGGCACCACTCTACACCATACAGACGGAACAGGCGAGTCGGCACTCTGCTACTTTCTCCGTCTCGCGGCGAGCCAGGGCATGCACCTCCCACGCCTATGGGAAGGGAATCCTCGCAACAAATGTGCGATCCTCCAACCCTTCGGCAGCCACTGCGCACACCATCTAACCACCTCTCGAGATACCGCAGCTCGGCATTGCTGCCGGCTTGCGTAGCAACTCGTGGCGAAGCTATCCAGCGCGTGGCCCTGCTCTAACCGCACCGCACCAGGCCGCACGGGCCGGAGGTGGGGGGGGGGGGGGGCCCCGGTTGCCACGGCAACGGGGCCTACGCCGACCGCGGAAACTTACGGTGAGCTCGTTGACGCAGGCGGCGGCGATGGGTCCCGAGTGGCCGCGCAGCTGCGTGACAAAGCACAGCTTGTTGAGGTCCCACACAATGCAGGTGCGGTCGCGCGAGCCGCTCACCAACACGTGGTACGCCGACGAGAAGGCGACGCACGTCACGGCGTCCGTGTGGCCGTAGAGAACCTGGGTGGGCAGGCGGGGGATGGGCGAGCACATTCGTAATTGAATATAGTTAGAGCAATCACACGGGACGCGCAAGATATGATTTTAGTTTGATGAAGAAACGTTGGCTGGAGATGGCCGAGTGGCTCAGAGGTAAGAGCAGTGATTGTGGGCAGCCACCTGTGATTAAACCGGGTTCTCTAGTGTCGTGAGTTGACTGAACAGTTGAACAGTTTAGTTAGAATCGCCCTGTGAGCTAAGAAACTCCTGAATCGGGTTTCATCAACAAAACAGGAAAACTGTAAAATTTTAAACACGTTTGCAACAGGTAAAGCCATGTAGATAGAAAAATAGATAGAAAATAAATATATTTTTCTATTTACTTGGCTTTACCGAAAGACCCAAAGAATACGAATTCCTGCAGTCACGAAAGCTTTAAATCAAAATATATTACTTAATTATAGATTAAATACTTCACTAAACTGAACATTAAGATTAGAGAAACATATTGCAAAATAGTGCATCTAGAGTGGGGAATAAGATTCGATAAAATATTGCAAAACGAGGAATAGAAACGCCTTTGGTAAAATTGTTTTCCTGTGCAAACAAGTAACACTAGTAACCATGACAATCACCATGACATTGCACACATTACATCAGTACAGGGCTCATATACAGAATAATAAGAAACGATTTGTATATCATCTACTTGCTTAAGCAGTGTCAGATTGTCAGGAATGCACTTGAAAGAAGTGACTTAAGATGATTGAGTAAAGGTAGTGACTGTAAATCAAGTTTTGCGGGTACGGGTACCCGTCTGCGACCCCGGTGCGGCTGGGTACGGGTACGGGTAGGCCGTGAGTCACTGGTGAGTAACCGTTTGTCACTCATTTCCCAACGTCTTGTCTCTTCTCACAATTCAAGTTCCTAGAATCAACCCACCCACGCCTGCAACATGGCTTCATCCCAGAGGTCGCAATCGGGTACCCGTACCCGTACCCTACCCGATACCCGGCCGGGTACGGGTAGCCGTGTATCGGGTACGGGTAGGGTACGGGTACCCGTTTGCGACCCTGGTGCGGCCGGGTACGGGTACGGATAAGGAATCAAAACCCGTTTGCGACCTCTGCCGAAGAGTCTTCAGAGGCCGGTTGTGGCTTGCAGGCGGGCAGCTGAAAAACCCTGACGCACAGTTTGACTGACCGCACCATCATCGTTAAAATAAAGGTGCCGCCATCGTGGCTGCGACTGCCGCACCTGCTTGAGGCCAACGGTCGGCCTCCTGTCCTTGCCGCCACCCTGCATCTCCCAGACGCACAGCACCGTCGCCGTGCCCCCACACACCACCGTCTTGGCGTCGGGGCACACGGCACAGAGCAGAGGACCCCACTCCCACATGCACTCAAACACCACGGGGGCCTAGAAATAGACACAAAGACAAAGATTCCCCATACAACATTATAGACCGGTTTTGGGGGCAAGTGCTGTTCAGCGAGCATCTATGAAGGCCGACATGGCACGCGTGTGTGTGTATGTACGTATGTTGGCACAGTAGGGGGCACAGGTGGTGCACCCTGGAGGTTGTGACAGTATCGTTTACTCGGTGTGTAACAATTGCCCTATCCCTAGCGACTCGACTCATTCTAATTAATCCAGGTTTGCGGTTTTATTGAAGAATCGATTATATTTTTGTGTTATTTCCTATGTTTTTCTCTGTGCTTTTTCCATATTGCCTCTACAATTTAGTTCACTCTATGAACCCAAATGTCACGTGAGCATCTTATTTGCAGCAATAAATAATAGTTTTCTGGCCATCGGGAGTGTAAGAATCGATTTTAATTGATACAACGATGCATTCCCCACACGCAGCCTATTGCAAGACAGTAATTTTAAATCAGATTCATACAGCAAAAGTTTAGAGTCAGGTCATTGTTTGTCACAGATGAAGAAAAAAAAACACAGCAGGAAAAACAAGTGACTGAATAAGACGTGTTAGACCTTGTCAGTGTCGTAGTTGCAGAGCCGACAGCTGAGGTCAGCAAAGCCCCAGGAAAATGTGCGCTGGAAGCCGGGAGGAAGCAGAACTTTGTTTTCTTCCACCGCCAGGACGCCTCGCTCCGTGCACACAATCTGTCCCACCGGGCCCTTCAGCTCTGGGACGCGCCACGTGCACACACAACAGACATAGATCACCCATATAGCCTTGACAAACTGTTAGGGCAAGTGCTGTCAGCGACCACCTACAAGAGCGTGGGTGGGCAACATCACGCCCAGCCGAGATGTTAACTCCCTCGCCTGATATGCAGGAGGGTCATGGGTTCGATTCCCACCCTGTCGCCTGCATATTTGGATTGCGTGTCTCTCTCCCCGTGGTTGCGTGGATATTTCTCCGGGTCGTCCGGTTTTTCTCTCCACATTTAGTCACGAAAGCTTAAAATCAAGTAATACATATTGTTGCGTATTGTCAATTATGTGCAGAACCAAAGTCAATGTGATGGTCTGGTGACCAGGCTGTAACCATCAATGCCCAATGCACTTGAGAACCTTGTTCAATCACAGGCAGTTGCCCGGATTTGAACCCAGGCTCTCAGCGGTGACAGCTCATTGTGCCACCCGGCCACCTCTGACAGATGTATTAAAAAAATAATGATCTAGTGATTATGAAGTTAAACTTTCGCCTCAATGGAGAACACAAAAGATGTGCGACGTCACTGGGGTATGACGGTCGGTGTCCAGCTCACCCTTGAGTGGCACGGGCGATGGGGTGAGGCAGTCGAGGTGGTGGAAGAAGAGACAGTCCTGGGCAGGGCCTGCGGACGCTCCGGGATTGGTGTCTCCAGACGGCTTGGAGCCCACCCTCTTCGCTGGGTGAGGCTTCTTGAAGAGCTGCGGGATGGCAGATCGTCGAGCGCCTTGTTGTAGCAGCGCCTTTGACACGTTGTGACGGGCGCTAGCTACAAGTTTTATTTTTGTACGAAGGAAGCCAATTGGCTGTTTATTGTTATTCGTGGGAAATATCATGTTTGTCCGAAGACATTTAAATCGTTTTCATTAAAACTGCCTTAAGGCAACAATACCTCAAATATGTAAATTATGAGAAAACCCATCACAACATACATGTACATATGCCTGTTAAACTTTTTTCTCACCGTACGTAGCAAACCGTGCTAATGAATGCGGTTGGAAACAATTAGGTTTAGTAACGCACCGAGATGTGCAGCATTGCATGCACAAAATCTTCCAGCCTAATCCACACCACCAGCTCAAGAGAACTGAAAATGTGGCCCTTCATGTTTTGGGCTCCCAGAGGCCCATGGTGCACGCAATGCTGACCCCCCCCCCCCCCCCTTTGTGTGTTGTTAAATATATTTGTTTACAGTCTGCATGGAGTCTTTCCGTTGCAATGAGTTTTCTCGTAGTTTACAAATTTTAATTACGACGGGAGCAGCTGGATCAGCCCATGCGTGCGAGCATGCTCAAATTTGGCATACAGACGGCACGACGGAAACTTGTTACAATGCCTCCACAACAACCAAAACTATGAACTAAAAACTATTTATCTTTTTTCAGCTAAGGCCCACTGAGCTATATGGCTCTTTTTCAGAAGTGACCTGGCCACAAATAATAGCTGAACAAAGTGGATAATCACGTGCAATTTATATCGGTCAAATACTCTTAACGCATTTTCTAAATGTGGAGGGGAAATCCAGAAGACCTAGAGGAAAAGCCACGCGACCACGGGGAGAACAAACACATTTACAAATATAAAGGCATCAAGGTCGGGATCGAACCCACGACCTTCCGCATACCAGGCGAGGGAGTTAACATCTCACCACCTAGTCGTTGTACTGGCTCATTAACCCTTCAGGTGGATGACTCAGGCACACCATGGCTGCATCTCTGCCTGAACCGCCAAATCCCACATTCAAACACTGGAAAAAGGCATTTGCCACGTGTGAACCTTGCACAACCCACGAGTGTGTGCGATGAAGGCGCAGCAGAAGGCAGGCATCTTGCCATGCTCATTAAAATCATCCCAAAGGGCTGTTTCGTTGATCTGCAAGCCTAGGCTGGAATTGCAAGGTCCTGTCGTGTTGGCAGCTTGACGAGCCACACGTAGAGCTGCCAGCTGCCCTGGTTTCCCCAGAATAGTCCTCTCTTTGGGGAAATTAAACAGTCTGTAGTTCCTCCATTCTCATGGTATTGTGAGATATTCCTCTTCCCATGATATTGTCCCGTTTTAAAAATATACATTTGTACTTAAAAGGTAGCAATCCTAGCCAACGGAGTGGAACCGGAGTCACCTGCTTGGGGATTTGGCCGAAGTTGTTGATGAATCCGATGGTGGCGGTGAGCTTGAGAGGGTCGGTGATGCTGTAGATGTCCACCTGGCCCTCGTAGAAGAGGTGGTGGAACACGTTGGTGCTGGCCACGGCCATGGGGCCCTGCTGCTTGCAGCCGAAGATCAGATCGATCCACTCGTGGAGGTGAGCGCTCACGTAGTCGCACTCCAGGGCCTGGCGGGGCCGAGATAATTCCTCGTCACCCCTGCACTGCGTCAGCGCTACCGTCGGCTGCATCATCGTCGTCACCATCATCATCGTCATCATCGTCATAGTCGTTAGTAGGCGTGCAACTCGTGCATTGAATGAAACCAATTACGAGTAAGCTCATGATACGTGTGTCGGGTTATCCATTTTTTGTCGTACAATGTTACTGTTGCATTTTGGCGAATGGAGAGAATTAAATTGTGTAGAAGAAACACAAACACGACAAAAGGAGAAGAGATTCTTCAATCGAATCTTGACCTTGAATCGCAGGAATTCACTGAATTGCAGGAGTGGTGAATTATTGCACGCCCAATCAAGAGCGTCTGCATTGATGTTGGCAACATCATCAGCATCATAATGGCTAAGGTATTACCTTTGGGGGTAATTAAAATTATTAAAATGTCAGTGATAGCGTGAGCGTTATGGTAACACCATCAAGCTCCTAGCACATCTCATCGAGACAGCAATTACAGTGTTGACGGGTACTATTTTATTTCCGTTGACGCTGGAAACCATGAAATAATGAAAACGTTTTTTTTCTCTCTGGAAAAACAGGTCGTCGAGCACAGAAGTGGTGATAAGGAAAGAGGAATATACGGCACGATTGCAATAGTGTGGTGCGAGTGGCGGGATTTTGTAGATGATCGCTGATTGGTGCACCGAGCTTGGCGGAGATATGAGTACACAACGCAATAACGGAGGGGTCAGGCTCAGGATATAAACCGAGAGAGAGAGAGAAATACAATTGAAGAGGGACGATGGTTACCTCTCGATGAACCCGGATGAACTCGCGAGCATCTCCTTTGGCCCAGTTTGGCAAGAGGACCTCTCCCAGCCAAATCCCATTCTGTTTGCAGCCTGCAACATAGAAGAAGCAAGTTGTGTTCCCGTTTAAGTTAACTTTTCCTGAAATGTTTGGATTTTTATTCTGCAAAATATATTCCGATCATACGAACAGGGTCACCTATGATCACTGTTTCATTGCTTTTATGGCTTTATTTTGGTGATTTTCGAAAAGTTTTTTGGTTTGGCCATGTTTGTTTGTTGTAATACAGAGTTAGACTGATGGCCTTAATCTAAGTTGTCTTGTGGTTGTTGTTGTTTGACTTGCATCCCACTGGGATTTTTGCACACAGTGTTGGTGTACGGTGCTTTTTCTGCAATATTTTGCTGTCTTTTCTTGGATTTTCTGTTTGCACTTAGTCACATAGTCACTTTAAGATGTTTTCTTGTTCATGTTTTTGTTTTCTGTTTGTTGCGGTTGCACCCGATTCAAGAGCCGAATGGCTCACAGGGCTATACCTAATAAATGAACTTGAACTTGAACCTAGAGAGACAAACCAATTTCCATTTGGAATTCTCCCCGTAGCAAGCAAAGAAGAATTCCGGAGGATTGTCGATTGCTTCGACAGATCTCTTTATTCACGCTCGTGCCTCACCGTATGTGTGGCTTGCAAATAATGTTATTTGCATGGAATGAGAGGTAGCATGAGCTAAGATAATATCCCGTATTTATTTATCGAACAAAGCCTCACCAGGCTCTAGTTTGGCCAATTCCATTTAAGGAGAGTTTTGCACGTGGGGATAACACTAAAACCAATGCAATCTCCTGGCCACCTCGCAACTGGATTGACAAAACCACGTATGAACGTGTGCCGATTGACAAACCACATTTGAACGTGCGTGGTTTTTGCGTGCAGTCTTTGGTGACTGGGCTGACACCCATTAACTTCACTTGAGAACCCGGTTTGATCGCGAGTGGCCGACTCCCGGATTCGCCCCCAGGATTTCATCATCGCCCGCTCAAGTGCCCTGACATGCTTTCGCCCCCTTGAGCCACTCGGCTCAACTCAACATTCGCTTGTTGCTATTTATATATACATATATAAAGAAAGCAGTGCAAGCCTTCCACGCTGGTGCTCAGCGCAAGGGTGTTTGGATGTAAGGCGCCGATAGTCCTCGCCAATCACCGAGGTTATAGTGGTTGGAGTTTTGCAGGAAATCCGGGAGGTAGAAGAATTCTGGGATGAGCTCCTTGACGTCGGCCATGTTGTTCCTGGAGGCGGACAGCCAGGCGTCTCGGACGCTGTGGAACATGCGGTCAGCCAGATCAAAATGTCCGCCCTGTCGGGGAGGGTGCGGGAAAGGGGTTACAAAAACACAAAAACACGAAAACACAAAAACGCCAACGCCATGAGCAACAAAATCAACACGTGAAATTGTATTCACTTCTGGCAGAGGTAGCAGGATGGCTCAGAGGTCAGAACACTGAGCCAGCACTGCTGGTAGTCTTGGGATTGAATCTTAAGATTGACTGCAGAGCAGAGTGTCCCACTCCCACCGGCACTCAAATGATAGTTCAAGGAAGTGGCTTATCATCACGTGGAAATTTACAGCAGCCAAATACTCTAAACGCATGTGTCTCAATGCGGAGGGAAAAACCAGAGGACCCGGAAAAAATCCACGCGACCAAGGGGGGAACATGCAAACTCCAAATATACAACAGGCATCAAGGGTCAGGGATCGAACCCACGACTTCCTGTATACCAGACGAGCAAGTTAACACCTCGCCACCACGGCGCCCCTTAACAAAGCCCGACTGCTTTGTGGACAACTGCCTCGTGGCTGCGAAGCCGCACTCACCTGCAGGCGGAGAAACGTTTGCGTGAACGGTTCCATCCGCACGAGGTACGAGGCGACGATCATGGCCGACGAGTAGTGCGTGCCGTAGTGGTAGGCCGGGGTCTCGCCTGCAGACGCACGTCGCAGCAAACGTTCAGTTTAGAAAAATTCACCCATGTCCGTATAGCTCTCCGATGATGCAATGCCCCCTTTCTCTCTTCCCAGCCAAGGTGATTTCAAGGCACTTCGCTGCAACATTTGTATCCAGCTCCAATTCCGATTTAAAGCTTTCGTGACTGCAGGGATTCATATTCTTGGTTCTTTCAGTAAAGTCACGTAGAAGGGAAGTAATAAAATAATAAAGCATAATAAAATAATTCTCACGACGTTTCGGCCACAACGCAAGCAGCCGTCCTCAGGTGAATTATTTTATTATTTTTTATTTTTATCATTTTATTACTTCCCTTCCCTTCTACGTGACTTTACCGAAAGAACCAAGAAGACAGCTCCAATTCGTTAAGTCCGTGCCCGCATTCGCGCGCGCGCGTTTGCTCTGAAGGGCGAATGCGAGAAACGTAAGCTCGTTGCGTCAGTCGTCGCACACCGATTGCAAATTGCCGTCGGCGTGTTTGAGTGCCGGAGCCGCCAGCTGTACCGTTTGGGTCCTCCCAGTCTTGGTAGCGCTTCTGGAACTGCTCCAGGCGCTCCATCGTCTGCGCTCCCATGGGTTTGGACATATCTCGGAACGTGCGAGGGTCCGTCAGGTCAAGCTCCTGCTCCCACCCAACACAGAGAGGAGATATACAACCAAAACGGTTTCCTTCACGAAGCACACTTTGTCATTTGAAAGCCGTAATAAAAGCCACATTTTATAGAAATTTATCACGCAGCAAGAATGCACATGGAGCCACTGTGTATGTGCGCTAGACGCGTCAATGACAATTGCCGACACTTCGCCACAACATTCTAGTTCGGCTGGTTTGTAAAGCCCCGTGCACAAGCAACATAAACAATAAACACACTGATATCAGCGCGTTGCTATGCTGACAAAGAAAATGATTCATTTTTGCCAATGAGTGCTTTCCCCATCACGTCCTGAACATGGTTTGATGGCCCACTGCACACACGTATCTGGTACGTGTATCAAAGTGCACGTGGATATCCGTTGCTATGCTGACAAAGAAAATGATTCATTTTTGCCAATGAGTGCTTTCCCCATCACGTCCTGAACATGGTTTGATGGCCCACTGCACACACGTATCTGGTACGTGTATCAAAGTGCACGTGGATATCCGTATCTGGTACGTGGTGTATCATAGTGCATGGGGGAATTCGTATCTTGCACGTGTATCAAAGTGAACGTGTAAATTCGTATCTGGTACGTGTATCATAGTGCACGTGGAAATTCGCCCCACTCGCGATTTGATGAACTGTCACAATTGCGGGTTGAGGTTCGATTCAAGAATATATTTATTTATAGTGAATGCAGCTATATCTCTCTTGGCTGCAGGGTTTACACGACAAAATCACAGCAGAGACGAACCGCAAACAATCGATTCTTAGACGGATGATTCGACGTATCTCGAGTTTAGGAATCAATGTTGATGAATTGTAATTCATGAATGACATGCCTAATGTAATGCATATATATATTATTGGTAGGAACCTCCTGGTTACACCAGCCCACAGGGGATTATTGTGTCCGTCTGTCGCGCAGGGAGGGGCTGGGTGGGGAGGGAGGGGCTGGGTGGGGAGGGGCTGGGTGGGGAGGGGCTGGGTGGGGGGTGGGAGGGTTGGGGCTGGGCTGGTCACCCCGTGGTGCCCTTATAAAACTCAACGTTTAACCTACTCACACCGGCTTATGCCCACCCTCACAGTCAGCCATATTTGCAGAATACACCACGCCGCCGTTGACCCTGGCCATTGACCGAGCAACCCAACGTTCCTACCAGCTCCCTCCGCAGGAATGTGTTAAAATTATATTGTTTGAAATGTCAACCCACTGCTAAAGGCCTCCCCACACCGTGGGGAGGCCTATTAGCGTGGTTGGCGCGGTTGGCCAAGTACGCTGCAAAATAAGTTCAACGTACATACATAAGTGTGCGTAGATAACAAATGTGTGTGGACACGCACACACGGGTAACAGAGCTCACGTGCACCTCAGACTGGTAGTCGGCCAGGATCCAGGGAAAGACGGGGTACTGCATGAGGTCGTTGTAGGAGCGTCCGGCCAGCGTGTTCAGGTGCATCAGGTACTGGAAGTTGCTGATCTCCCCGTGCTGAGGGAGGGGAGGGGAGGGAGGTGATGGCAACAGTCAAGACGCACGACAGAGTCAGAATCTTGAGTTTCGACTGGAAGAATCCGATGAGGTATGAAGCTCTTTTCACAGATGTCCAGTAGCGGTGGGTCAGAGTTACAACAAACAATACAAAAACAGATCGCGGTGGCAGGTAACAGAAAGCTAAGCGAGTCGCTAAATATCATTATAAATAAAATATATAAGTACAAATTGCATAAGTAGAATTTTTTTTGTCGATTTTTCAACACCAAATGAAATCTTGGGGCAAGGCGGCAAAACAAAAACAGTCCCAGACCACACCATGACCAGCACACAGTCCCTCAATAAAATTGCACGTTAAAATTGAACTGTCGATACATTGCTAAAGATTAAAGTTACAAATCACATTGGCAAATGTGGTGAAAATCAGAACTAATCTTCTGCTTCAGACTATTTTTTGAAGGATGATTCATGATGTTCAGGCAGGGAATAAGGTTGTTCCAAAACGTTGGTACTGCAATAGCAAAGCTTTCGTCACCTCTTACAATTCTTGTTCTTGGGATAGTTAAAAGAAAAATTACACAGACGTCTTGGGTTTCTTCCATTTGACAATCGGGTTCATGAATTAGCGAAGAATAGCGCGTATTTATCAATACGAATTTTATGGATGAACAGGTCACAATGTAGATTTATTTTTGAATGAAGTGATGTGAGATTGAATTTTAACTAGAGGTCACAATGGTGGGTCCTGTATGGTACATCCGGTGCAAATTGAAGATCAGAAGGATGAAGCGGGTTTCGTCTATTTAGCGATTCATAAGTAGCTGATCTGTAAGCAGCGTCATTGTAGTCAAAGAGTGGTTGAATGATAGCCTCAACAAATTTGCAGGTGCAATCGAATGGGAAAACATGTTTTTTACTGTATGAAAACCCCTAATTTTGATCAGATTTTCTTTGAGATGTTTTCAATATAGGGTTGGAATGTGAGCTTTGAAACAATCACTAATACCATGTATTTGAAGCACTCTGTTCAATGTTGTTTCCGATATCCGCAACAGGTGAAGGGAATTAAATCGTAGCGGCGAGTCTACCTGTGCCGAATCCATTCTTTTTTTATCTCTCTCCCAATTGTGCACACTGGTGCCATGTCATGAGATCAAGTGTTCGCTTGGATCTCTTGCAGAGCAGTGCAGCTCGGCGTTAGAGATCGGCCCACAGAAACGGGGACTCGCAGAACGACTTTTTAAACGTACCATTTATATTTATTCATTCACAAACTAGGGTGTATAATCTAGTGAGAATTATTTTATGTTTTATTTTTACTATTTTATTATTTCCCTTCTACGTGACTTTACCGAAAGAACCAAGAAGATGAATCCCTGCAGTCACGAAAGCTTTAAATCGAAATCTAGGGTGTATAATCTTGATTTGAAGCTTTCGTGACTGTAGGAATCCATACTCTTTGGTTCTTTCGGTAAAGTCACAGAGGTGTATACTTTTTCATACCCCCTGACTAGATATGAAGGTTCATCTCATGGCAGTTAAACCAATGTTTTTTTTGTTATTCCCAAAGCCACGATATTGATAAATGACGTTAAAAAAATTTAATTTGATGTGATGATTTTTCATGAAGCCATTGGTGAGCAGGCTGAGACCATTCACTTGCTAAGCTTAAGAACCTGGCGATTGAATTCTGGATTCAAATCCAAGGCCACAGCATTGACAGCTCAGTGATCTGACCTCCAAGTCACACGGCTGCCTCTTGGAATCAAATGTTGACTCGTTCCACTGTAATTGCTTCTTGTCTATTCTTGGACTCGGCAATTGAATCAGTGATTGCTAAACGTGGCTAGAATCATTTTAGAAGCAGACACGCAGGCCACCAGAGCAGGCTCTTCCAATTTTATTTAAATGTGATTAAAATAATTTACAGCTGCTGTACATTTTTTTACTCACTATATATGTATCTGTTATTCTTATGGTCTACATTTTGTGTTTTCAAAAAGTGTAATTTAAAAAAATATCTTTTGTAAATTTGCACTTCCATCCACCTGTTGGATTTATTTATCCTATAAATTCTAGCTCCTGTAGATGTCAATGGACTCTCCGAAGCTGCTTTAATACAAAAAGAGTTGATCAACCGTAAATGTCGAATTTTAAAAAAGATCGGTGCAGCAATACATCTTGCAGCATTGCTATTTAATTCCGTATGAATTGCCACGGGAGCATGAGGATTAGCATGGATTCACTTTAATTCTGGGCAAAAACAAATGAAAGGACTTAATGTTCTTCAAAGGGCAAGCTCTTGAATACTAATGAGGAGTGGACGTACACTCTCTCGGTTCATTGCCATCACGGGTGCGTAATGCCCCCCGCCGCTACTGCCAAAAGAGAGTGTTGGGCACTCAGGTGAAGACGAAATAATGAAACGGTGGCGACTGTGCTGAGACCAATAAAACACACTACACTTGAGCACCTGGTTCAATCGGAGGTGGCTGAAACCTGGATTTGAATGCAGGGAAGTCTGCTGTTCTGGCTCTGTGGCTACGACAGGGCAGCTTGTGAGCCGCTGTGCCACTTGGGACATCTCCATCTCGGGGGTAAACGGTTTCGATTATCCGGTGAAGATACGTACCACCCAGCGCTGCGTCACCGATCGCTCTCCAACCAGGCCGCTCAGCAGACCCGACCTGAAAAACAATGGAACACCGGGCTTTCATTTCTATTCTTGTTGCAAGGCCATGGTTTTAATGCTCAACTTGTATGTTTTGGGAACACAATGATTGACACAAATTAGGCCATTTAATCGCCATCATGTCGAGAGACAACGAAATTAAATTCCGTATTGAATGCACCATCAAGTGTAAAGAAATGGTCATGCAATATGACACCGGGGAACTACTTCTGAAGTCTGTCCAATAATTATCATGGTTGGCTACGAAAGAAGTTCAACATACATCCTATTGTATAGGATTTTATACTCCCAACACTAAAAGCAAGTTGTTTAAGCCAAGATATACATTTTCAGCGGCAAAAGTGGGGCCAAATATAATTACGGCATCAATGTTCGCTGAAATTACATTACATTGCAGCTCATTCTTGTTTGTATGGCTGATGTAGAGCCCCAATTATAGTTTAACTTTGAGGTGCTTTGGGCCAGATAATTGCTCCAGGAATACAGAGTGTATCGCTGCGATGCCTCCTTCGTATTTGTGAATCGGGCTTTGAGTCATTGTGCGTTCCTCGATCTGTTGTGCCGGGTAACCACAGTCACACAACGGAGAGATTTTTTTTCCCTTTTGCGCATCAAGTATCCACATCTGCTGTTGCGATGGCTTGTGTGTGGCTGTGGTTTTGGGGGTTGTGCCCAGAAGCTTCGCGGAACATCGGAGCCATGGATCATTCTGTCGGGTCTTTGACAATTTTTTAAAAAATTTGTCGATTACAATTCAGTGCAAATAACGCAATGATAATTGGAATCAATCCCAATTTTATATGGTGGGTTTTTGCACATTCATTGGGAAGTGTACTGAGGCCATCAACTCGCTACCCTTGAGAACCCAATCTGGGTGGCCACTTGAATCTCAGTGGTGCCGGCTGCTAGGTGACCTGTTGTGGTGTTAGCACCCCCCCCCCCAACCACCTCTTGGATCATAAATACCCACATCAAAACAAAATAATAACATTTTCATTAAATTTCGATTTAAAGCTTTCGTGACTGCAGGGATTCATCTTCTTGGTTCTTTCGGTAAAGTCGCGTAAAAGGGAAATAATAAAATAATAAAAATAAACCATAATAAAATACAATTCTCACGACGTTTCGGCCACAACGCAAGCAGCCGTCCTCAGGTGAAGAACAGGTCTGTTGGACAAACCCAGAAGCTTCGCAACGTCGTGAGAATTGTATTTTATTATGTAAAATTTTTATTATTTTATTATTTCCCTTCTACGTGACTTTACCGAAAGAACCAAGAAGAACATCTCCATTGTTGTATTTTCAAATCTTTACATGCATTTTAACCACCATTACGCCCCTTAATCAATTTACTGCTGGTTCAAGGTCTCCCCGTGCCCTATCAGTCGTGGGGGTTATTTAACCTTCACCACGCCGGTCAATACCGGTTGGAAGTGAAGAACCTCAGCAACAGCTCCGCGCAACACTCGCAGTCGACGTTAGCCTTTGCTTGGAATTGAACGCCCGCCCCGGGGCTCACAGCGCAGCATGCCAACGAGTGTTGCCATCACGTTAATAACATTCCTATCATCCGACTAATTACCGTGTCCTTCTCAGTGCCGGCTCACTCATCTGCGCAGATTTTGGTTTATTGCAGAGGAGCGTTGGCGAACGCTGGCAATGGTGTTCCGAGTCAAAAATAATAGGCAGGCGTCAGCATCCTCATCCGTACTTCACTCACAATGCCAACGTGCGCTTCTTCAAGAGAAAGTTCTTCGCCGTGTATGTGGCTGGAGGCACCGCTATCTTTAGCCAACCCTTCCGGCTCAGTGCGATGGGAAAATGACAACGATTTCCAGCTTTAACTCACTCAATTGTTCCCTGTGCTTTAGACAGGAAACCACGCAGGCTCCAAAGCAACAGACGTTGAATGGATAAAAAGCAAACACCAAAAATCACCTTTCTGGATTGCAGCTTCCGTCAAAAAAACATAGTTCGTTTTTTTCTTTCTGAAATTGAAATGTCTCGATCCTCGCCTTATCAAGGACACTCACTAATCCATGCTGACACAATCCAATTTAAGAGCACAACTGAATCGATGCCCGTCAGTAAACGCACGCCCACCCACAAACCATAGTGACCTATCAGGCGCGACAACAGTTACTGAAGCTGGAGGGGACATCGCGATCCTGCCCTCGGAAATGTCTCTTGACAGCAGGGAATTAATCACTGGCTCCGCACCTTAGCCAATGTTGAACTTGGCTGAAGCGGTGACGGATGAATTAGCCAAGCGGCTACCGTGTGAATAGTTCAAATGTGGCTGGGAACCTCCATCTGTAAGCTTCCTGGTGGGTTCCCTGAGGCCAAAGTAACTATCCCTAACAATAAGCATCCCAGACCAAAGTATGCGGGTACGGGTAGGCCGTGAGTCACTCGTGAGTAACCGTTTGTCACTCATTTCCCAACGTCTTGTCTCTTCTCACAATTCAAGTTCCTAGAATCAACCCACCCGCGCCTGCGACATGGCTTCATCCCAGAGGTCGCAATCAGGTACCCGATACCCGTACCCTACGGCCGGGTACGGGTACCCGTTTGCGACTCTGGTGCAGCCGGGTACGGGTAAGGAATCAAAACCCGTTTGCGACCTCTGACACAGGCCAGCAGACCAGCAATATACGCCACGGTGGCGAGATGTTAACTCCCTCGCCAAGTATGCAGGAGGTCGTGGGTTCGATCCCGACACTGACGCCTGTATATTTAGAGTTTGCATGTTCTCCCCGTGGTCGCGTGGACTTTTCTACGGGTCCTCCAGGTTTTTCACACCACATTTAAAATCAACGTGCGTTTAGAGTATTTGGCTGCTATAAATTTCCACATAAGCTCCTTCGTTGAGCTATCATTTGTGGCCAAGTCATTTCTGAAAAAGAGCTATGAAGCTCAGTGGGTTTCACCTGGTAAAATCAAAAGTTTAGTTAAACGCAATTCCTCCCATTCACGGCACCTCCCACCTCATGCATAATGTACGTGGCAGGCAGAACGTTGCCTGGCAACGCCACACAACAGTTGGCACGCAGACAAGGGGCCTCACTGCGCCCAAGTTGTGGCTCTCTGGCTGGCAGGCAAAAACAAATCACTGGCCCTCTTCGAGTTCAACTTCAACGGCCGCCGCTTCGATGGCAACGTGAGCGAGCTTCGGCGGCCCGCAGTCGAAGACTGAGGAAGGTGAGGGGGGGGCGGTTTTGTCGATGCGGTGGAGTGGGGCCGGTACGAGGGCCTCAAGGGGGGGCTTGAGGAGTCAGATTGTCGCACTTCGGCCTCTCCACTGCGAGTGTGGCTGGTAAAGTGGCCTCTTCCAGACGTCCTCTGCGCTGGCCGCGGAGAAGCCGCCGGGGCTTGAAGGCACCACATTTTGCACGCGCCTCGCGCAGTAACGGTAAGCTGCGTGCACATTTTTTTTAATTTAAACAACGTTTTTCAATGTTTTCGGCTCTCATAAGAAACATGCGTGAACCCTTTTCGTCTTTTTTTTCTTTCGTGGCGGCAAGTGAAAATGGACGGTTGCAAAATACGACGCCGCTTCGCCTGTCTGATAGCCATATCTTTCCTTAATGGGCATTTCCTTTCTGAATGCTAAAAGGAAAATAAAGCAAATGAGACCAAGACCAAAGTAGACAGCACGAGCCTGCCGGGTGAGATCAACTTGTTTGTCCTGTCACATTTCCCGTGGCCAAACGAACTCTGTGTCCGCTGGACCGCAACGCCGTTGCGCCGTGCCTTTTCAATTAGAGAAACGTGAGATTAAGGGCGGACATCCGTTACCCCGGCGCATACCGATGGAGCCCACACAGCGAGCGTGTACTGTTACCCGTGCTGCGCAGCGGCCGCAGCTATGGTAACGACTGCACGGCATTCATAGGGAACGTGGCCCTATCTAGGCCAGCCCGGCCCCTCTCTCATGTGGCCGTGTTTTGCGTGCCGTCACCTCGTCAACTGCAACGTGGCGAGTTGTTAACTACTTCGCCTGGTATACAGGGGGTCGCGGGTTCGATCCCAGCCCTCACGCCTGCTGCTGTATATTTGGAGTCTGCGTGTTCTCTCTCCCCGTGGTCGTGAGGATTTTTCCCCGGGTCTCATCCGGTTTTTCCCTCCGCTTTTCGAAACGTGCGTTTAAGAGTATTTGGCTGCTATAAATTGCCACGCAATAAGCCACTTCGTTGAGCTATCATTTGTGGCCAGGTCACTTCTGAAAAAAGAGTTATATAGCTCTCTGGGCCTTATTTGGTAAAATAAAAATAGCATACTTAGTTTAGTTTATAATTGTGCTGTGCTTAAATACGGCGGCACGCGTTGTCTCTTCTCGGTTTTCGCAACTGGCGTTAAGCTTTTCGGTTGTTAGGTTTTGAAGTCAGTCATCCAAAAAACAAGGAAGAACTGGAGCGCAATGAATGCCTTGCGTACAGTTTGTGTATTTGTGCGCGCGATGGGCAGCGGAAATATTTTTAGAGCTGGGTGTAAACGAGGTGCAATGACCTCATACTGCATTCAGCTTCCTTCGAATGTCCATTGTTATATACTCGTCAATTAAGCGTTTGCAACACGTACACAAACTGGAAAAACACTGCAACCTTGCTTGCAATGTTCGAATTCAAAAACGAGAACATAAATACGAACCTCCTCATTCTAGAAAAGGCCATGCTACTCATCAAGTTTATTTTGACCTTGACTGTTGAGAAAAGAAAATAGACGTCGGCAGGACATGTCGCTAGAAGGGATGGTGACTCGCGGTCGAGACTAATGACGGAGTGACAGCCAAAGGAGAGAACACGCATGAGTGGAGAACCACCGTGGAGATGGAGTGATGAAATCAGTCTCATGTGCAGGAGCTGGATGGACTGTCTGTCACATTGCAAGACCATGAAAGAATGGTGACGGCTTAGGGAGGCTTATTAGTGGACAGGAACATGCGTTTATAGAGTATGTGGCTGATATAAATTTGCACGCGATAAGCCACTTCGTTGAGCTATCGTTTGTGGCCAGGTCGCTTCTGAAAAAGAGCTACATAGCTCAGTGGGGCCTCACCTGGTAAAATAAAAATAAAACTCTTGAATAGTTTTGACTAGAGGCTAACCGAGCCGCGTGTGTTCGTTGCTTCCCGTGCAGAAGCCATCATGCCCAAGAAACGCGCGCCCAAGGGCCGAAAGCTGACGCTGAAGCAAGCCAAGGCGGCCGTGCACAGCACCCCCGACGGGAAGAAGCGCCTCAACCTCAGCAACGCGGGCCTCGCCATCTTCCCCAAGTGCCTCCTCAAGCTGAGCGACGTCGACGAGCTGGACCTCAGCCGCAACGCGCTCCGCGTCCTCCCGCCCTCCATCGGCAAGTTCGTGAACCTCCGCTCGCTCGACGTCCACAGCAACCGGCTCGAGAGCCTGCCTGAGTCGCTGGGCCAGCTGAGCGGCCTGCTGCACCTCAACGCTTGCAACAACCGGCTGGTTACGCACGGCCTCCCCGAGGGCCTCGCGCAGCTTCAGAAGCTGCGCACCCTCAACCTGGGCCTCAACGAGCTGGACAGCGTGCCGCGCTGGCTGGGCCATCTCCGGGAGCTCACCGACCTGGGTCTCTTCGACAACGCCATCGCGGGCCTGCCCGAGACCGTGGCCAAACTGCCCAAGCTCCAGAAGCTCAACGTGAAGCGGAACCCGCTTGCGCTGGCCCCGCCGGAGACAGGCGTCGTGCCGGGTGGGGGCGAGCCGTGCCCCGAGGAGGCGTCCCTGCTGCTGGTGCACGAGTCGGAGGTGTGCAAGCCTTGCCTGGCCTCGTGCCAGGAGGAGAGGGCACGTAGGGCCGGCCTGCTCAAGAACACCAACAAGGGGTCCAACCGCGGGGTGGGAAGGTTTTCCGGGCTCATAACGCCCAACTCCGTGGCGAAAGAGACGCAAACTGCCTGGAGATGAAGCGTTTATCGGGTACGGCACCACCTCAGGGATGTGGGCGACGTTGGAGACGGAGGTTTAGAGGGGGGTGTTTGTGCACGGGGTACTTTGGCAGCAGCAGCAGGACGCAGAAGTGTTACAGCAGAGCGAAGTTAACCTTGGCCCCGCAAAGCCACCTACTTCTCTAGATTTAGCCGGTTAATTAAATAACTTACATTTAACTCGGCGTTTGCCAAGAACACTTAATTAACCAGATTGGATTGTTACACACATTTTTACTTGAAAGTGAAATGTTATAATTTCAATACATTTTAAGGGAATGTACATGCCATAGAGTAATAGTTTTACACTTAGGTGGGTAAAATTAATTTAAACTGCCCAAGCCAATCAGAAAAATAAATCTGGACAGTGATACCAATATTCTTGGTTCTTTCGGTAAAGTCATCACGTAGAAGGGAAATAATAATTTTTATTTCATTTTTTTTCCTACGTGACTTTACCGAAAGAACTAAGAGTATGAATCCTTGCAGTCACGAAAGCTTCAAATCTAGAAACAATAAAAATTCTCACGACGTTGACTGCAACACAAGCAATCGTCATCAGGTGTGATACCAATGTTTACCGTCACTGACAAAAATTAAACTCCGATGAAGGAAAACCCCAACAACACCGAGCGCGTCATGGTTCCACGCGAATTGTGTTTCGCTCACCCAGCCTCCACACTTGCGTTGGGGTTCTGTCCGGAGACGCTCTCACTGCTGTCCGCGAGGGACGGTGCGATCGTCAAAAACCTGCGCTCGTCCGGGCGACAAAGGGGACACCACTTTGAGATCGCCTCGCCACCCCCCCAACTCCACAGTCATCGCACACGAAAGACAAAGATTCCCCCGTGGAGCCTTTAACAGACTTTTGTGGCTGTTAGAGAGCACCTATGAAGGCCAGCACAGGCATGCGAAGGGAATGGGCGGCCAGCACCACGCCCGGCCGCCTTTGTCTTCCGAGTGCTGATGTTTTACACACTGCATCAGGTACTCGTTTGAGGCTGAGTCGACAGAGTGGAGGCCCGGGACCGGTTCAGATAATTGTCACTGGTGTTGGCCGTGAGCGAGAATCGAACTCGGGTCGCCGGGTTCGTAGCGCAGCAACGCTAACCACCGTGCCACCGCTCCCCCATCATCACCCACACACACACACAAACACGGCACATTCGTAGAAAAACTAAGTGAGAGCTCGTTAATGTTCATGGTTAAGTCTACACCCTGATGATCTTTATCACTTTGTGCTTTGTTTGCAAAGGCTTTTAAGCTCGTGATTTGGTGCTTAACACGCCAGAGGCCTTACCTTTGGTACACCTTGTTTCTCACCCCACGTGGGAACACCAGGAGGTAGTTCCTGCCGTCGTTTGAGAATACTTCCACGGCCATCGGCTAAACAAAAATACCAAGAGGAGGATCTCAGCGGCATTGCGGTGTTACGTTTGACGAATAAGCGCGCCACTTGAGTGAACTTTGTGTACAAACTCATTTGCAATTAAATGTCTCTTCTTGGAAAGAAGGTGGGGTCTGTGGTTTCTGATGAAAAATTCTGTTTCGCACGAGATCAGCTCCCTGCTCTTGACAATGTCAGGGCTTTGGGCTGGGCCATCGAAATAGAAGATGGTGGTCACCTCATGGCGCTGTGCTTTCAGATGTGCTCCTGCGGCCGTCTGGAACGCTCTTCCTTCTGACATTAGGAAGCCACTGGAGAAATGCACTTTTAAATCTAGATTGAAAACTCATTTCCTTAGAGCTGCTTTTTGTGTTTAGTTTGTTGTACTTCCCCCGCACCTCCAATTAGCACGGTTGGCTACGTACGGTGCGAAAAATGTTCAACACACATACATTGCTTGCATTGTCTCCATAACTAAGCAGTAAATAGCCAGTCAAACTCCGGCTGTGTGTCCCGGCAAAATAACCCAACTAAACAGTATGAATGCTTCATAATGCACAGCAGCTGTACAAGTCTATATTTTATTTGGGATATATTTATTTTTACTAAGACGGTTCGTAACGTGAAAAGACATAGATGGTAAAAGTTAGCCAACAAAATTTCTGATTCTTAATCTGATCTGCGGCTCAGGATACAACAAACTATTCATCAAATCAGCGGAGCTAAGGGGGGCAATGGACGATTAATTTCGTGCCAAGAGACTACGAGTGAATATTCATGATAACAGAAAGGGGTCGCATGGCAGCGCATAGGTGGTTAGGTCCACTTCACTATGAACCCAATGACTTGAGTTCGATTCCCAACCACGGCGAACACCAGCGGTGAGTTATCCCTGAAGCAGCCCTGGGCATACCCCTCTCACCAACCCGTACCGACCAGCGTGGCGAAGATCAGGTAAACAGACCCCATGAACAACATGGCACGGGGGAGCCTCCGTCCTGTTGTGAACTGACAAGAGGAGCTGTGGTTGATCGGCACGGTACGGAACGGAGAAGAGCGGACGAGGGGCGGCACCTGCAGGAGGTAGCGCCGCTTGTGCACCTCGCGCACGCCCTCGTAGCTGAACTTGCTGCACGCGCGCTGCGGGTGCGACGGAGGCGATCGGGTCCCACGGGGAATCACCGGGTCCTGCAGCCTGGGTGGCGAGACCACCCGGAATCGTACGTGCAAGGACGAAGGGAGTCAGTGCCGTGTCGCGCATTCTCCCCAACGGTCAAACGCTTCATCCAATGACATAGGGAAGATGATGATGATTAAGATGATGATGATGATTGTTTCATCGCAGGGCCGTCAAAGAGGGTGGCAGCTTGGGGACGTCTGGCCTGGTTATGAAGATGATGATAGTGATGCTGTTGAGGACGATACAGGAACCAACAATGGTGCTTTTGACAGCCATGATGGAATTTTTTTGGATGTTCCAGCAACGGTTCGTATTGTTGATGATGAGGCTGCTACAGCTGCTGATGAAGCTGCTGCTACAGCTGATGAGGCTGCTACAGCTGATGAAGCTGCTGCTACAGCTGACGAGGCTGCTGCTTCAGCTGATGACGCTGCTGCTGCTACAGCTGATGACGCTGCTGCTGCTACAGCTGATGACGCTTCTGCTGCTACAGCTGATGACGCTGCTGCTACACCAGTGGCTGTGCCGGAGCTGCTCACTCGGGTGGCAGCATGTCGATGTCGCAGATCTCCCGGCGGGTCGTCATGGTGACCCCGTCGATGACGTAGAAGTGTTCCTTCCCAAAGAGCAGCAGCCCCTCGCTGGTGTCCAGGCCCTCAACTCGCGCGCACCGGTACATCTGGGAGATCTGGGAGCGACACGGCGGGGAGGCGGGGTCAGGCTGGGCGAGGTCGGGATCTGCTTGGTGTTACTGATCAGGGTTCGGGTTCAGATGACTGTAAATTGGATTTATTTAATGGGGTTTTTTTTATTGTATTTCAATTAGAGCCCAGGGCACATTGCACAAACCGTTTAGAGGAGGCGGGGGATGGGCTCGCTGCCCCACCGAGTGGGGATCATGAGCGAGTTGTTGTGCTCTTTTATGTGGGGAGGGGAAGATGAGGGTGGAATAACGTTGTTAAGGGAGTAGAGGGAGCGAGGAGAAGGAAGGAGGGGATACATTTTTAAAGATTAAGATTCAGGTAAATGGTGCGGAGTTAGGGTAAGCGTATAAGAGTTGTCACTGAAAAGAGACAAGATTGGAGGGAGAGATGAGGTGGCTGGGGTTGAATAGAATTAGGGTTAATTATAAAAGTTCGGTTTAAGGAGCTTGGTGTGGGGTAGTTAGGAGTTAATGAATAGGGTTAGTGTTAAAATGGTTAGGATGGAGTTAAGCTTAAAGTAAGAGTTAGGGTTAAGGTTAAGGTGGTTTTATGGTATGGTATAACTTGGGCAACGCTGGAGATTAGTGAGGGTTTGAGTGGTTCGAGTGTTCTCTGCTTCGAGGATCAGGTTTAAGGCAGAAGGAATGAGGTCGGTGTGTGGGCTCGGGTTACGGTCAATGTATGTTGAACTTCTTTCGCGCCGTATGTAGCCAACAGTGCTAATCGGAGGTTGCGGGTGGTTGTGCTGCGCTCTGGATAAGACGGGGAGTAATGCGCTAGGGGGAGGTTGGGGGTGGGGAGGGGGCTGCTCACCGTCTCGCCCTCCGCCAGCAGCCTCAGCACCGTCTGGTTCTCCGTCTTCTCGCCGCCATCGCCGATGCCGGTCCCGTCGGCCATCGGGTCCGGGAGGCCGTCTTCATCGTCGCCGCCCGGCAGCCCGGCGCCCGGCTCCACGCCCGAGCGAGACCTCTGCAACGGCTTCACGAGCCCTGCCGACGGCGACACGTCAGGCCGCCGCGTGACTTAAGGAGACTCGCTCGCGATTTTTGTTTTTATTACCGAGAAGGGATCGCAAACATCACGTCGCTACGCAGGGCACTGTTCGCGAGACGAGGATAACGGCTGACCGAGACGCAGAACGGTTGGAAATTCAGAGTGGCCAGCCACTCGGCATTGACCGTCCTCAATTTAGATGAGCGATTTGAAATGTATTTTCACATGGGGAGACCATTTCTGCATTTGCTGAAGCGTACGTCTGATACGGAACAATCGTCTGATGCAGAACCACCGCCCGATGACCTAATGTGAAGTGACAGGCAAACGATCCGAGCTTAAGTCTGGGGGGGGGGGGGGGGGAAGAAAAAAATAAATCAGCCAACTCGATCGTTACCCTCATCTACCTACCGAACACTCTCCCCGCTGCTTCGCCGTTGGGGCCACGTGCACGGCTCAAGCCGGAGACCGCGATCACAAATCTTCAGTGGGCGGTAGGCCGACGTCAAGAATAAACATCTCTCGTATAGGGCCCCTACCGTCGAACCTCCCGGTTTCAACCTTCCACGCCGCCAATGGTCGACCATCAACCGAATCGGGATGGGGCATGTGGCAGAGGTCGCAATCGGGTACCCGATACCCATACCCTACCCGAAACCCGGCTACCCGTACCCAGCCGGGTACAGGTACGGGTACCCGTTTGTGACCCTGGTGTGGCCGGGTATGGGTAACGGGTAGGCCGTGAGTCACTGGTGAGTCACCGTTTGTCACTCATTTCCCAACGTCTTGTCTCTTCTCACAATTCAAGTTCCTAGAATCAACCCACCCGCGCCTGCAACATGGCTTCCTCCCAGAGGTTGCAATCGGGTACCCGATACCCGTACCCTACCCATACCCGGCCGGGTATCGGGTAGGGTACGGGTATCCGTACCCGGCCGGTTACGGGTACCCGTTTGCGACCCTGGTGCGACCGGGTACGGGTACGGGTAAGGAATCAAAACCCGTTTGCGACCTCTGGCATGTGGCCGATGCGGCCGCCTGATGCGCAAAGTGGCGCACGGAAGATTCGGCGGCCTGCGAGTGCGGCCACAAATCCCAAACCGTCGACCGTATCATTAACACTCCGCCACCGCTGCTGTCTTCGCTCCTTTAAAGGAGGAATGGGCGAGATCCACTCTGCCTCTGAACAGCCAACCGAGTGGATAACAAATCTAAAATCACATATTTAATCCGCGTGTTATTAATCCACACGAAAGTGGGCGGTGACGGCGCTGACCTTTGACCCCCACCATGCTGTCCTCTCCGCCGTTCTCCACGAGCCGGGCGGCCTCGCTCTCGGCCGTCTCCGTGGCGACCACGGGCTCCAGGCTGGACTGCGACACCAGGCGGAGGTAGAACTCCTTGCTGTCGTAGCTGATCACTCGCCGCACTTTAGCGCTCTTCTGTGGGGAGGTGAGCGCCGCGTGGTCAGAGGCAGCTCGGTGAAAAGCGACGACCGCCCGCGGTTTCTCAAACGCGAGCCCGAAGGATTGCATCACAAGCGCACAACGTGCAGTGTCTGAAGTTTCTGCATTGCACTGAGAGTTTATAATTAATATCGGAGGTCCTGCGTTGTGAGAAATTCAACATTCCTGAGGCAAGAACTTGTTTTCTCCACATCGGAATTGCTGTTAACTTCCCACCAATAAATGCTCGCTTCGGTTAAGCCTGGGTGTGAACAAACTCACCATCTTACAACCGGGAGCTTGTGATTTTGCCAACTTAAGAATATCTCAGTCATAGTTTAACACGTCGGCTTTCACGACCAATATTATTCATAATCAACGTTTTTGGGTTTAGATCGCGATCTAAACCCAAAAACGTTGATTATGAATCTCAGTCATAATTAGGTGTCAGCTAATATGAAATCACAGCAGAGAATACCCACGGCCATTACAAGTCAAGTTAGATACATTTATTTGGTGACGAGGCCACCAATAAAGCAACACTTTTAATTCTTAAGACAATAATAACACAACACCAAGAGCACTTGAAGGTTGTAGACAAAAGGCTAAATGCTCTGGTCGAATGCAAAGTTTGGACTGGGGCAACGCCAGACCACCTGGAATTCGCCGGGGAGGCCGCAGGTGGCCTTTGGTCGGTTCACACTCACGGCAAACTTGAGTCAGCATGACGCTGACTCAACTCCCGAGGCTGGCCTGCTTAGCGAGCAAACGCCGGGAACGCCGTCTAAACCACGGGTGCCTGCGTGAATCTGGAGTTAATCTCACAGCTCGTTGGAGACGTGTCGGCCGCGGCTCACCTCTCTCATCACATCCTGCCCACTCTGCTCCGCCTCATCCATGAGCTTTGGGAGAGGAGAGAAAGAATAATAATATAAAGAGCAGTCGAGAACGTGGCAGCAGCATCGTTCAACTGGGGGGACGAGCGAGCCACGGTCGATTCGGGAAGAGGACCCAGCTTCATCCAATTACAACGTCTGTACGTACGTACGTATGATGTGCTTCTTTCGCACTGTACGTAGATTTAAAAGCACATAGCTCCAGTGGCTTCCTGATATCGGAAGGGCGTTCCAGACGGACGCAGGAGCGCATCTGAACGCACGCGATGAGGTGACCGGCTTTGCTCGCCGCTGCTGCGAGGATGACCAAAGTTTGCGCGATGGTTTATGCTCCTTGAACTGTGGTTCATTTGTGGCAAGCATTTTGTGTGCAATGAGTGTGATCTTATAAACTCTGTGAATTGTGACTCATGCGGCTGAGCTGGAGCCACGGGATTGGCTCGTGTGCAGCTGATGGGGGGGGATTGTTGTGTCATGTGACCACGAGGAATGGTGGCGTCTTTAAGATGGATTCATCCAGCAGTGGATTGCCTGTGACCGATGATGATTTAATGTTTGCATAGTTTATTTAAAGTTGCCTTGTGCAATGTGTATGGAAGCACATGAGATATATACATGTGAGTGGCAGGTATATGTTAAAAGAAGCTGTGTACAGTTTTATGTCTGTATTGTATTCATACAAATTATACTTTATTGAATACACACTGATGTATTTAATACACGTAAACGTGCATTTTAGTGTTTGTATAAAGAAGCTGACTTTAACACTTTTTTTTATTCCTCAACCAATGCTGTACATTTTCGTTCATTCTTGATGGACGTTCATTTTAGCATTTACGTCTTGCAGGTTACACCACTGCTGTGATCCCAGCGCTGACACTCAGCAGTTTTTGTCAGACAGATGCCCTCCAGCTCGGAACAACATCCAGGGAGGGCCCACCGGTTAATTTGAGTTAAGTGTAGGTTATTCTCCACAAGGACACTGGCAACACACAATTACGCAGGCATGAAAGTGAAGGTTCTGTGCACGCGTCTGTGTACATGCGTGGCTAACATCACTGGCGAGTGATATTAGAACATGTCCTGGACCTCCACGATGTCAAGCACCTGGGAGACATGGTGCTAGCCACACCACCCCTTTGCCGACAGCACTTGCCTCAACAGCATGTAAAAGACTGCGCAGGGAACCTTTGTCTGTGTATGTGTGCAAGTGTAATGACAGGGGAGTCAGCCTGCGGTGTGAGTGGACTAGTGGCCACGGGAGGTAATGACAGGGGAGTCAGCCTGCGGTGTGAGTGGACTAGTAGCCACGGGAGGTAATGACAGGGGAGTCAACCTACGGTGTGAGTGGACTAGTGGCCACGGGAGGTAATGACAGGGGTGTCAACCTACGGTGTGAGTGGACTAGTGGCCACGGGAAGTAATGACAGGGGAGTCAGCCTACGATGTGAGTGGACTAGTGGCCATGGGAAGTAATGACAGGGGAGTCAGCCTGTGGTGTGAGTTGACTAGTAGCCACGGGAGGTAGTGGCAGGGGTGTCAACCTACGGTGTGAGTGGACTAGTGGCCATGGGAGGTAATGACAGGGGAGTCAGTCTGAAGTGTGAATGGACTAGTGGCCACGGGAGGTAATGACAGGAGAGTCAGCCTGTAGTGTGAATGGACTAGTGGCCACGGGAGGTAATGACAGGGGAGTCAGCCTGCAGTGTGAATAGACTAGTGGCCACGGGAGGTAATGACAGGGGAGTCAGCCTGCAGTTTGAATGGACTAGTGGCCACGGGAGGTAATGACAGGGGAGTCAGTTTGCGGCGTGAGTGGACTAGTGGCCACGGGAGGTAATGGCAGGGGAGTCAGCCTGCGGTGTGAGTGGACTAGTGGCCACGGGAGGTAATGACAGGGGAGTCAGCCTGCAGTGCGAATGAACTGGTGGCTCCGGGAATGTTCGAGAATAGGAGCGTGGCCAGGTGACGTAAGAGGACAGTGGAGTCAGCTGGTGGAGCGAGCGGTCTAGAACCAGCGAGAAGGTTCAAGAATGGGGGCGTGGCCTCAGACCGTATATAAGGGAGATGCGCGGGAGAGTCGGGGCTGTTGCAGTGAGGTCTCCGCCTGTCCGAGTGTGAGCACGTGGCTCACGAATAAAGAAAACCTTCCCAGGATATGTGCGTCGGAGTCGTCTTTACACACGTATACACCTATGAAAGCCAGTATGGCACACAAAGGGGGTGGTATAGCCGGCAGACTGCCACCTTTGTATCCCCAGTGCTGATGTTTACACACTGCACCAGGTACTCATTGAAGGCTGAGTTGACCCCAAGTCACAGCTTTTATCCCAACAACAAAAACAAATGTAACCCGTGTAAGCATTGTCGCCCGCGCGCGCCAAGGTGCACCTACCGAGGCACCAGCGCCGTCACCACCACTGTCTCTATCATTGTATGCATGTTGAACTTCTTACGCGCTGTGGGTAGCCAACCGCGCTAATTGGAGGTTTCGGGGGAAGGACAACAAACTAAACACAAAAAGCAGTTCAAGAGAAATTCGTTTTCAATCTCGATTTAAAAGTGCGCGTAGCTCCGGCGGCTTCGTTGACCGTCGACCGTCGACGTACCTGCGTGTCGTCTCTGTCGGAGCCGCTCGGCGGGTACGGGTAGTGCGCGTAGTGCGCGTAGAAGTGCTCGTTGGGCATGAGCTTGCGGCGCATGCGGCAGGGCCCCTCGGTGGGGTCCAGCATCCACTTGTCGAGGCGGGAGCCCACGGGTGGCCCCCACGGGCCGCGCTCGCGCGTCACCTCGGCCTCCAGGCGCCCCCACTCGGCGGCAAGCAGCCGCGCCACGCTGCACTCGCGCTGGTCCCGCGCGCGGCGCACACAAACAAACACCGCCCCGTGTAGCCTTTAACGAACTGCGGGGGGCAAGTGCTGTTAGCGAGTAGCGCCTGCGAAGGTCGGGACGGTACACGGGTGGGGTGGGTGGCCAGCACCACGCCTGACCGCCTTTGTCTCCCTGGTGGCGATGTTTTTACACACCGCACCAGGTACTCATTTGAGGCTGAGTCAAGCTTAGGGGAAGCCCAGCACCGGTTCAGATGATCGTCAACGGTGTTGGTCGTGAGCGGGAATCGAACTCGGGTCGTCGGGTTCGTGGCGCAGCGCGCTAACCGCTGCACTACCGACCGTGTACGCCAAGGCCTAAGGCCCGAGGCGTATAATGTACACACGCACGGCCCTTGTGTCAATCCACTGTTGGATGAGGGCCTCCCCATGCCGTGCGGGTCATGGAGGCTATTTGACCATACTTCCCCGCAGATGTTAGTGTCGTTTTGTAAAGGCATTGAGCATAGACGTTGGAACGTAGTACAGGATGATAGGTGTTCGCTGACGGCACGATCAGAGAAAGCGCTGTGAGCACGCACCAATTTTGTACGGCACTCCGCTCGCTCAACAATTATGCACGCAACGATTTGCTACAGACCCTCTCGCGATTCAATGAACCATCACGATTCGCAGTTGTGGTTTGATTCAAGACTAGATTATTGTTGTTTGTTTTACTTCGTGTTGAATGCAACACCTCAAGTAGCTGCATTGGTCACGTGAACCAATTGTCTTGCATCATATACAAAGCATAAAAAAATCGATTAAGATTAAATACTTGTATTGTTAAGTGTAAGAATCGATTTTAATCAATGAATCCATGCATCATATTATTCCTGCTAAGCAAGCCACTGTTTTCCAAGTGCTGGCGTTCATCGCAATGTTACAACCACGTTGCCTATCCACAATAATATTTGTCAAAAAAAGAATTAGCAAATCAAATCCGAATGAAGCACTATGGGGAAAGCCCGCCAAAGACTCATGCCCACAGGCGCCGTCTTTTCAGGACGCCGCACTCGGTGTGACGGACCTCACCTCCTGCTGCTGCTTGTAGCGGTATTCCACAAGGTCTCGCACGACCGCGATGTGTGTGAACATCCACACCGACGCATCCTACACAACGCGCACAGGAACCACATCATCACCAGCACCACCATGGCCAAAAGCTAAACTTCACGAATGCAGCTAACTGCCATGGCAAAGTGCTTCACGGCATGCCCTTCTCTCGAGTGGTGGATTGACAATTGTATGTATGTTGAACTTCTTTCACACCATATGTAGCCAACCACGCTAATCGGTGGTGTGGGGGAAAGACAGAAAACTAAACACAAAACGCAGTTCTAAAAAAATGAATTAACAATCTAGATTTAAAAGTGCATAGCCTCCAGTGGCTTCCTAATATCGGAAGGAAGAGCGTTCCAGACGGCCTCAGAAGCGCATCTGAAAGGGCGCGTTGCAGTGACCGTCTTTGTTCGATGGCTGGCCAAAATCCGCTGCGAGGATGACCGAAGTTCACGTGATGACCGGAGTTTGCATGATGGCTATAAGCTTAATTTGAATGGTGGTGATGGTAAAGGAGCTGCTCTCCGATGCGTTTTCCGGGTCGGACCGCGCGCCGTTCTTGACAACCCCAAAAACACGCGAGAGATCCGCGCAGTGAGCAACCACGTAAATCCACCCGGAGTAAGCGCTTGCAGTGGGGGGGGGGGGGGGGGGGGGGTGTGCAGCAGAGGTCGCAACCGGGCAACCGGGTACCCGATACCCGTACCCTACCCGATACCCGGCTACCCGTACCCGGCCGGGTACGGGTAGCCGTTTGCGACCCTGGTGCGGCCGGGTACGGGTACGGGTAGGCCGTGAGTCACCGGTGAGTAACCGTTTGTCACTCATTTCGGGTAGGGTACGGGTAGGGTACGGGTAGGGTACGGGTAGGGAACGGCTACCCGTACCTGGCCGGGTAACGGGTACGGGTACCCATTTGCGACCCTGGTGCGGCCGGGTACGGGTACGGGTAAGGAATCAAAACCCGTTTGCGACCTCTGCCGTGCAGACGACCGGCGACGCGGCCGTTCACCTGCAAGGACGGTGCGGAGCGGTTGGCGGCGCTCTCCTTGCGCTGCTTCCTGTTGCCCGTGAGCCGCGTGAGCGCGAAGCCCCCGCCGCTGCTGCCGACGCGCAGGCGCGAAGACACCGTCTGCTCCGCTCGGCTCAGCTGCTTCCTCTCGTGGCCTGCGAGATGCACCGCCGCGGTATTTTGCAACGTGATAAGCCACTTGGTTGAGCTTTCATTTGTGGCCAGGTTCCTTCTGACAAAGGGCTGCACGCAGCTCAGTGGGCCTTACCTGGTAAAATAAAAGGCTTAAGTTTAAGGAGCACAATGAGGAGTGACGGTTATATTCCTGGATTTGAATCGGGACTATCACAGGCGTTGTAGGGATTAACCGGGATTTCGTATGGATGTAAATTTTGGACACTGTAGAGATGTGGGTCATCATTACGTAACCACGAAGTGGCTCTTTACTTGGGGCATAGTATGTCAACCAATTAATTTAAGCAATTAGGACGAATGAGTTTGCCGAACATGTAGAATCGGCCGCGTGAGAATGTTTATGTTTTCAGCTCAGTCACTGATGGTCGAACAAAAGGCTCCACAATCAGTTCCTCCACGTCACCTTCAGGGTGACTGCGACTCCACTTGTACATGAAGCAAAATGGCTCATTTGGACAATGCTACTGCTGACCTTTGGCCTGCGGGGAAGTCACAGGAAATGGGCGTTGGCACGGTGATGGCCCAAAATACACATCAGGGTTAGCACTGTGGTGTCGTCAGGAGACCGACAGATGGACTTACACACCCATTACCTGACCTTTGGCGTGGGAAAATGGTAAGCACGCCAGCTTTACAGCTGAAAGCGCGAACTCTGCACCAATGGAAATGTACGTGAGCATGTAAAACCCTTCTTTGAACGTATCAGTATTCAAATGCATACCGGGGGTGTTATCTGGTGTTAGCAAGAACGCATAAGAGAATATTCGTTTCTGCCCATCTTGTATCTAAATAATGTGCATTTATATAAATACGAACTAGCATGAACATATGATGAAAGTGTGGCCTCAATGATTAGTTGATAATGTTTAAACACCCATAGCAGTATTAATACGGTATGTATGTTGAACTTTCTTCTCACCGTATGTAGCCAACCGTGCTAATCGTAGGTGCGTTATAAACTGAACTATTTAATTTTATCAGGTAAGGCCCACTGAGCTACATAGCTCTTTTTAAGAAGCGGCCTGGCCACAAATGATAGCTCAACGAAGTGGCTGATCACGTGGAGATGTATAGTTGGCAAATAATCTAAGCGCATGTTTCTAAATGTGGAGAGAAAAACCGGAGGTCCCGGCGAAAAATTCATGCGACAATGGGGAAAGAGACACGCATTCCAAATATATAACAGGCGTCAGGGTCGGGATCGAACCCTACGACCTCCTGTATACCAGGCGAGGTAGTTAACATCTCGCCGGCGTGGCGAGATGTCACTCAGCACCAACTGCTCGGGGCCTTGCAAAAACCTCCCAGCGACTGTGCCGGCGATGCTGTGGGCGAGTTGCCGCGAGGGCGTGCGACGGTCGCACCGAGGTACGTCTGCCAGGCCCTGGTAGACGGCTCCTCCAGCAGGTGGCGCAGCGACGCCAGGTCGGATCGCCCCGGGTCGGACAGCGTGTCCGGGGGCAGCGGGCTGCGGCACAGCACCTCCACCACCGCCCGCTTGCTGCCGATCAGCTCCTGCCACACCCGGCGCACCAGCTTCACGAGCTGGGCGCGCGCTGACCGCATCACACACAACGCACACCGGCTACAGGCCCGACGCGCTACCTCGCGTGCCGGGGCTCGGCAACGATAGCGCAGGCGTGGAGCGATTTCGTCTCAACCCGTGGATTCGATGGGTCGTCGCGATTCAGGGTTTTCGTGATTAGATTCCAGAAATCAATTCAATCGATTCTTGGATAAAATATTTACGCTTGTAATATTGTTGTTCGTGCCTTAAACCTGAAATTAGCATATGCATTTAGAGATATGGTTAATGGTCTATTGTTAAAAGCACAATAACACGCATTTCATAGCGAGCATAATAACTGACGATTTAATCAACGAATCAATGCATCATCACAATCCTAATAAAACACAGAGTTTTGATCAACGGCCGTTGGCTTGCACGCATAAACACCTCTCATATCTTGCCTTACAGGACAGAGGGCGAGATCCCTGGCAGACAATAATACTGACGGCTCATGAAAAAAACAACAACATAGAGTGGGGGTTATGTTTCAAATGGAATATCGCATTATTTACCCTGGCTGGCTTCCTCGTCATCAGGGTCAGAGGTGGACAGGACGTGCCAAGCCGAGCGAGCCTCCAGGCCGAAGCCGTCTACAAATCTGGGGGACAAGGGGAGACGGATACAATTGTAAAGGATTTAAAGCTTTCGTGACTGCAGGGATTCATCTTCTTGGTTCTTTCGGTAAAGTCACGCTATCGCCTCGACAGACCTGGTCTTCACCTGAGGACGGCTGCTTGTGTTGTGGCCGAAACGTCGTGAGAATTATTTTATTATGTTTTATTTTTGTTATTTTATTACTTCCCTTCTACGTGACTTTACCGAAAGAACCAAGAAGATGAATTGTAAAGGATTTAAATTAAATCTAGCAAAACCAAATTGGCTAAAACGTACTTAAGAAAATTAGCACATATGCATTGCTTTATATATATATATATAACAATGTAATCATGAGACCAATATTGGTCAATAATCTGCCGAAATGTGAGCATACATTTACATTGCTATCATTGGTCAAAACAAACCACATGAGTCAAGTGGCTCAGTGTTAAGTTTAGACCAATAAAAAAAAAACTCACATGTTCCTTTGCATTTTAAGGGCAGGCAAATAAAAAAATTGCAATTTAAGGACAGTTTCACTATATTCTTGGTTATTTACCGAAAGAACAAAGAATATGAATCCCTGCAGTCACGAAAGCTTTAAATCAAGACAGTTTAACTGTTGTAAATTAATGAAGATTAATATTGCAAATGTCTTGCTTTACCTAGTGTGTGCATGCAATGTGAAGAGCAGTAGTCAGGGCACTCTGGCAGATAACATCAGTGGCACGCACTCTCCGATTACCTGATAGGACAACTCAGAATTATATAATTACCATAATCTACCAAAAATTCCCTGGCATAGCACTAGTCGTCCAGGCCTTAGTAGGTGCTCACTGAAATCAATTGCCCCAAGATGGCTGGGTGGGTAAGAGGTCGGAGCACCGAGCTAGAACTTCCGAGATCCTGGGTAGGACGAATCCTGTGATTAAATTGGTTTCTCTAACGCAGGGGAGTTGACATTCCCAGCCCGGTCACCAATGACTTCACAAGAATTTGGCTAAATTCCAGCTCTCGTGATTAAAAATATCGACAAACGTTGCCCTCGGTGGCAGAGCGGGTGGGAAAGTGCTCACCCATACCGCGGGAGCCAATAAGTTACTTGACAGGATCTCAGAGGTTTGCTCTGTGATATCCGATTCTGTGCGCTGTCATGTAAACATGAAGGGTCGCACTGATATGACAGCAAAATAGCACGAGCGGAATAAAATCAGGGGGAAAAAAAGAGAACACATTTTAAGATAAATAACAAAAACAGGTACAAAAACTCACTTTCCCCAACGGCCTAATAAGTATAAACACGAGATCTTTGGTGACGCGAGTGGCGGGTGGGTAGTGGGGGGGTGGGGCAGGGGAAAGCGGCCGTACCTATGCATGCGAATCTGCAGCAGGCAGTGCAGCAGGCAGGCAAAGAAGTCCGGCTGGTAGTTGCCGGGCCCGAGCAGCAGGTTGCGGTGAACGAGCAGCTGGCCCAGGCTCTCCTGGAGGACTCCCTGCTGGGCGGGCCAGCGGCGCGGGCGGGACAGCTGGTAGAGCACGGTGCGGTTCAGGCAGCCGTAGAGGCCGTCCAGCGACAGCCCCTGGGACCGCTGCTTCGCCTGCGGTCACGCACGATGGCCCGCGGAGGCATTTGGGAGGCGTCAAAACGACGCTCGGCATCGCGGTGGGGGGGAAACTCGCACGAGAGATGCTGCTCGCTCGCTCGCGCGCGCGCGCGTGTACATCGTCAAATTTTTCTTCCGATTCCTTTCCTTTGACGTACGTCTACGGAACCGGGAGGAAAAACTAAAATAACTTTATCGGTACCGAGGCTCCCGCAAGGCCATGCGGGGAGGTCGTGTGGCACGGGTTGGCGCCAGCTTTAGGAGAGTGCGGTCGTATCGCTGCAGTTCTCTGCGGTGAGTACGATGTCTTTAAAAACAGCGGCGCTATGTATATATAAGCCATTCAGTGGAACCAAGAGTGCAAATGAAATTGTAAAAACCTGTGAAATCAGTTCCGCGATGAAGTTAAACACGAGTCGTGGCTCCCTGCTGAACATGCCCTGCCACAGCTTGTCCACCACCCTCTGAGCAAAGTAGAAGATCCCATTTGCCACCGCAGTGTAGGTGCCACGGCCTGAACCATTGTCTGCTGGAGGGGGAGTAGGCAACGGAGACAATCACACAACTGAAAAGATCGCATAATCAAATCTGTGAATCTGCAAATGACAGAAGAACAGTGCAGTCCGGAAAACCAAGTGTTTGAAACATCACCCAAAAATGTGTCAAAAGCACACAGCTTCTGGTACATTATGAAAAAACCATCAGCATTCCCTGCAGGAGTGCATTGTGGTCTTCCTGTCTTTGGTCACCATCAAAATGTATTTGAGCAAGTATGACCGATAGGCAGCAGTGATACAGTGACATACAACTGTGGACCGGTTTCATCTTAATTAGGACTCATCAGTACTGTATCATGCTCACTGCTGCAAAGTATGATGATGATGATGACTAGGGTCTCGTCGGTGTCGTCAAAACGTCTCACTTTTTAGATAAAAATGCTGCTATGTCATCCCCAATTTGTTCTCATGCACATTTTTATTCTCAGCAGTCTCGTGTTATATTAATGTCATGAAAAATTTGAAATTTTACACAAACCTGTTCTCCAGAAGAGTCCTGTACGTAAGCATGTCACAAAATAAGCACACGTTACGTAAGGGTTCTGCAAAAACTACGTCCCATTCCGAAATGTATTGAACAACATTTTCATTTTCACTCACATATACAATATTAAGACGCCTTATTTCATGTTCCGTGGAAACAACCACACAAATAAACCCGCCGCCGCCAGCTCGTGTGTTAATACCAGCCAATCGCTGTGTTTCCATTGAGAGGCAGAAACAATAACGTAACTCACCATTGGAATCTCATTTGCCAGTAAAAATATGATAATTGGTTTTTTACCCTTCTATATGGCAACAAAACTGACACCTTTTTTACGCCTTTTGGTGTCATCTGGTCCAACCCATGTGAGACTAGGCTCTAAGGAAAGCTGTCTCGGGTGTGGACCAATCAACTTCAAGGACAGTGCACATTATCAGAGTTATGTTTTTTGTTTGCATTATGACTGCAGGTATTGTGGTCTATGTAAACATGACTCCTTGTAAAAAAGGTGTCAGTTTTGTTGCCAGATAGAAGGGTAAATTTTTTTTTATCAATAACGTAACTCTTTCAAATTAAATTTGCTAAATGAGTTGCGTAACGTTACAGTTTGACGAATAATTTCTGTTCAGTGGTCACTACCAGAGTCATTTACTGTAAATAATGAACTGCTTTTCCAGACTACTCCAGATTTTAAACATCTATGAATCGGTTAGAATCTATCATGTGTTGCTCATTTCGATTTAAAACATATTCAATGTCCCCTACATGCATTTACTTGTCAAAATGTAAGAGGATGCATTCCCAGCCACGGCTAACATCATTGACAAACTATATTTGAACCAGTTCTGAGCCACCCCTTCACCAACTCGCAACTGACCAGTGTGCTGAAGGGTGGTCAAACAACCCCCTTAACCAACACACCGTGGGGGAGGTCTTTATCCAACAGTTAACTGACAAAAGGCCATACATGAAATTATATTAATACTATACAGTGGCACCTCGGTATACGTCGTTAATTTGTTCCAGAAGGTAGGACTTATACCGAAAATGACGTTTACCAAACTAATTTTTCCCATAAGAAATAAAGGGAAAGAAAATAATCCGCTCCAGAGTATAAGAAATTATATTTTTCATGGCATATCATACATTAATGGGGTTGTATAAAATAAATTAGACACTACTTGTTACTAAAATGCACACATAAACTAAAATAAATGAATAAATAAATTAAAATAAATTGAAATAAAAATAAAATTTAACATCACTGTAACATCACTTTACCTTGCCGAGAGGAGTTGATAGCCTACGAGGATGGTGGTGAGGAATGGGAGGAGTCGTGAACGGGGTCTACGCGGGTACGCGGTGACTCATCCAGACCCATACAAGTTCTAGCAAGCGCGTCGTATCCCAAGCAAGATGTCGTATCCCAAGCAAGATGTCGTATCCCAAGACATTTTTTCTCTCGTCAAAACACGACGTGTAGTAAATTCGACGTATTCCAAAGCGGCCGTATACCGAGGTATGACTGTATTAGAATTTTTTTTAAATCAAGAGGTGAACTGGTAACCCAGTAACCGAGTCCACGGGCTGAATGAAAGAGACGCCGTGCTCGCGTGGGTTTGCTCACTCAGTGCGTCGGCCGACTGTAGGTGTCCCATGATGCTCAGCAGCAGCTCCGTCTGATACTCCCTCTGCTGGCTCTGGGTGGCCCTCTCCGGCGAAGCCTGTCAGGTGATAGGTGTGGGCGACGGTTAGAATGTGCCTGTGCTCAACCAAGCGCAGTCTAAAGTAACACCATGGCTCTAATGCCTACGCAGCACTGGATTCTGGGCATGCATCACCACGCCTAGAAGAGTTACTTACAGCATGGCCCGGGGAACCTCTGGCCCTACGGGACTGGACATCATTCCGTACGGCCTTCAGCCACATGAGGCCTACCGCTTCGAAACAGCCCACAAGCAACATGTATAAATAATCACTTCAAGCATCTTAACCACGAGAATCGGGGTATCAGAAGAAAACATTGCTGACCTGGCAACACTACCGCATGTGTCATTTTGTGTGCACTCAGTCACTTCTGTTTCTGCAAGGGCTTCTTTACACCGGGTCGACGAGAATGTTATTTATCGCTTTGTTGTCTGATAATGGCACGGTGTGTGTGAACGTTTCACCCGCCAACGGAAGTCCTACTTGGCCCCGGCATAAGTATACATTAAGAAACACGCGTTTAGATTATTTAGCTGCTATACATTTCCATGTTTTAGCCATTTCGTTGAGCTATCATTTGTGGCCATGTCGCTTCTGGAAAAAAAGCTAAATAACTTCGTGGGCTTTACCTGGTGAGATAAAAACAATTGTTTAGTATTATTTGTATATTTGTGTGATTTGTTTACCTTTCCTCTGCTTTGCACTCCTATCGTGTTTTTGTACTGTTTGTTGTTGCAACGTTCTGACCCACCCCTACTGAACATCTGTGAAAAATAACTTTATTGCCCATCGGATTCCTCCAGTATAAATGAATATCATGGTTCTGATTCTGATACGTGTGTACACGTGTACTCTGTACGAGCACCTTTTTGCGAACGTAACCTACACGGGGAGTGACCCGGCCGAGCGGCAGAGCGTTCGCTACTCGTTGCAAAGATTCGTGGTTCAAACCCCAAAAAGGGCCGCCCTGGTAAATGCCACAGGTGCGTTCAACAAAATGTACACACCGTCTGCTTCAAGGTGATCTTTAACTTCTTGTGAATTCATTTGAGTGGGCCATTGTGTGCCGGTGTCATGATCCAAATTTGGAAAATTACCCACAAATTACTCAATTATGGATACACATAGTAATCATTGCTCATTCCTGGCAGACTAACGCCCACTGGCAGGTCAGTGCAACACTGGGAAAGACGCCACTGGGGTCCACCATATGAAAAGAGACGTGATGATGCAAGACGCTTTGGGTTGCCAAGGCATTTAAGCGCCATATAAATGTAAAGAGAGATTATTATTACAACATGTACAGCCTTTAGTCAATCCACTGCGGGATGAGGGCTTCCCCACTAGCGCAGGTCATGAAGGAAACTTGATCACACTTCGTTACACTCAGTGCGGGCTTGGTCTAGGCGGCGTGCAGATGTGGGAACGCAAAAGTACAACACAACAGATTTGTCCGAGCTTCCCTCTGCCGCCCAACCGCCTTAGCCCCACCACACGCGGCATCTGCACACGCCAGGCAGGCGATGATTCATTCGAACCGCCGAACCGCTGCGGGGGGGGGGCAGCGTGGCGGCCGGCCACGGCGCTCACCTCGAGCAGGACGTCGAGGAGCGGGGGCGACTGCCTGCTCACGTTGCCCTGCAGGAGGCTGTCGACGGCGATGGTGCGCAGGAAGTCGACGACGAGCTTGCGCGACGGGTGCTGCGACAGGAAGCTGCTGCGCGCCGACACCATCTGCTCCGAGCGGCTGCGGTTGAGGCCCATGGGTGCCTCCGACGTGAAGACGCCGCTCTCGTCCTCGGGGCCCTCCGAGTCCTCCGCGTCGCCCACCTGAGCCGCGGTGAAAGCGCCGCCCCCCGCCCCGTGTGATCAATGGTTACAATGTCGGCGGAATGGCCGGGTGATGCATTCGTTTTTTTTTTGTTCACATACCGCCTCGGTTGCCCCTTACTGCGTGGACCACAGGTTTCACCACCCACTCTGACAAAGAGTACCGTTACTCTCATGACGGTCAAAATTATACAAATCATTCTCTGAGCCATAATTTATCTAAATAAATTGGAAAAATAACTAATAAGATGGTTTACTTGAACCAAAAACAACACAAACAGCCTTTCTGGTGTTGCGGGCAGGAGGGATCTACCCAAGGAGATACGGGACGTCATTAAGCAGAGTCATCATCATTCTTTTGAGATCGTTCCCTGGCAAAGATGTCGCTCTGTGGCCAGTACACGAGTCGGGAACTGATGATTTGACTTTAGTCTATAAACACACTTAGTGATAAAAGACCCTCAAAAACGTTTACTTGCTCTGCTGAAACGCTTTTGCGATTCAATCTCGAATCAAACGGCACCACTCAGGGTTTATAGTCACAGGGTGGCTTCCGAACAACAATAACAAAACAAAAAATCGATTCACATCGTTACTTTGCATTAAGACGCATTCGTTTGTGGCCTCCACGTTTTAGTTTATTGACCACGACTGAGGAAATTTCAAAGCACCGCTCACCATTGATTAGGCAGCGGGACGTTTAATTTGGAGTTAAAAGTTCACCCCAAACAAGAGCATTTCAACCACGGTTAATGTAGGCAAACTTAGTTCTGGCTTCATTAATCAATTAAGCAGATGCATAGATGATAAACAACAACAAAAAACTGTGCGAATTTTATAATTGTTGGCACAGCACTGCTCACACGCGAAGCAATCTGGCCCACAAGGTGTCACGCCCCGATAATTTTCACGAGGGGGATACCAAAGTGAATGCTGACATGAACGAAAAAGCAATCTGCTTCTGAAACCTGAAAAAAATTGTTGAAAGGGCCACTGGAGAAAACCGGCTGAGCTTGATTTTGAAATGCATTGAGGAGAGGTGTGGCTAACAGCGTGGATATTTTTGCACGTAATCAGAATCAAATGTACACCCCCAGCAACATGACGAATTCTTGCAATTCAGGGTCACAATTTAAATCCCAAAAAGACGTATGAATATTTTGTCTTGTTTTTATTGCCTTTTGGCAAAATGTGAAGGTGTATTCCTTGCAAAGAATGTGCACAAGTCATCGATAATGTATTTTTAAATGCCACGATTAGATGGGTGTATCACAAAACATATTTTGGTAAGTAAAAAATGCGGCCAATTACAATACGAAAAACTGCCGCAAATCGAGGGCGCGATTCAATTTGGGAATAGATTTTTTTTCTTCAATGTGTTGAATGTAGCCTCCCTAGTGGCTGCAGGGATCAGTGCACCGATTACAAGCAAACGAATCGAAAATAACTGCTTCTTACACGCACGACTACGACGCACATATCGTGAGCATAGTTCATTTTAATTGACAAAGTGATGCAGGGGCACCACAGTGGAGAGATGTTAACCTCCTCGCCTGGTTTACAGGAGGTCGTGGGTTCGATCCCAACCCTGATGCCTGTATATTTGAAATTTGCATGTTCTTCCCGTGGCCGCATGGATTTTTTTATGGGTCCTCTGGTTTTTACCTCCACATTTAGAATTAACGTGCGTTTAGAGTATTTGGCTGCGATACATTTCCACGTGATAAGCCACTTCTTTGAGCTATCATTTGTGGCCAGGTCGTTTCTGAAAAATAAGCTAATAGCTGAGTGGGCCTCACCTGGTAAAAAAAAAAAATTCAAACAACAAAAAAATTGCCAAACTGGATCTGTCACATGCTGGATAGACGCCGTGAACGTGTGTGAATCTGCCGAATCCGGTTATGCCGGCTCAATGAGGTGACTGCGACCAGTCCAGGTCGTCCCCTGGATATGGGCGGCTTAGTGTCAAACTGCACATTATGCAACGCCGGCCAAAAAACGTGATGACACGGCGAGGATATTTCAGCATATTTACACTGCGTGCCTACAGCATGGGAGGTGGCAGAGAAAGCCCTTCAGGGTGTAAAGAGCAGTCTTAATTTACGAGTGACTATTACGACGCTGATGGTGGCGTACGCGGGGATCTTCAGGAGCAGGCCTACAGAAGCCAGCCTCGCAACACAAATCCTCATGATACGCCAACCCGGATGGTTATCCACGCAAGTCACGTGACCACGTGGGCTGCTGTATAGACAAGCAAGTAGAGCGATGCGGACTGCATACGCTGTTGTTGCGTAACTGCCTATTGTTTAGGCTGCAGTTTTTTGCAACTTGATTTCCCTGAAGTTGCATTGTTATGTTGGACCGACAGTTCCTTTTTGAGTACAAGGTCACAGAAAGGAGGGCAAGCAATTGGACTTCAAGGCATTACGAATACGTCCACGTCTGTGACATGCCGACGTTGCATTACTCCACATGCTTTGAGAAAAAACGAAACCCGTGTAAACGAAGGAAACCTCGCACTACTGTGCGAGTTGTCGCGCGCTTGCGCTCTACAGCTCTTGATGCAGTTCTCCGATATTTCCTCCATCCTTTGATGCGTGTTCAGTTCGTACTGCAGTGTCGCTCTGAATTCATTTTGTTAAGAAGCTTCCAGGCACGTGGAGTGAAAAACGTCGGACATCGTGCCGAACAACGCGCGGAACGACGCGTAAACACGTCGAGGGAGCTAAATGAACGTCATTGTACCTGAAGGAATGTCATGCTCCTGGGGAAAAAAAAACCAAGCGCGCTTACTTGAGTGGCACGCGTCACGAGCAGGCAAGGAATGACCTTTGCACAAAACTGGTTACGGTCCAGCGGCCAAGAGAGGTGCAATGTGATGGAGAGGTTACAACCAGGGGCACATAGTGAGAGTGAGATGAATGAATGAATCTGGAGCTGTACAACCCTGGAGGGGGTGGGGGGAGGGGTTGGGGGTGGCTTGGGGAGAATTCGTTCAACAGGAATAGAAACTGGCGCCTGTGTGAGAGCGATGAGCCACCAGCCACAAGGTTTATGGGTAAAATCCAGGCTTCGGCTACATTTGAGCCAGGTTCTCAAGAGCAACGAGCCGACGATATTCTCAGCTCGGTCACCACATGCCATCGGGTACGTTGCATTACGGAGTTTAACTCAACTTGGCGCAAAAAAATCCTTCGATGATACAGATTGTATTTCTGTCGGATGAATGGAACGTGGGGCAGCACTTCTTAAGAGAGCACGAAGAGGAAATCACTTAGTGCTGGGTTAGAGAGAGCTGCTGTAGTATCATCCTCAGCTATTCCTTGACCCAATGCAGTTCATCTCAAAATATGACTCAATTAGTATAGTTTGCATATAACACGCAGTTTAAATAAATGTGAAGTTTTAAACGGGATTATAATTATGTTGTTGATGGTAATGATGATAAAAGCCCAAGTGTCTCCCAGATCAATCGCTGTGGGCTCATTTCACCCCAATAGGAATTGAACTAGCAATTAATCAATTAGAGGTGTGCATTGATTCATCCCCGACAAAGAAAAGTTATTCCGTTTCTGGGTCATGATCGAATAATCATGGCGAATGTAATGGTCACTCATGGCTGCAGAGGTTATAACGAATCGGTTACATGCAACACATTCAAATTGAATAACGTCGTTTCTTAAGTAAGCGATTCAATGCGTGTATTGCGAGCTTAAACAGTAAATATTAATTGGTGAATCTGTGCCTAGTTACAACTCTGCTTCCAATAATTCGTCAAACACTCCATCCAACTGCATCACCCGGCCAGAGTAATTGCACTAAGCGCTCACGAATTTAGGACACGTTACAGCCCATATGTCGAATGCCAGCAACTGTTGCTGACCGACCAAAACCAGTCACTGCTGCCCAATGATTAACAGCAGTGACTGGTTCCCAATAGCCAGTGGCCAGTCAGATGGCTGGGTGTAGCTCACCATCTCAGAGTGCGGGCGGAGGTTGTAGGGGAAGATGGTGGCAGCGAGGGAGCCCAGGAACTCGGGATGGGTCCACACGTTGGCCAGGCCGCCGACGTTGTGGTAGAGGTACTGCAGGAACTGCAGCTGAGTCACGGGGTACTCGATGAGCCACGAGCCCTCCTCCTCGGCCTGCCAAGGCTTAAGGAGGGGGGGGAGGCACAGGGGAGCAGAAGGACACCACAAAATCCACCACCAATAATATCTGTTTCACCAACGATCACCGAGGCGTGGGACAGTGGATCATTTGCTTTGAAATATTCGCTAAAAGCTTCGGGACATTTTGTACTCTTTGTCTGAAATTAAATCCCCGGATCGTTTCCCTTGCGTGTGGTTTGTTTCGCCGTGTTTTTTTGGTCGCTTCCTTTTCCATTTTTTTGAAATTAGGAAAACCTTCCTCAATGAAGGTGGATGTGGCTTTTTAAAATACTTTGATATATTGTCTCCAACGATTCAGTCGCCTCTGAGTAGTGTGTCTTGGTGCTCTAGTTGTGTGAAAGTCACGTGTAAATGCATTCTCCAAATAATCATCATAATAAACAATCTGTGTCCGTACTCTTTGGTTCTTTCGGTAAAGTCACATAGGTATAAAATAAACTAAATTAAATCACGACGTTTAAAAAACTTCTAATCTAGATTGAATCTGTGTCCAGCTTGAGAAGTGCTCGGCCATGGAAAGAGCAGCCGCCGAGAGCGTGCGCCGAATTCTCCGCGTTCGCAGCACAAATCTTAAACGGTCAACCATCGAGCGCGCGATTCGCGTCGCACGTACTCACGTTGTCGAACTTCTTCCGCGCCGTACGTAGCCAACCGCGCTAATTGGGGGTGCGCGTGTATCGCGAGCGCACTAATCGAAGGTGTCGACCAGCAAAATCGTCGACGTCGACTCCTCGGGGGGCGTGTCGAGAGCCATGGCGGCGCACCGCCCGCGCGTCACGAGAGATGTTGCCACACCTGGTTGACGGTGGAGCGCAGCATGGCGAGGAGGGTGAGCACCGCCTCCAGGCACGGCGCCGGCACGGATGGCGGCGCCGAGAACACGCTGGGCGGCAGCCCCAGGCTGTAGCGCCAGATCGAGTCAAGGTCCAGCTGTGGTGGAGGGCAGCACGCAAAGACCACGATCCCCCACGGTATAGCCTTAACAGACTGTTGGGGCAAGTGCTGGTATTGGGCACCGATGAGGGTGTGGGTGGCCAACGCGACGCCTGACAGCCTTTGTCTCCCCAGTGCTGATAGTTACACAGAAGGTTCTCATTGAAATCTGAGTTGACCTAGGAGAGGCCCAGGACCATTTCAAATATTTGCCACTGTTATTGGTTGTGAGCAGGTTGTCGGGTTTGTAGCGTTGTACGCCAAGCAGCGCACGTCCACGAGGGAGAGGATACGCACGCAAGCACCCTAAGTGTGTGCGTATCAAATTCCGCCGTTAACCCTTTGACGAAAACACGCACTGCTGGCAGCATAGGTTGCTGCAAGCCAACGCTGCTTGCTTTGCTATGCTGCATTGTCTTTTTTAGTAATCGCAAGTCATTGTCTTTATTAGTAATCACAACTGCCTCTTGCCGAGATTCAGACAGCTCGATCGAGGGATTGATTGGATGGAATGAGGGAATGCGGTTGCAAAGCTTTAATGGAGAATACTGAATGCTTTTTTTTCTCTCACAAATGTTTTGTTGTAGATTATCGGCATGACATTCCCGAAATAGCTATTGCAGCAGACATAATTTAGCAGACTAAATTTAAGGATACAGCCATTGAAGCAAAGAGAGGTACTGTACATACATGATGAGTGTACAAGAGGCAACATAGCCAGATAAATAGGTGACAAGAGATTCACTTAACGGGTCTTTTATAACCCTCAAATGTTTTGTGTTTTACGGTTCCATGCGACGAGGTGGACATATAAGTCTTGCTGGTGTGTGTCCAACTCAAAAAACAAATTTACCCCGGGCCCAACTTAGGCAGTGAAGAATGTATGACTCCAAAGCAGAGGTCGCAACCGGGTACTTGATACCCGTACCCTACCTGATACCTGGCTACCCGTACCAGCCGGGTACGGGTACGGGTACCCATTTGCGACCCTGGTGCGGCCGGGTACGGGTACGGGTAAGGAATCAAAACCCGTTGCGACCTCTGCTCCAAAGTCTCAATGGGGAGGGGTAATAAATGCTTTGCGTGTGTGCTGACACACTGAACGTACACTTTACCAATTCAATGTTTCCACTTACATTCCAACTGTGCCGTCGGTGTCATGCCACCACGGGGTAAACGAATTGACATCGGAAATCTCACAGACAAGCACGGCACCTCAATTCTCCCACTCATGCAGTCTCCTCAGAAGGCCTCTTCACGCAAACCGGCGCTTGTTGTATGTTTAATCAAACTGAAAATTTGATTTCTCAGAGCTGACATTTTTTTAAAACGAAAACACCACAAATAGAATTGATGACTGGGGGTAAGACCATCGGCTAGCATCACTTTGTGAATCCATTATATTATTATTATATTATTTTTATTATTTTATTACTTCCCTTCTACGTTACTTTACCGAAAGAACCAAGAAGATTTGTGAATCCAGTTTCACGATCGGTGGCCGAAACCCAGATTCGAACCCAGCGTCCCGTACCCCACCGCCCGCTTAGCTCACTCATCGGCAGCATTTCAGACATTCGCCAGGCTACTTCGAAAGCTCGCCACTGGGCTCACCAACCTCTCGACATCACCCGTGCAAATGCTGCCGATCAACTAGAACTGCCTTTTGTGTTTAGTTCGTTGTCCTTTCACCGTGCCTCCGATTGGCACGGTTGGCTACGTACGGTGCGACAAAAGTTTAACACGCAGTAGAACCCCTCTTCACGACCACCCCTGTTAACGACTAATCGCGTAACGATAGGCCTCCATAGGGCCCAATGTCCGCTTATTGACCTTTCCCCTGTTAACGACGGACTATTGTAGGTAAAATAAGTAGTAATTTATGCATTGATTAACCATGTTTCTTTAATATGTGTTTATAATGTTGTTTGTATATTTATGTATTAATATCCATTGTGTTTTGGTTCAATGCTATCGGAACGAATTAAGCCTTTAACATGTATTTCCTACGCTCGCTTAACGACCAAATCACTTAACGACCGGTTTCGTGGAAACCAATTACCGTCGCTAAGAGGGCTTCTACCCGACATACACCCCCCTCCTCGTAGGAGAAGAAGCGTTCCGAGCGGCAAGCCGGCCGGCAGCCCCCCTCACCTGCACGTTTTCGGGAACGGAGGTGATGGGGCGGTTGAGGAAGAGGGCGAGCAGGAAGAAGTAGAGCTGCGGGAGGCTGGCGTGGCTGGGCAGGCACGAGAGCAGCACGGAGAACCCGGGGAGGAGGCACGCCTCGGAGTTGATCTCGCGCGGGATGACGCCACCGCCAGGCCCCCCCCACGTTGAACCCTGGGATTGCCAAGGCAACGGTCGTCGTCAGAGCGACGGACGACAAGGTTCACATAGCTGCAGGTGCTTTCACTGATGTCAC